GTTTTTGGAAACTTGGGCCTTGCACTTGGAAATGTGCTGCTAATGTATGACTGTAGTTCAAAACCAGTAACTCTCACACATTACTCAAAAGCTCTGCTGAAGGACTTGTGGCTCAACAGGCTACACAAAGTTTGTTTCCTTTTTCACAGTATCTTACATTACTCCCTGTGGAAGAAACTGTTAGGCAGCTAATTTCGGTTACTAAAATAATAGTGATGTCTTTTTTCTGCAATTATGCATATGTTTAAACAGCATTCCTTTTAAGACAAAGGTGGGTGCTACTGTTAACCACCATTTGGTATATAATAATGCCAAGGTCTGCAAGACTGCTGGCACACGCATGAGGGGCTTGAAATGTGTTAAGGTGGGATTTGACTGATATTGAAATTTTCTGCATAATTTAATCATTAAGATGTAAACATACTAATGCAGAGTGGTTTGATATGAAATACGGCGTTCTAGAGAAACTTACCAAGTCAGAATTGTTTACAGTGGTGGTTATAGGAACCAGATATCTAAAGTAATTAATGCTAAAAGCCTCCTCACAGAACACACATTGGTTACAAATGTTGCCTGATGCCTAAGACACTGTTTTGTGATAGGATTTTGGCCTAAAACACATTTGTAAAAATCCATTCAGGGTATTGCGGTACATGCAGGGTGTTTTATGACAAAGTAGTCCCCAAAGAAAACTTTTTCTGAAAGCTATTGTAGATTAATTATTTCCTTACAACAACATACAAAAGGTATGACATGCAGTTTATAGTAATTCAATCCAACAATATAGCCATATGTGTGTTTGAATTTTTTGCACATTGACCTAATAAGTGTCACAGGATACAATTTTAAATAGGACCAATCTTGATCTCACAGTAAAAAAGTAAAGTAATAGAGGCATACAGAAAATAGGTACTCTGTGCACGGTAAAGGTTTAACTTTTCATACATAAGAACTTCTTTTCTCTCTGCTGACTGAAAAATAGGGGTCGGCAGAGATCTCACTACTGGGAGAGCTTAGGTGCTTTGTTTATTAACATGAAAAGACATTCTGCCTAAAAGCATTTTAATAGGTGTACACCATACTCTGAATCCTTCAGTAAACAGGTGTTAAACTAGGTCATTATATGTCAGTCTGCTACTGTAAAAGTCAGCCATGGTAGGTTTCTCCTTCAAATAAAGTGTTAGATACTTATTTAAGGCAAACAGTTTTGTATGGAGTGGGGAAATATGTATCATTAATGATGCATATGCTTGTGCAATTATTTAGTGTACATACACTGGTAGTATTGAATTGCTTGAAATACTAACAGTTTCAGGATGCTAAGAACATATGATATGGTTCATGTTTGCTCTGTTTCTCCTATTAATTGTTCTTTCTTGCCCTGCAGTGAAAAAAAATTCCATTAGCTTTACCTAAGAAAATTTGCCTTTTCTTTTATATGCCTAAGGTTCACTCTCATTTCTTCCTCTTTTCTCTCTTGCCTTACAAGGCAACCGTCCTGTCTGGAATGTTTACTTTTGCATTCTTTTCATGGGATTAAAGTAATTCCTCTCAGCTGTGGAACTCTACCAGTGACCCAGTAGCGTAAAAATAACCCATGGCTTGGGAATGGAGCATTGGGCTGATTAAAGGAAAAACAAACCGAGCTAGACGACAGTGTGGGGAGGGTCAGCTACTTTGCAAAAGTCAAGACACTAAAAGTCTTTGTTGTTTGTTGTTGTCTTCATGAAGGCAGCACAGGATGATGGGAAAACAAAAAGTTTTGGTGGAACTACTTTGTAGGAAATTTGTTTTGTTGAACAAGGAACTTGAATATGGTATTTGTCTGCTAATTTTAGTGCACAGTTGAACTGTGTTTACTTGCTGAGTTTAACATCTAAAAAAAAATAAAAACATTAAATATAACATGTGCCACGACTTTCACACGGGCCACATTGATGTTTAATTTTTTAGTCCAATATGTTGGAGTAGTGCATTATAATGCGCAGAAGTGTGTTCTCTGTGCAGGATGTATAGGCCTACTTACATTCATTTGTAATCAACATGTAATTTGACCGGGGCACATAAATTTACACATTTTATACATATGACTATATTTTTCATTTATTTTTATTTTAACTTTTGATATGTAGGCCACATGAGTGGCTTCCTTAAGACACTGACACGATTTAACATACTAGACATAGTTGATTTAATTACTACTTCAGACCTTTCCTGGAAGCCTTTCTCCTAGTGATTGCTGCTGGTGTCTTAGATGTCTCCATCTTCTCGCACTGCCTTTGCACTACAGCAGGGGTGTCTCCACAATGACCTTGCAGGTCCCCATCTCAGCTGCCAGCTAATTAACACATGGGCCAATCTGTTAACCTATGGCCACGCCTGTTGTAAGAGTGAGTGAGTCCTTACGGATGGTAAGGAAGGCATTTCTTAAGACATCACAGTGTATCGTACAAATAATTAACAAAATCTCATTGATTATGATGGGCCCATAAAAATTACAGCTACAGTCTGTCATTAGATCACTCTTGCAAATATTTGCCGTTCTTTTTTCATTTAAACAGCTGACTGGCCCTGTGTGACCTCTGGATTTAACAACTCTGGAAGCTAAGAAATGCACTCTGAACACATTATAATTTTATTATTCAAATGACCATGAGGTAAATGACTATTCTGCTGCAAATTGGTTGAGTACAGAAAAACTTACTGTACTGTATGGAGACAACCATTATAGTCAGAGGAGGGCGCTCTCAGGGACTAATTTGTTCACCTGCAAAGCCTGAATGTCCTGAACTGCCCTTTCATGCAGAAGTGCATGCCTATAGAGGGGTCTGGATAAACAGGGGCTTAAAAAGTGGGTTAGAAAGTGCTTTGCTGCAAGCCTTTGTGCAGAAAAGGCTGTTGTTTCAGCATACCTTCACCCCTCTCTAGGCCACATCAGCAGCGTAGCCTTCGGGCATGTGCTGGTCCCTCATTGGCAAAGCTCCTGAGTCATCAACATGGTCTGATTCATTGTACAGGGAGATTTAGGGGAGCCTATTGACCGGCAACCACCCACACAGGGTGCTGCTAGTTTACTCTTTCTCCTTGTTGATATACACACTGGTCATGCACACTCTTTTTTGCAAATGCACAAGAGTGTCTAGCTCAGTTTTATTTATATTAACAGAAATTTACTTGCAATAAATGCAATTGTTTTGCTAGCTTAGAATCTGTCAGTGAAGTGGGAATGTCCAGCCGTGTTTTATTTAGGCTTTTGTTTACTTCTATAGCTATCATAAATCTTACACTATATAAACTCTCCTTCTTTTACATTGCAAGTGCTATCTGATCATTCACAAATGTCCTTTTTGAATCTTCAGCCTTTTTAATGTGGCTCGTTGACTTTGGTCAAAAGCATGTTTGTCCACTAGAGGGAGGTATTGAGCAGTTAGGAAAAGTACATATTTGAAAACTGTCAAAGCTCCAAGAGAAGTGAAGAGATGGTTTAATCATTTCACTTAGAACCAATCAAATCATTCCACTAATGCTTTCACAGTATTGATTTAGTTTACAAATACCTGAAAATCCAGCAAAGTTATTTGTGAACATGTCAGCTCATTTGAGCAGTGATGTAGTTTCACTAACCACCTAGTGCCTTAGTTCTGTTTCTGAGAACCCAAAGTCCTGCCCTGTTTACAATTTCCTTACTTCATCAGACCTAACACAGCTTGATAATGAGTTGGATCAGGGGTGCTGAGGCAGGGAACAGAAACTCCTCAGGAGCACAATTGAGAAGCGCTGACCCATTGATATATACATGTAAGTGCAAAAGCTCAATGATAATAAATTATCCGATTATTATAATTTATTGCAATTGATAACATTTTTAGAATAGTTCTTTTAGTTTTAATGTAAAAAAGTAACCTGACTATCTTAATTGTTTGAATTCATTTAACCTCTAATAGTTAACAGAACAATAGTCTGTTACATTCAGTTAGCATTATTTTAAGTACAATGAAATCAAAATTCTAAGGCAGCTGTTTGCTTACTTTTTGAGTTAAACTCACTTTTTACAGTGAATGATGTGCCTTTTCATATTGACCAGTGGTTCCCAAACGGTTTCATCTTTAAATGCCCTTTGAATATGGCTCAGGTTGTCGACCCCTCTTCCACGCCAAATCAATATGACACGTCATTTCATCACTGTCCAAAAATAAACATGGATCTCCATTTTTGTATTTTTATTTTTCAACACAGCAGCTGTCTTTTGCATTGTGTGAAAATTTTCTCCTGTAAAGTTGCTATTTTGCAGATACATGTTTTTCCTTGGACAGCGACGATTTGTTCATTGAACTGAAGTTAAACTGATATTAGACCTAGTAAACATTTAATACAGTATTTAACTGGACAGGAGAATTATTACAGTTACCAATGATTTAATTCCAGTTAAAAACTACTGAAGAGTTGTTATAACTCACATAGACCAGTAAGACGCAAGATGAAGTAACTCCCTTTTAAGTCAATATTGCACCATATATGTTTTGTTCCTAATCAGAATTGAGCTTTTGATCAGGTAGTGACTTTAGTCTGTTAGATCTTATCTAAATGATCAAATATAGGGACCAAGTACCAGCTGGAGTAAAGTGCACAAAATCTACAATTTTGTTTGTTCCTTTATGATGCAGTTACTACACAATGTGATTATTGACCCACAGCTTTCCACAATTAAAGGCAAGATTCTGTAGCCATCTTGTGGTTCTCAATCCCAGATCTGCAAAGTTTCCCTTCTCTAACACGCCTGATTTAAGTCATCAGGCAATTAATAAGCTCTTTGTGAATCAGATTACAGATCAAAGCACAAAAATAATCTTTTGGCATTTCCATACTGCCTTTAGTTGCTATATGGCTTGATTTCCCAATACTCTGATCTAGAGAGAGCACAAAGGAAGGCTGCACTGGGTTGAGCTCAGTATATTTTTTTATTAAAGGGCATAGCAACAGTCACTGACACATTGAAAGTTCTAAAACTCCTGAACACGGCGGATGGAGCCTACACCAGGGTGCACGGCATTCCAGTCAGTGTAGCGGCGGTATTCGCCCCTCTCCAGGAGGTACTGCTGGCCCCTGTAATTAGGATGTTCGTAGAAGACCCAGGCACCTTCCAGTACATTGCAGGAGTGGACCTCACGGTGACGGAAGCGGTCATACAGAGAGGGCCAATCCTCAGAGAACTCTATCATCTGGCCCTGGAAGTCAGGATTCTCATACAGGCGAATACGGAACACGCCAGAAATCTGCAAGACATCAGAAACAATGCACTAACAGGTATTAACACTAGCCTTTTGGAGAAAGTGGTGGGATTATTATACACATTTATTTGAGATGTGGTAAGAAAGAAGGTCTGGTCTAGACTAATCCAAAGTTTGCTTCTTGCAGATGTACAATGAAGTGAAATCTAGCTCTTGTCTCTTTAGAAGCATAGCAACCACCATGACATAGCAGATCATTTGATTCAGTTTTCTGCCTGTCTATTCTCCTTCACTGAATGTTCTGAAATGGCAACATTCATTTTTTGTTTTATGAACTGTGATGAACTGTGTCATGGCTCTGTTTATATTTTGGTATAATCTCTTTTATCTTTCAAATCGTGAAGAACACTCTGGGTGTGGGAATGCATGGTGTGGGATCTCAGCCTTATGCTTGTGAAAATGTATATATATGTTTGTGGAGGGTATAGAATGGCACTGTGTCACACATCTCTATTGCCTGCTTGCTTTGAACTAACATCTCAGAACAAGGGCTGCTTTTGGCAGCTCAACTCACATTTCGGATTATACGGCAGGATTTGACACTATCGTTGTAGCCCATCCAACGCTGATAGTCGGGGTACTCCCCTCTGGTCAGGATGTACTGGTAGCCCATGTAATTTGGGCGCTCATAGAGGACCCAGGCCCCGCTCTCAACACGAATGGAGTTACAGCGGCTGAAATAGGCTGAGAGCTCAGGGCAGTCACTGTTGCACTCATAGTAGCGGCCTTGGAAGTTCCTGTCCTCATAGAAGATGATCTGTACATGAGGAAGAAGGAGAGAAAAGAAGAAACAGATCAATCCAAAGACGTGCAAATAAAATTTGTATATATATTTGTGTATATGTATGTATATATATATATATATATATATATATATATATATATATATACTAACTTTGCCAATGCGGTCCATGTTTGGGGCCCACTCTGAGGTGTTTTAAATACGGAATGTTTATTCCTCTTTTTGATCTATGCCGTGTATTGACCAGGGCATGGGCCAGATTTATATATGTGCCACACTGAATAGCACTGCTAGGGGAATCATTGTCATTTGAATAGCCTCAGCATTTACATCTGCACAACAGCTGATGCTGCAATTGTTTCTAAATGTGCAGTTTTATTCAGTGTCTTTCAGCTATTGTATACACCACTGACCTTTTGATCCCTCAGTGCCTGATTCCAGAAAAGATTTATTGGGCCAATTAATTTGTTTTCCAGCAGCTGGTACTGCCATGGATACAGTGGCATTGGCTTCTGGCCACCCGCTCACACCGTTCAAAGCTTAACACCTAGTTTTGAACTGACAGGTGGGTTTGTATTCATAAGCTCCTCCCTAAACTCAAAGCAGGCTTAGTATCTTAGTATCACCTCATATTAACATTATGTGTATATGGTGACATACGTCATGCAGTCAAGCAAAGAATGTGAGAAAAATAGTGTAGCCAGGAACTTGAAAAGGAACTGTAGTTTATTATGTTTGTTGCAGCAAAGTAATGTCCCAGAAATGGAAGAGGAACATTTTAATGGCATGATTCATACAGACAGAGGACCTCAGTCATGCACAGTATATACAAAGCCCCTTAAAATCTTAGGCTTATTACATACTATGGCTTTTCATTCAGTAACTACAGAGATTAAAATTCAAACTGGCTGAGCTATTCTTAGGTTACAGAAGTGTGTAATAAAACTTCGGGCCCACCAGTGGGTTATTTAAGGGGGTAATGAGTCTCAGTAGGCAAAGACCCTGGCATGTCTTCTTAGCCCTCTATGACAGTTCCTAGAGATGTTGGGCTCCTTGTGGGATACTTTCTTTCTTTTGTCCAGTTCATTCCGTACAAGTTCTATGTGACTGTGGTCTTGAGACTTGACAGCCCAGGGCATTAGTTTGAGCCCCTACAAAACAGGCTGTTGGACAACTTAGGCTGTACAAATTAAAACCAGCTGAAAATGTTGACTTTTTCTTTTTTTATGACCTGTTTCCTGTCCTTAAATGTGCACTTTCTATTTTTTTCATCAAGACAAGTGTCTTACTATTATTACATTTAAAATGGTTGGGTATTTAGTCCTGGTGCCTCTCAGTTACTTCACTTTACTGCACTCAAGGTCTTGGCCAGATGTTCTTGGGATTTATATTAAAGACCGACCTTCATTTTGAGCAGTTCAAGTAATTCTTCCTTTAACTTAGCATATATTGCCAGTTTCTGCTCTCTTAAATGTTGGAATAACAAATATCTGCTACTTATAATTATAGAAAGTATGGTTCAGCATTTTGTAACTGTTTGAAAGTAGAGAGTATAGAATACTGCTTGAGCATATTAGAAAAAAACAAACAAACGAACAAAAACAAGCACTTTATTTGTTCATGTCTTTGTCACTTAAGGATTTTACTTTATTTCCCATAATTTTTTACATTGAAAGTGACTCTGAATTAATGAATAGGAACCTATCTCACTTTTTTGGGCCTGGCCTAAGAGCAGGACCATGATCTCAATCTGTAATAATAATAATAATAACTAGAAAAGTGCATTTCCTAAAGGAAACGCGGAATGGTTGCGCCGCCATTACTATGGCATTCTATAGGAGGAATGAGGGATGAAAAAAAGTACTCATAGAGGTGTGGTGTGTGGGTCAGTATGACTGTGATCTAGAGCTAGGAGACCTGATCTGAAAGAGTACATGTACTTAGGTGGCTGTTGAGAAAAAGACAGATTAGGGCTATGTTGCGAAAGAAAATAAATGGGACTCTATGGGAGGAACGAGGGATGAATAAACCACAAATAGATGAGTGCGCGTCAGTGTGGCTGTGGATTACAGCTTGGGAATGTGCACATGTATTTCGGTGTCTGTTGCACAATGGAAAATACACGGCTATGGTTTGGCTGAAAGTAAATGGGATTCTAAGGGAGGAACGAGGGATGAAAAAACGACAAATAGAGGAGTGTGGGTCAGGACGCCTGTAGATTAGATCTTGGGGACCTGTCCTGAATGAGTATATGCATTTTGGTGACTCTCAGGCAAGGAAGTAATAGAGTTTGAGTGGTGGCAAAAATTAATGGGACTATATGGGAGGAACGAGGGATGAAAAAACGAAAAATAGAGGAGTGCGGGTCAGTATGGCTGTGGATTAGAGCTTTGGGACCTGCCCTGAATGAGTACATGCATTTTGGTGACTCTCGGGCAAAGAAGTAATAGAGTTTGAGTGGTGGTAAAAATGAATGGGACTCTATGGGAGGAATGAGGGATGAAAAAAAAACGACAAATAGAGGAGTGCGGGTCAGTGCGGCTATGGATTAGAACTTGGGGACCTGCTCTGAATGAGTACATGTATTTTGGTGACTGGCAAAGAAGTAAGCTTTTAAGTGGTGGCGAAAATTAATGGGACTATATGGGAGTAACGAGGGATGAAAAAACAACAAATAGAGGAGTGCAGGTCAGAATGCCTGTAGATTAGAGCTTGGGGACCTGTCCTGAATGAGTACATGCATTTTGGTGACTCTCAGGCAAAGAAGTAATAAAGTTTGAGTGGTGGCGAAAATTAATGGGACTATATGGGAGGAACAAGGGATGAAAAAATGAAAAATAGAGGAGTGTGGGTCGGTATGGCTATGGATTAGAGCTTCGGGGTGTGCCCTGAATGAGTACATGTATTTTGGTGACTGTCGGGCAAAGAAGTGATAGAGTTTGAGTGGTGGCAAAAATGAATGAGACTCTATGGGAGGAACGAGGGATGAAAAAATGACAAATAGAGGAGTGCGGTTCAGTATAGCTATGGATTAGAGCTTGGGGATGTGCCCTGAGTGACTACATCCATATCGGCGGCTATCGGACAAAGAAGTAATAGAGTTTGAGTGGTGGTAAAACCACCTTAAAAGCAGTTCCACCTTAAAAAAATCATTATGTGTGCTGACACTGCTGAGCATTAGGCTGGGAGCGGGTGAGACATTGGGTTCCGTGCGTGAGTTTGGATGGGTGTATGAGATAACGGGCCATTGTGACATCATGACTGGCATGCTGTCAACAGTCCGCCCATTCATTCTCTATGGGACAAAAATTCCGGAAAATTCCAATGCTACACGGAATCCGTGCATCCGATCAAAAAGCTGTATACAAGCACGCATCACACAATCAGACCGGACAATCTGGAGTTGGAACGGTGTCGATATCTCGAAAGCTGCGGGACGAGTTATGCGGCAAGAAAACGGCAGAAGAATAAGAATAAAAAGAAGAAAAAGAAGAAGAAGAATAATATAAATCGGATAACAATATAGTTGCGCTTTGCTAAAGCATAATAATAATAATAATAATAATAATAACAACTAGAAAAGTGCATTTCCTAAAGGAAACGCGGAATGGTTGCGCCGCGGTTACTATGGAATTCTATAGGAGGAATGAGAGATGAAAAAAGTACTCATAGAGGAGTGTGGGTCAGTATGACTGTGGAATAGAGCTTGGAGACCTGATCTGAAAGAGTACATGTACTTCGGTTGCTGTTGAGAAATACACAGATTAGAGCTATGTTGCGAAAGAAAGTAAACAGGACTCTATGGATGAGTCTATAAACTCATCTATATAGATGAGTGCGGGTCAGGACGGCTGTGGATTAGCCCTTGGGAATGTGCCCATGCATTTCGGTGTCTGTTGCACAATGAAAAAAGACAGGGCTATGGTTTGGCTGAAAATAAATGGGATTCTAAGGGAGGAAAGAGGGATGAAAAAACGACAAATAGATGAGTGCGGGTGAGGACGGCTGTGGATTAGAGCTTGGGGACCTGCCCTGAATGAGTACATGCATTTTGGTGACTCTCGGGCAAAGAAGTAATAGAGTTTGAGTGGTGGCGAAAATTCATGGGACAACATGGGAAGAATGAGGGATGAGAAAACGACAAATAGAGGAGTGCGGGTCAGTATGGCTATGAATTATACTTTGGGGACCTGCCCTGAATGAGTATATGCATTTTGGTGACTGTTGGGCAAAGAAGTAATAGAGTTTGAGTGGTGGTAAAAATGAATGGGACTCAATGAGAGGAACGAGGGATGAAAAAATGACACAAAGACGCGTGCGGGTCAGTATGACGGTGGATTAGTTCTTGTGCTAGCTAAGTGCAATTCCACCTTAAAAGCAGTTCCACCTTAAAAAAATCACTATGTGTGCTGACACTGCTGAGCATTAGGCTGGGAGCAGGTGAGACATTGGGTTCCGTGCGTGAGTTTGGATGGGTGTGTGAGTTAAAGGCCCATTGTGACATCATGACTGGCATGCTGCCAACAGTCCGCTCAATGTAAGTCTATGAGAGAGACGAAAGGTGGAATAAAACGGATGAGTGCGGGTCAAAACGAGAGTGAATTCATGCTTGGGGGCCTGCCCTGAGATAGTGTATCAAAAACGGTGTTGATCGGGCAAGCAGAAGTACCTTAGATTGGCATGCAAATGTTCACCCCATTCATTCTCTATGGGAAAAAATTCCGCAAAATTCTCTTGCCACACGGAATCCGTGCATCCGATCAAAAAGCTGTATACAAGCACACATCACACAATCAGGCCGGACAATCTGGAGTTGGAACGGTGTTGATATCTCGAAAGCTGCGGGACTAGTTATGCGGCAAAGAAACGGCAGAAAAATAAGAATAATAATAAAAAGAAGAAGAAGAAGAAGAATATAAATCGGATAACAATATGGTTGCTTTAGCAAGGCGCAACCATAATAATAATAATAATAATAATTAATAATGGGCCTTATACACCTACTATTCTTAAGAAGAAATTTCTTCTAAAACCCACTTATGTAGTTCTCACAAAGGTTCTGATATTAACACCAATGTTTTCTTATTTGGGGTTTGTTCTTAGGTAAGAAAAGAATCTACAAGAGTACAAAGGTGTGAACAGTTCTGTGGTTTAATATTACGTCATGAGTTTTGAGAAAAAAGATAATGAATGAGGCCCCATGATACATGAGAAAAGCACGTACATGCATATTTCTGAAATTTTCTTTACTTTTCAGTAGCTGTAACCCATAATACTTGTCCCATGTTCCCCTTATATACATTGTAGCATGTTCTAGAAAAGTTTTGGCATGTTAATTTTAGTTTAGGTTATGTATTCTCCAGCATTTATTGCATTGGTTCATTTTGCTGTGGATGAACCACCTCACCAGGGTTGTGTATGTGTGTGAGAGAGAGGGAGATGTGAGCTGGGTGAGAGAATGAGTTGTTAGAGAGAAAAGCTTCGCTTGTTTATGTCATGACCGTGGCCGACACAAGCGTTGCATTAGCATTGCATCTCCCCATCCCACACGGCAACAGAAGGCCTAAAAAGTTATGTCTGTTGTAGAAATCAATAACACACTTTTATAAAGAACCGTTTGTAAATTAATATCTTTTATTTTCCCTCAAATGACTCTTCTAAACTAAATTGCTCTGGTGTTGTTTAGTCTGTTTTTTTTTTTGCTGGATTCTTTAGATTAATTGTTGATTAAGTGTTGGCCCTATCATCAGGAGATCGCACATTCGATCACTGGTGATTCTACAGCCATTCTTGGCCAGGAGTCCAAGAGACCACAACTGGCCTCGCTCTCTCTGAGTGAGTAGGATTGGCCCTCCCTCTCCCCCCATCACTCAGCACCGTGCTAGCTAGCACAGACATATGTTAGCTGCCGTAACAGAACTGGCAGTTAGCGTTCTCCTCCAAGTGCGTTCAGCTGTCCAATGACAATGCGTTAGTGGCACCTCGAAAAGATGCAGTGGCTGCCTTCACATGACTCGGAGGAAGCTTGTGCTTGCCTTCGCCCTCCTAGCGCTGGAGGTGTTGTGTGTTTGGGGAAGACCTAACTAGTGGGTGAAATTGAATACGACTAAATAGGCAAGAAAATTGGAAAAAATCCCCAAAAAAACCCAACAACAAAAAGAAAAAAATCTCTTGAACCATTATTTAACTGATAAAAGTACAAAGAAAAAATTCCCAGTGTTTTCACTGACTAACTTAATTGTACTTTGTAAATATAAACAAATTTAGAATTTGATGCCTGCAACACACAACACAAAAAGCTGGGACAGAGGTATCTTTACCACCATGTTGCATCACCTTCCCTTTCAATTACACTTTTTATTAGGGAACTGAGGATACTAATTATTGCAGTTTTGTAAGTGGAATTTTTGCCCATTCTTGCTTAATACAAGACTTCAGCTTCTCAACAGTCTGTGATCATTATTGTCTGATTCTCCTCTTCTTGAAGCACTATACATTTTCAATAGGAGACAGATCTGGACTGCAAGCAAGTCAATCAAACACATACACTATGTGTCTACAAAGTCAAGCTGGTGTAACACATGCAGAATGAGGCCTGGCATTATCTTGCTGAATTAACCATGGACTTTACTGGGAAAGATGTTGTTTTGATGGCAGCATTATGTCTCTCTAAGTCCCAATACACACCTCCATGTCAGTGGTACCTTCACATATATGCAAGTCACCCATGCCGTGGGTACCTATGCACCATACCATGACAGATGTTGGCTTTTGCACCTTTTGCTCATTTAAATCTGGATGGTCCCTTTTATCCTTGACATGGAGAATTCGACATCCATTTTTCCCAAAAACAAGCTGAAACATGAACTCATCTGACCACAGCACTCATTTCCACTGTCTTTCGGACAATCTGAGCTGAGCCCAGACCCAGAGAACTCGGTGGTGTTTCTGATGGCTTTCTCGTCGAGTGAAAGAGTTTCAGTTTGCATTTTTTGATGCAGTGGTGGACTGTGTTAAGTGACAATGGTTTTCCGAAGTGCTCCCAAGCCCGTGAGGCTATATTTCACACAGCAGCGCAATGATTTCTCATGCAATGTCCTCTGAGAGCCCGAAGGTCACACACATTCAACAGTTGTTTCTGGCCTGGCCCTACACTGACTGAGATTCCTCTGGATTTTGCAATATAATGTACAGTACATGGTGAAAGACCTAAATTCTTTGCAATCTCGTGTTGGTAAATGTTCTTTTTGAACTGTTTGACAATTCTGTCACAAAGTTTAGCTCAAAATAATGAGCCACATACTATCTGTGCTTGAAACGACTGAGCCTTTGGTGGATGCTCCTTTTGTACCCAATCATAAAACCTTCACCTGTTGCCAATTCTCCTGCTTATTGTGGAAAATTTTAAAATAGTGTAACATGAATATTTTAGAAAGTTTTCACTCTTATTTTGCCCCATCACAACTTTTTTCAGTGTGTTGCAGAAATCTAATTCAAAATTTGTTTATATTTACAAAATACAATTAAGTTCAGCCAAAACATTAAAAGCAATTTCTTTGTACTTTTGTCATTTATACGAAGGTTCCACAGAATTAACAAATCACAGATGATAGTTTTTATTAAATTTTCCAAAATGTTCCAACTTTTCCAGAAATGGAGTTTGTATTAAAAAATTCAAATCCACGTATGTGTTCCTTATAAACTATTTTAGGTTTTTACTTATTTGCACACATGACTATATACTGTAATGTATTTATGTAATGAGTTAAGTACTGTAGGTACCATATGCACCACTGACACAAAGAAATGCTTCTGAAAACATATGTTTTTAGATTTTTATTTGTTTTGTTTTTAGATTTTTATTTTATTGTACTTTAGTGGTTATGACAGAGCTCCTGATGCGGGTTCAATGCTCCCACTTAACATGACGGATGGAACTCACTGTTGGATGCATGGCTCCCCATTCAGTATACCGTCTGTACTCTCCCTTCTCCAGCAGGTACTGTCGCCCACGGTAGTTTGGATGCTCAAAGAATACCCAGGTACCATCAGTGACCTTGCAGGAATGAAACTCTTTGCTGTGGAAGTGTTCATGAACAGAAGGGGTGTTCTCAGTAATCTCCCATGACTGACCTTCGAAGTTGGGCCTCTCAAACAGTTTTAGTTTGTATGGTCCATTGACCTAGAAAAGAATTAAGATGAATTAATGTTATATTTCCATTATTATTTATAATGCTTGAGGAAGTGCATGCTTAGCAGGGAGAAACTTTGTGGCTGGATTTTTTAGGAAGTATGCTCTATTTATACTTTAATATTCTACAAACATACCGTATTAAATATTAAACCAAAAGTTTTGCTCGTCATCAACCTATACATCAATAAAATATTAAATATTTTCTCCACAGCAAGTATACAAAGTACAAGTGAGTAAGAAAGAAAGGCCCGCCTCATGACAAAACAGAAAGTCAAAAGTCATAGTTCTTGTCAACAAACATTTAAGTTGGACTAACGTTTTTGATTAGACGACAAGACCTGACACAGTCGTTAAAGCCCATCCAGTGCTGGTAGTCTGGGTACTCTCCAGGTGCCAGGATATACTGATAACCCATATAGTTTGGCCGCTCATAAAGGACCCACCAACCACCCTCCACCTTTACAGAGTTGCAACGGCTAAAATAAGAATGCAGGTCACTGGAGTCACCCTTGCATTCATAGGACCTGCCCTGGAACTTCCTGTCTTCATAAAACACAATCTGTTCATGAAAAGGAAAACAGTGAGTCACAGGCTTTTGAAATTAAATATATACTTTATTAGCCAAAAGTTTAGTGACCACAGAAACAAGCTCTTACCTTTTCCATTGTCATTCTCAACACATCAAACGTCAAACACTGTGAAACATTTCAGATTCAGCTTTGCTGTTACTCTTTATAAAAGTCCAGGACAAAGGATTCAGGCACATGAGCTACAAAATGAATCAGATGCATCAATCAGCAATTTAAAATTATTTATCTAAGCTCAATGCATTGTTCTAAAGCCCCAAATCACTGATCCCCAAACAATAGAAAATCGAGAGAGCCAAGCGTCCTACCTAAACCAATACATGATGGGCTACAGGCCAGATCAAAGCCTGTGTAACAACAAAGCTTTCTGCGGTTGTAAGTGTTTTTGGTGTGTAGTGGAATGTTAACAGGGAGCTATCATTCTCACATTAAAAAACATAACACTGGGTGTATACTTTTCCATTGTCTCAGAAGAGGCAAACATCACTTTCATATGAATTAAATTCAACTTTGAATCTCAGTGGATTGACAACTAAATTAATCCATAAAGGCTAATATTCATTCAGAACTTAGATGCATGTCTTGTTGCCATGTGAATTACAAACACTACAGAGTTTTAAGGAGAAAAGTGTACATTTAATAAAAACCAGCCATCTTTTACATGGTGCTGTCATTTGTGGATTTCACCCAAAGGAGTCATTTCCTTCTGTAAATAACCTTCCTCACACCCTTGCAATTGAAGGAAATATAAGCTTCTTCTATTACTCGCCTCAGCTACACTTAGCATGGTGGATAAACAAGTGTTATAAACATGGGCTTCTGAGAAGACAAGAAAGAAAGACAAGTGACAGTATACTGGCCTCTTGACTGCCAGGAGTGATTTGAGCTGAAGGAGCAGAAGGCGCAAGAATTGTTTGGTGTGATATGATTTTCTTGACTGAGCATACTCTTAGCTAAAGTACTTCTATATACTGGCAAAAAGTTTCTATGACTTGTATTTTTTAAAAGTTTCTTTAAAGAGCTGCATACAAGAGTTCTTGTACAGGCAAGTGTAGCATCTTTACAATGGCAAACATAAAAAGAACCATTGAAGTTACAGGATTTTCAAAGAAGTATCAGAGAGATACACACATTTTCTAAACCGCTTATCCTTCTGGGTCGCCGGAGCCTATCCCTGCAGTCATTGGGCGGAAGGCAGAAAAAACCCTGGACAGGTCGCCAGTCCATCATAGGGCAAAATACATACATCCACCCACACCTAAGGGCAATCTAGCATATCCAATTGGCCTGACTGCAGGTCTTTGTGAGGAAACCCAGACAGACATGGGAAGAACATGCAAACTCCACACAGAAAGGACCCTGGTCACCCGGCCAGGAATTGAATCAGGCCCTTCTTGCTGTGAGGCGACAGTGCTACTTACTGCGCCACCATGCCACCCCGAAAGAGATACAGTACTGTGCAATTACTTAATTTCCAGGCAAAACAGACTTAAAGCACAAGTTATGCTTTTTCAGGAGACATTTCTGAGAATATTAGATAAGATATTCCACTTGCATAAGGAAGGGGAAAGACAAAGGAAAATTAGGGAGTTTCCAAAACTGAAGTTAAATAATGATTAAAAGCTTTGCAGAAAACAGGACTCCTAACAACCGTGCAAGACCACAGACCATCAAAATTGTCACCATCAGATAAACAGTACTTAAAGCTTTCATCTTTGAGAGTCAATCAATGCTACGAGTATGAAAGGATGTAAAGAAAATTTACAAATCAAAAAAGCTGTTGGTGTTCAGAACAATGGACTGACCCACCCAGATCCCAGACCTCAACATCACTGAATGCATGGATTTTGAGAAGCAGAAAATGCAACCAACTTCTGAGACTGAACTTTGGAGGTGTAGAAAGATGCAGACTGTCTCAAAAAGAATGCAAGCTGCAACAGTAGCAAAAGGTGGACTTGCACCATGGTCAGTTGTGTTTTCTTGCTCTGTTCAAAATGGCATCCTACTATTCCCTACATGGGAGAAAGTAATATAGAGAACAAAATACATTGTAGTTTAAGTAAGCAACAGTGCACCTGCACACATCAGCATTGACAACTTGAAAGTTAAACAGATTATTAGCTTATTGGGTAGCTACAGGTAGCCAGTGTTATTTAGCCATTTACAGGGCTGAGCTGACCTATCAGAGAAGTTATGCACATAGGTCATGTTGCATTAAAATAACACAATGTAATGGGCATTCTTAATCTTTACTTGTACATCATTTAGACATGTTTAAGATTAAGTGACCCTTATTAGTCCCTCAATGGGGAAATTTCACCTTCACATTTAACCCATCTGTACAGTGCAACACCACATACACTCTAGTGAGCACACTTGCCTGGTGGGCAGCACCATCCGCATCACCCAGGAAGCAGTTGGGGGTTTGGTGCCTTGCTCAAGGGTACTTCAGTCACATACTGTCGACTCAGGGGATCGAACCAGCGACCTGCTGGTGACAGGGCTGGTTTCCTAACCTCCAGGCCACAACTGCAAACGATTAGATGGGGTTTAATGAGTGCAACATTGAACTCCACTATGTTTTTGGATGTGACTACAAAGTGGCAGACTCTCAACAATGCACTGCTTAGTGAATAAGGGAAATATGGTTTCTGACCTACGGTGGTTCATGTATGATTTTCAAATTAGCTTCATATGTTATCCACTAAAGTTGTTGTTATGTCGTTGTATCCACATATACCCAAATAGTGTGTCTATACACAGAAAGGAGAGAGTTAGTTTGTAGTCTGTAACATTGCCCAGTGAGCTGAATTTAACCCATGGACAGCAGTAAAGATAATAACTTATGACTGGCTTTTATGTGATAACTGTTGTAAAGCTACACACTGCTGACGTGATTTACTTTACCTAACCCTTCCCCTGTCCTCAGTCAGAAAAGACTTGACAATTTCCTTTATTACCATAATATATTTATTGAAAATTCTGTAACTCTGGGATGCATCAGTACTAATACAAAATTAAAGTGGCTATGCAATTGACAGCAAATAAAAGTCAACTGCTTGACCCTATAACCAGTGGATGGTTCTTGAGTGACCCAATTTGGGCCATGGAACATCTTTTGGGCACCTTTCTGGACTCCATGGTAAGCATAGAAACCTTGACCTCACAAAAGAATACAACATTTTTATTTGAGGAGTTCTGACTCTTAGGGTGTCAAATGGAGCACTGATCTCGTTTGATGGAAACTGTGGAGCTCTAAAATTCAGTGATCCTGTGAAAGGAGCCCACATAGAGGGAGGAGGCAGCCCAATTAGTTGGGCTACGCAAAGAAGGCCCAAGCACCATCCAACACTATGCAGGAATAGAACTCCCAGAACTTCATAGCGTCATAGACAGAGGACAGTCAACACTGAACTTTGCCATCTGGCCTACAAAGTCTGGCCTGTCATAAATTCAGATCTTCCACACATTTCCACAGACCTTCAAAATATAACAAACACAACTTTATGTAATCTGGCACAATATGCTGGTATTTCTACAATTAGCTTGTATTTGTTTATCCAGAAGTGGACTAACTCAAAGACAGAACAATAGGTACTTTTGCAATTTGATAAGTATAAGTTTTCCTTGGGATTGATGTGATACTTGGCATTTTCTCTGCCTGTCTTGGCTATTTTTCTTTAACAACTGACGTGTGCAGGCAGGACAAACTGCTGCCAATAAAATGAGCCTTTTATCTCCTTTTTGTCTGTTAGTCTTTCACAGACTAATGCCAGCTTGGAGCAGCCTGCTAAATTCCATTCGAGCTCTACCATACTCAGTATCAAAACCAAGTCTGACACTCTTTAATGCCCAAACTTAGAGCTAACAATAATTCCATCAACATTATAGTCTTCTTTTGTCTTCTAGTGATCACCATCATTTGTTAAAATATAAAATGGAAATGTATTACAGTGAAAATATTAATGTAGGATGCAAACACCTGGCAGCGGATTCGAAACTATTATCAGTGGCTTACAAGGTCTATAACCTTACATTTTTGATAGAGCGACAAGACTTGATGCTACCATTGAAGCCCATCCACTGCTGATGGTAAGGGTACTCTCCTAGGCTCAGCATGTCCTGATAGCCCATGTAATTTGGGTGTTCCTATAGGACCTAGCAGCCACTCTCCTCCCTGATGGAGTTGCAGCAGCAGCTAAAGACGGAGTGAAGGTGTGTGCCGTCGCTGATGCACTCTTAAATACTAATTTGGTGAGCATCAATGGCTTTCAAACCAGCAATTATATTTCATGCTGTAATGCTTTTTTTATGCTACTTACGCATGCTATCAAAAAGCTAATACTGCCATGCAGTAATGCTAAAAATGGTAGTTATAGACTTACAGGAAAATGCATTTATGTTGTATCCATCTGTTCAGTTATTGCAAGTCACACCATTTATTTACAATCGATACATTTGTTCTCGTTGACTAATTTGAAAGCTAGCAAATACAAGTCTGTCTTACCTTCACCATTTTAATCATTATGGTTTACCTTCCACAGTGTAAGCAGGATTTTGATGTTTTTATGTAAAAACCGAATGTGCTGATTAAGGAAAGCCTTGATTTGCATATCAGCAAAAAGTTTTGTTTGATTTTCTTGTGTTACGAGCCTGTTTTCAAGAACTGCACCTGAGGAGTGAGGCTCTATACTGATCCACACAATGTTTATAAATACATTATTAATGTCAAAATGATGGGATATAGTCATATTCATACGTATATGCCTCCAGTATCATTTAGATCAATATGAATAATAAATTATAGCCATGTGTTTATATTTATCTTTGAACTGGTTCATTTTGCATTTAGGGAAAATAGTTGTCATAAGGAAGTAATACCCTAAAAATTAATAAGTAGTGTTTTCCCATGTAAAGCCAGATATTGAGTTGCATTTGTAGTTTACTGCCTGCAGCAGAACATATTTTGAGTCAAGGATCAGGGTAGCACGATGCAATAACACAAGGATCAGAATAGCAACATTATACTACTGAAGTAAATGTACATATCAGCAGCATTTGTAGACAGCATATGTACTTAATTCTGTTATATAGCTCTGACAACAGATCTATAATTAATTAATCATGAGCGTTCATCATATAAATAGGCTTAAAAAGGTTTAACAGTTTAATTTGCACAAAGCCTATCACTAGATGACACTTGAGAGCCATGACAATTATCACGATGACAATCGCGCTACTTTACTTATTTAACAAGGGTGCAACCTAATCCAACTATTCAATCCACCTTAAACAACTTCTCATTAGAGCTTGTTACATATGTCTTCAGATTAATATATACTTGTACCTAAATCATGTAAAGGAAGCCAGTGAAATCCTAATTAACCACAGCAGCAATCTAACTGAACTAAGAATCTACATCAGAAGTGCTGAAGTCAGTGGTTGAATTTTAATATTACAGGAAATAAAATTATAGCAAATGAAAAATGCAGACCATATCATGAGGGTTTTAACACATGGATTTTATAAATCAGGTGCATTAGATGAGGATTGGAGTCAAACTCTGTTGATAGATATACAAGACCAGAGCTAAACACCCCTGCTCTAGCATTTAAAATTTGCTATATTGTGCACCATCCATTTGTCCTTCACTCTTACCCTTTTTAAGAACTGAGCTTCAGAGTGGCTGCCTGGGCATATCTTTATATTTTTGACTGTAATCATCAACTTTTCTGTTATGCTAGTAAATGAACACAAATATTCAGTATACAAGTTAAAATAATGCGCAAAAATGAACTTGATTAGATCAGTCCCCCTGAATATCTACTCATATGTGACATGATCTTGTGGGCAAACAGTACAAAGACTATGCAGGTGTAGCATAGCTTTGGCCTGGGATTTCAAATATTGCATATGATTAGAAAGCTTCTCATGTTTAGTGTAGAATTTGTGACACATTTGGCTTTGAAGGGTTAATATGCTTTCCAGTCTTGGCTACTGAGAAACAACCGCAAATATGATTTTGCTGCCAGCGCGCTTCATTTTAGGGACATTACTGATTGAGAAATCTTAAACTGGGTTTAGAAGCTATTCTGTTCATGGAATTGAACAATCATGGTCCACTATGATTATCTATCACTAGATGAGCTGGTAAACTGCTGTCACACTAATGTTTACAAGTACCAACCTGGAGACATAGTGTGGCTATTAACTCATAAATTTAACATCTTGATTCCCTATAGGAAGTTGTGTCCTCACTGTACTGGACTGGTCAGTATTACTAGGTAGTTCAGGTGGCATACGTTCTTCCTGTTTTTATGTCTCTCCTTTTAGGCTAGTGGCACCTGGTCCAAATCGTGATGTGCCCTCTGGACTGTGCTGCTGTCATTAGATGCAAAAGCTTGCTTGTGGATAGAGAGGCATGTAGTCCCAGTGAATGGTTCAGGATATCTACTGTTGTCATCCTGATCAGGGACATGTTCTTCTCCAGACTGCTCCCTGGGCAAGGAGCCCTTCCACAGTAACAATATATTATGGCATTAATATAATTCACTTCAATGAGGAGATGATGGAAGAGGTTTGACACTATATTAGTGTTCCTCATAACAGTACATAATAATGTTTTGTAAAGACCCAGAGGTTTCCCCACTGCAACAGCTAACAGTGTCAAAGCTTATTTTAGTATATAAAACTGCTAGTTGGCAGAAAGCATGGCAGAAACTGCGTAAAGAGACAATAGAGGAAACACAGCAACTGTAAGTATAAAGAAATGAAAAGATTTTTGGAGGTTGGAGCTCCAGCTATTATGAAACATTTGTGTTGAATGTAGCAGTTGATTGAATTACAACACTATAAGTTGAGAGTAAAGAGAACTTAGTGGGAAAACAATCCTCACATGACCTGACTGGACAATTTCCATCAACTTTATAGGTCCATTTGGAAACTCAAGTCAAAAACACCTTTAAACCTTTTAAACTCATGTACATCTTGTCAGAAGCTCTGTTGTCTACACCTGTTTGTAATATGAAATTTCCATCAGTAGTAACTGATACGAAATACTGAAATTAGCTGTATATGTTAACTGAGTGGGTTTGTGAAGCACAGTAGCTTTCACATACTGATCTGTAACTCTTGTTGAGTGCTGTGAAATTAACAGAAATCACAGATGTGCTTGTTCATCAGGTTTCAGGATATTTGAATGACAAAACCCCACTGCCAGCCTATGAAGTATAAAAGCCATTTAACTATTCATTCAGAGGGGCATTGGCTGGATTCCCACAAAGTCTATCAGACATGGGCAAGGTAAGTATTGCATGGACAAATGCTGTGCAGAAGTGACATCAACAATACAGGCCAAACAATTTTTTTTAATTTACCAATTCTGTGCTCTGCCAAAGTGTAATATTTACAATTCTGTTTAATTGTAAAAGGAAAATGCATGCAGTAGTATGCAAAATAGTTTAGGCATCTGTGGTCAAATTACATGTTCTGTTTGTTTTCTAAGTGAAAATAAGATAACACATCCTCCACAGGGAACACACTTCTGCACATTTTAAGGCACAATTACTATTTATGTGCTGAATTTTGCACATTGTGGAAAAAACAAATTTATTTATTTTATATTTTTGCAAATAAATAGAAATAGTGTATTATTTTTTTTTTAATATTTAGATGTTAATATCTGTGTTCTCTGTAGAGGGTGTGTTAACTTATTTTCACCTAGAAAATCTGCAAAACATGTCATTTGACCAGGGGTGTAAAACCATTGTCTTTTCCCCGGAAGCTCTACAAATTTCTTTCTTCTTTTGTTCATGTTTGATTGCACATTTGGAAACTGTTTATGGTTTTTGGGAAACAGCTGTAGATTTTTGAGTCAGATGTTGTGTGGGGTCATTTGAGCATTTGCGTTTGGTTTCACTGGTAAAATTTATGTAAACAACAAAAAAAGAGAGAATTTCTGAATTCTTGCAGGTCATTTTCTATGAGGAAAGAAACTTTCAAGGTCGCTCCTATGAGTGCAGCAGTGACTGCTCTGATATATCTACCTACCTCAGCCGCTGCAACTCATGTAAGGTCGAGAATGGTTGCTTTATGGTCTATGACGACTCCAACTTTATGGGAAACCAGTACTTTATCAAGAGGGGAGAGTATTCAGACTACACGTGCATGGGCATGAGAGACTCCATTCGCTCCTGTCGCCTGATTCCACAGGTACATGTGTTTAAATAAGGTTTAACAATCCTGTTTAAACAATCCAAAATGTACATCTGAAAAATAATCTTCTAATTTAGCACTAAATAAAACAGAATAAGTGTTGTTGCTTTAATCTGTATTGAGTGTGATATTGTGGTGAATTTAGTTTTGCTCTTGATTTAATTTAAGTGTAATTTTTAACATGTTGTTGCAAATTTCCTTCCATCTCATAGCACAGAGGAGCTTTCAGAATGAGGGTCTATGAGAGGGAGGACTTTTCTGGACAGATGCACGAGCTGATGGATGACTGCGATTCCCTTCACGAGCGCCTCCGCATGTCAGATTGCCAGTCCTGCCAGGTGATGGATGGTCACTGGCTCATGTATGAGCAGCCCCACTACAGAGGCAGGATGATGTACATGAGGCCTGGAGAATACAGGAGCTTCAGAAACCTGGGGATAAGTAACGTGAAATTCAGCTCTGCCAGAAGAATCACTGACTTTTGTTAGATTCAACTGCCTCTCAGAAATGCAAAATACAACAAAAATAAATAATGCCTTCCTTAATTCCTTACATTTTGTATGTTGTGTAATCCATTAGATGTAAATCATATTCAAAAACACTGAAATGAAAAATGGATCATTAAAATTGGGAAAAATAAGTCTTAATTTTTTATTGTATTGTACATTATTTTTATTGTATATTGACATATTCATATCATCACTGTCACAACAAAAAACTCCTCTCTCTAAAATATTAATTTCTCAGGAAAAGGAACAAACATTGAACTTTGAATGGATGTTTGAATGGATGTTAATGGAACAAGATTATTTCAAAGTTATACTGGTGCATATCTATTGCTGCATTCATCATCCATCCATCCATCCATCGTCTAAACCGCTTATCCTTCTGGGTCGTGGTGGGGTGCTGGAGCCTATCCCAGCTGTCATTGGGCGGAAGGCAGGATACACCCTGGACAGGTCGCCAGTCCATCGCAGGGTGCATTCATCATAAAAATTATAAAGCACATTGTAACCAGCAGTTGGCTTTTTTCAATTTCTGTAAACAAATAAAAAATGAAAAAATAGAGATCATGCTCATTCATTTGATATAGTATGGTTATGTTTAACTAATGAAAGTAAAAGAAGTGAATGAATAGATTTAAGTTACCTATATACGTAACTAGGTTAAAAATATAATGTAATACCCAGCTGTTGTGTAGAAACATGTTCCACAGCAGGGCATGTGGTAACTTGCTCTACAAACAAGACTAGGTGGTTAACAAAAGTATGCACACACAATGAAAGAAAGGCAACAGGGAAGACAAAACACAGAGAGGATAAGTAAATCAAGTGCAAAAGACATGTCTAACATGCAGATGGATTGTGCCAAGAGCCAATACGGAGAGATGTGAGTTTTACCTTCCAGTGTTACTTATGGCAGTTCTAGTCATATGAAACCAGACTCCTATCACTTTGAAATGAGTGATACGTACAGTACTCAAAAGCCTTGGGACACTTCTACCATCATGTTTTTAAATATTTAATTTGTTAATGTATTATTGAAATTTTGCTTTGCTCTATTCAAAAATACTTAATACTTTTGGTCCAACTAAACAGCAGCAAACTATAAAACCTAATCCCATTAAAATAAATTACTACTTCTGCAAAGCCACAATCCAACACATCTGACTCATAATCTCATTACCATTCTGGATTTAAATGTAAATGTAGAGTTAAATTGACCAAAAAATATTGTCTATTGGTAACAAAATGTCAGTGACATTGAAAATGAAAATTACATTGAAAATTCAAAATTTACAATGTACTGAAACCATGATATGACTCCATAAATGTTCAACATGCGCCACACTCTGGCCAATACTAACACACACAAAAAAACAATTACACACACACACATATATATATATATATATATATATATATATATATATATATATATATATATATATATATATATATATATACACACACACACACATTTTCAGTGACTTCACACTGTACACCCCCTACACATTTATATTACACGTGGTGTTGGGGTGAAGGTTTGGAGGTGCTATGTCCCTTTACTCTGTTCTCCTCCTGCATGGTCTACTGTTAGTGTGTGCGTGTCTGTGTGTGTATGTGTTTGTATATGTGTGTATGCATGTGTGTGAGGGTGGACAACATGGACAGGCTGCTGACTGGCTAAAGCTGCTAAAGGAGAACCCTTCGCTGGCCACTTGTGATATTTTAAACATCTGGTATTTTTACATAAATTGTTATGGCTGTATTGATTAAAAAAACAATAATGCAGTGGGTCCACCAGACCACTGAGTAACAAAACCATCAACACCACACATGGGTTAAGTGAAATCTAGTCATCTATCTTGAAACTCACCTTCAGGTTATCCAGAATGATGACCTAGTTCTTTGCAGTACACCACACAAGAGTTAACATGATTTATCACTTATTTCAGATGAGGTCGATCAACCAAGGCAAGTTTGCTTCTTTAGTTTACACCAGGAGATGCTTTGCTAACAAACACTGTACTTGGATTGTCACCAAGCGCATCTTGGTTAATACCCAAAAACGTCTCTCACCCTGCTCAAAACACTTTCCAGATCTTCATTTGTCTCATGCACACACATCGTGACTTACTTAAGTCTGTAAAAACAAAAATAAATAATAAACATAGATGAATGGTAGGGCAGCCACTGTAAGTAACCAGAAGCACTTTTGCCTCAATATGTGGTATTATTCCATGCAAGACAGCCAAAGGCAGAGCAATGAGAATTACGAAATACAAGAAGTTAAGCTTTTGTACCTGGAAAATCAAAACAATGTCCGATTACAATTTTGAAGACCACATTTTTAGCTTCATGTGTTTGAACTTGAGGACACACTAGAAATGCGACAGCTGAATGCTGAACCCACCAGTGACTCAGCGGACACACCTGCAGCCCCTCGTATGACAGGAATTGAGTTTAGTTGTGGAAGAGCAGGTGATTCCCAATGAGGTGGAGTGTCTCTGCTGTGGGGAGTTGGAGCAGGAGAGGTTGACGGCAGTGCTTGAATAAATCGGCACTAAAGACAGTAAAAAAGATGTTAATTTATTTCTATAGTTAAATTGTGGAAGAAACATTAATCAAGCATGTAAGATGTAAATGGCATAAAGTGAGCACAAATGGACAGTGAAGATGGAGATAAAGTAGATAAAGCTTACCTCAAGTCCACTTCTCATCTATAGAAAATTGCTTGGAACAGCTGCAGATTTCAGAATATTATGTCTGCTAACTTTCTTGTAATCATCAGGTGAAAAATGATCACTGCATGCACAGTTTTGATGAGCCTGAAGCTGGATTCTTATTCAGCTAAACTTCACATTCCTCCTAACATGGTGAACATCCTGGCACCTGCTACATTCCAATAACAAGCTAGCGAACAACAAGATAATTTCAGCTTTGTGAGATTTTTTTATGATACTCTTGCTAGTTTGTGGTTCATTGCCAAAAGCCAGAGTTTGCATGTTTCTGCATCATTAGGGAATTTGTGTTAATATACCGGACTGCAGCTGGAGTTCTTCATACTGTTTACAAAAAATTAGATGCAGCACCTCGTTTTTGTAGCTTTAGCCTAGCACCTTTCACTGTAAACTAAAGAAGCAGACGTCAGATATCAAATGTGTCTTGGCTGATGACTGCATCTAGAGTTAAATAAATCCCTAAGGGATAAATCATTTAATTAGATTTTTTGCCAAACAATTCCTTTAACATTTCAAAAACAGCATAAACTGTTTGTACCGTTTGGCTTAAATAATGCAAATGTGATTTTTTTCACTTTGTTCTGTTAACTGCACATGATTATATGTCCACAATGAGAGGGAGCTTTTTTCCCCTTAAACAGAACGCATATTGAGCGTTACAAGCTTCCCATTGATTTTCCAACCAGTGACTCAAGGGTCTCCTTTACAATATCTCTGGTTTTACTCAGCAAGGTTGCATTGAACAAACACTTATCATGTAGAGCTGAGAAGTTGTTGTGCTTCACTGAAACAACAGTTTCAGTTTCACTCAGTTACATACGTTTGAAATATCAATATCATTAATATCAATGAAGGAGATATGATTCAAACCAACAACATAGCGATTTAATTTTTGAGTGTAGAGGGGATGAGGATCATAACATTGTATAAATAAACATAAAAATATTTCAATCAAAACTTGATGTGAACCCGCCTATCTTCTTTATTTGTACACTATTTTACCTTTTGGTCCTCAGTCCACCACACATAACAATTTAATGATAAGGCTTTTTCCAGCAAACAAATGATTGTACCTGAAAGACTAATGATTTATGTAACCACTTTTTTTGAAAAGTTATTCCTGAATTTTGTTTGAAGCTAGTAGGTTGCAAGTGAACTAGATATGTTGTGTGTTTCTGATCAGAACTCCCCACATGCCTGAATGTGTTGTGTTTATACAAATATATATATATATATATATAACACTTTTTATGTAGTGTAGAAATACAGAGGGTTAAACCAATTCAATTGCAAACTGTGCTGAAATAGGCTCATAAGCCAGATTGGTTAGGTTTCCAGAACCACTGATTCTAATAGGAACATATATATATATTTAACCCTCTGTATTTCTACACTACATAAAAAGTGTTATTTCTGTTTTCTCCTCCTGCCTGTTCACTTCAGTTTTTACTACTGCTGTATTTCAGGCATTGTCTCTGACTGTTGCCCACAGCGACCGCCGACTAGTGGATTTATCAGTCGACTAGTCCATGCAACCTATAATTTACGGAGCACCTGAGATGACATGATGATTTTTAATGTGGCATGGCCACAAGTTAAGTTTATTGAAGCCACAAATTAGTGTATTGATAATATATATAATGTATTAACCTAACCCTCACCTCAACAAATTAATTTGTGGCCATGAAAAACATAACTGGTAGGCTCGCTATATTAATTCATGGCCTCAGTATATAAAGTTGTGGTCACTTCTTATTAAAAAATAATCACCATGTCACTTTAGGGGCTCTGTACTAGTTCACAGCGGAGGACACTTTTGGCAGACTACACTGAACAGTGTCCTAGTGAGAACTACGAGCAACCAGCAGCAAACTAGCAAAAAGGAGCAGCAATGTGGAAAGCTCCAGTTTCCCCTGAAACAAGATGTAGCATAGCGGTATGTGAGTGAGAGGACCGCAATCCCAGAAGAGTTAAAACATGCAGCCACTGTTGCTCTCACTGGACGTCAGTGATGAAAATCGGAAATGTTCATCTTACCATATTCACCCTGTGTTGATGTGAAGGTTCAGTTCATGTGAACCCTGCATAATGTGATGAACATATTCTGATGAAGCTTATTTTGTTCACTTATAGAGCTATAAAAATGACTTGCTTTTTAAGTGAAAAAAGTTTCTTTTAGGATAAAATTTGGGCAAATAAGAGTAAGTGCTTTTAATTGCGATTAACTACACAGAAGAATATGTAAAACTCAATGCACTACGATCACCTAAACCATCACAATATTTAGCAACAATAAATTCAGGCCACCAATTGGACTACTAACTATTGGACGAATGGACTGATTGGACCAACCGATCATTTCATCACATAATATTTATTTTCATACTCCCACACCTCTTCAGGTACATTTCTTACCAGTTTGTTGGTGGCTGTGTGAGTGAATTCTATTCACAGATCTTCCATTTATCCTTTTGACCACAGCTGAAATCCTTCTGACTGACTAACCCATAATCTAGAAGGCTCCACCAGCAGTAAATACAGCTGTCCCTCCATTTCTATTATGAATGGTGCTCTGCCTGTCCAAACAGAGGTGTTGCCTTTCTGCATAGGAGCCAAGCCCACCCTCTCCTACAGTCGAGAAAAAACAACAATTGGCACAGCCCCAGGTACAAACAATTCGAAAACCTGTCCTCTTGCAGACTGATTTAACAAACAGCATAGGATTGCTGAGTAAGGCCTTCACACAATAGCTGCATAGGTTTTTAGCAATCAAACTGGATATAAAAGTGTCACACTCATATGCCACTAAAGCGCTGTCACTTTTTGAACTGGGAAAAAAAAGCAGTCATCATGGGAAGGGTAAGAAATTTCATGTTCAAATCAGAAACAGATTTCACAAATAGTACGAGTAGTAGTTCTGTTCAGGAAGACTAGATTCAAAACCTGAGAAATCTAATGTTAAAACATTTAATACTGAATATTCAGTGTTATCCATGTATCTGACTCAACGATTGTTCTAACTTGTAGATCATCTTCTACGAGGACCGGAACTTCCAGGGCCGTTCCTATGAGACCAGCAGTGACTGCCCTGAACTGACCTCCTATCTAAGCCACTGCAACTCCTGCAGGGTGGAGAGTGGGTGTTTCATGGTCTATGAGCGCCCCAACTACATGGGCCACCAGATGCTGGTGAGGAGAGGAGAGTATCCTGATAACCAACTACTGATGGGCATGAGCAAGAGTGACTGCATCAGGTCCTGCAGGACAATTCCAATGGTAATTTCCACACAAATGGATATTCTACATTTAATACTCTGCTCTGTATTTAATTGTTTGGTGGGTGGTGTTCATAAAGTTGAATATAATTTAAACAAAAGTTTGTATTACTTTTTTATCATTTTTTAAATTGACATTTCTTATTCTTCAGCATAGGGGTACTTTCCGCATGCGAATCTTTGAGAGGGAGAACTTTTCTGGACAGATGCACGAGCTCATGGATGACTGTGACTCCATCCAGGAACGCTACCATATGTCTGACTGCCAGTCCTGCAACGTAATGGAGGGTCACTGGCTCTTGTATGAGCAACCAAATTTCAGAGGCAGGATGATATATCTCAGGCCTGGAGAGTACCGCAGCCTTAGAGACATGGGAGTTGGTCCAATGAATATTAGAATTGGCTCTATTAGGCGCATCATGGAGCCCTGTTAGGCATGATTTCCCCATGAATGCAATAAAGTAACACTGCACATCTGAGTTTTGCCTTGTTTATTTGTTACAGGATTAAAACATATTCCACAGACTTTGTTTTTGATGTACTTTTAATGCAGTTTAGCTAAGCAGTAATGCAGTCACAACATCATCAGGAATGTTTTATCAATAACCATGACATTGTTTACTGAATTGCCAGTTTAATAGCTATATCTACTGTAACTGCATACAGTCAGGCATACAAACCTTTTGCATAATTATTCAACCACTCCATCCATTAATGAAAACGAACCATCATTGGACCACTGCAAACATGAACTTATTCAGGAAGTCGGCCATTCTCAACACCGCAGTGACACCGACATAGTAAAGGCCTGGCAGTGTGTGTTATGCTAGTAAGAGTGTATTAGGTGCAGTAATGCTTCTGGGGCTTTCACACCATAATACCACTGCTGGGTACAGAATAGCCTGCCAGCCAACAATATTCAGACAACAGTGATTTTGTACTCAGAAACTAACCACAGGTGAAGGGCTAGCAGATTAACATTAATTGTGCATAGTAAAAGAGCCATACACAGTCAGAAAAAAAATTACATTTTTGTCCCAAGATACAAACAGTATAAATGTACCTTCAAAGGTACAACATGGCCATTAAAGACCAGTTGTGTACATTAAATGAAGCAAACTACATTCACTTTTCCAGGAAAATGTTGCAAATTTGTACCTTTCAAAACTTGACCAAAATTATTCTTAAAGAAGTGAGCTTGGCAATCTGCCACTCGAGTCGCACTCCAATGTAATGTTGTGAATTCTCACATCACTGTTAAGTTGTACTGTACAAGGGAAAATTGGTTATTTTGCCTCCTGATCTGGGGGCAGGACAGTAACACTAGCAGAGTTTTTTGCCACAACCACAAGGGCACAACCAGGAATGCCTGGTAATTCCTGGGCCATATAGCTGTAGAACAACAATCAAATCAAATGCGAGGGCACTCTAGATTATAATAATGTGCTACACAGGAAGAGTGAATAATGGCATTTCAATGGTAGGCCTGAAATGAATTAATTATATCAGTCAGGATTCCCTGTATTAGTCCCACAGCATGTGGGAATGCATTTTCAAATGAAAACATAAGATTAAACCAAGCTCCCCATACAAAAAAAAAATTTGCAATGTATGAAAATGACCAAAAAATGTATTTGTTAAATATCGTTTTAAAAAGCATTTCTTTGTATTTGTTATTATATTTTTTCAGTTGTATGTAGTTTTAACAAAGGTTACAGATATGACTAAACATACAACACAATTAATTAATATTAATTCATTAATTAATGACATTAACTTCTGTGTTTTGGACTGTACTTTGTGTTAACTACTGTATGTATGTGGTAAGACATCGCTTACACAAAATGTATTTCAAATAAACAAGATATCAAATCATCAAACTGCATTTTCAGTATATCAATACCTACAACACTTGATTTTGTCATGCTAAAGATTAGTTAGCCATTTTAAAATTTTAAACTAATTTAAATTTAACATTAAGATGTGGAATACAAATTCATTTCAAATGGTATTCCAAGCAGTAAAGTGTATAAGACAGTATTTTGGCAATTTTCATACATTTTCAAATGTATTTGATAAATACATTTACAGAAATGTATTTTTATGGTACATTTCCAGGTGTAATATTTCCCCATACATTTTAGCATAAATGCATTTTAAAATAGATTTGGATAATATGGCCGTACATTCTGAAATACATTTTAGTGTTTGGAATGCATTTTGGCATGGATTGCAAAATGTGTTTCAGATATGTAAACATATATCTGCATATTTTTCTTTCCATACAGGTCATCTGATCTAGCCTCTTCAGGTCATTTTCAATTATAAGAAAAAAGACAGTCCTGCATGTCCAGAATGGAACAATGGTCAGCTTTTCAAGTAATTTGTGTCACACAATCAGTAAACATGACTACACTATTATGCAAATATTTCTGCACTACAACTGCCTTTATAAGCTTTTCATAAGCCTGTATTACAGTTAAACCAGTACTACATTGTTGATATTATTCAGTGGACCAGCTTGCATTAGTAGCATTTGTAAGTAAAAAAAAACATGAACTTAGATTGATTAGATGTGGAAATGCTGCATGAACCTGTGTAGGAGTTTATAGAAAGAGTGCCTGATTTAGGTACAATACTGAGAGTGTGGGGGAAAAATGCTGTACAGGACAAAACAAAAAAAAAGGCAGATGATTTTTTCCCATGATTTCACGTCCTCTTTAAAACAGAAATTTCAATATGAAATGAAATGTACATAAATGTACTAAAATTTATTAGGATTCATATTTTTGCAGGGTACCACAGGTTTAATTTGTATTTTTGGATAATTGATGAGTTCTAACAGCTACACAACTAACATGAAGTTACAGAAAAGACATTTCGTTTATGTTAATATTTCACACAAGAAATTAACCACTAATTTTCATTAGCATACTGCTTTGAAAGCTGTATATTAACAGATTAATTTCTAATTGGACTGTCATAATTTCACTAGTTAACACTGATGTTAACAAATATGAGTAAAATACTCTGAAGTATTATTATTACTTTCTGAGCTAAACTAAGTTTTCTATAGCAGAAAAACAGAGAAGTGGGTTTTGTAATGAATCCCAGGACTGGGACTGAAAACTGATATAGAAAAACTAAAAATATAAATAGATAATGAAAACATGTGAAGATATAAACAGAATATGAAAATATTAGTATATTTTTCCGTTATTTGTGGTCACATAAATACTTCAGACTACTTTAACCTGTGACACAGATCAATGGGCCTCATATTACAAATGCTTGAAAAAATGAATAGCAGCTGGTTAGAGGCCACCTAGAATTGTAATAGATCTATGCCATGTTGCTCAGTCAGGGGTTTACACAATGGGTGAACATATTCTTTGGGCATTACGTCAGGTATAAAAGAGACAGAAGGTCAGAGTTGAGGCTGTGGAATCCTGAGACAAAAATGGCCACAGTTGTGTCCATGAGTAAGGCAGGTAGAATCTAGAGGTAGATTTTATTTATTTAATTCAAAATAAAATCACAAGCTGCAAATGTAGAATAGCACAATTTCATGATAATGTTTTGTGGAATATGATCTTTTAAGGTCCTTGCTTGGAGACTAGTTGTGACAGACATGATCCTAGATGTCCTCTTACCTGAGCTCCTGCCACTGAGGCAGCAAGGCAAGTAGCAGCTTTATTTTGCAGTCTACTGCGTTACTACAGAACTTTGATCATCTTACTAGTAAATACTGTGTGTGTATTTATAAAGCTTATTCTTCGTGGTGCTCTCCTTGTATATCGCTGTTGTCGTAAGAAAACCTTGTATCCAAAATGATAACTTTACGGGAAAAAGAAAAAAAACATACTTCACTTTTAATGTCAATGGAACCAGATGTTTTTCCAAGTCATTTTGGGCTGTTTCTTTTGGTCCATTCATCATGAAATTTACACGCAATGTAAAGGGCAACAGGCATTTTCAAATTATGTCAAAAACTGAAATATGACAAAAATGGAGATAGGAGGTTTTCTTCCAACAGCAGTGATATTCATTTCGTGTATGTTCACCCGGATTCAAGAGCTGACAAGAAACATTAACTGGACTAAAACCTAAATCTGAGAGGTTTTTTTTTTCATCAGACCTGACCTGACCTGAAGACATTCTTCCACTACAGTGGTAGTAGATACACACCGTGAGTACAAAGGAAAATTGTTTTTTACTTTTGTATGTTATTTTATGGGTTTAATATATGAACACAACCCAAGATGGACTGATTTGTTTTTACCCAAACGTGAGAGCTCATGATGAGTCACCGTGGGTTTTAACTTGAGTAATATGCTGTGTTAAATATATACATTTGTTTGGTTCTGTGTGTTTTCCAGTCAGTACTGTATAATTAATGCCAGTTAGCTATTGCGAACCCCATATGACACTGGTGACACTAAATGAACAATTAATATTTACATGTGCCGTGATGAATAATTGGTATCACTTTCTAGTGTCTCTTATGTTCCAGATATTTACCAGGTACATGTGTGGTACATGCTTCACAGTACTAGCTCTTTTGGATAACATGATGGTAAATGCCAAAACAGTTTAACTAAATGACACTGAAATGCCAAACGTGTCCTAAACATAACTGGGTAACTGTGAGGTATGAACTTCAAAGTGCTGTGTAATGACTTGGGTAAAACGGGTAAGTACCGAGACAAATGCTGAGAAAAATTTTCATCATTGGATTATTATTTACAATAACAAGGTGTTAAGTACAAATATTCTCAAACTGTAATTTAAGATGTTTAAGCAGGAAAGTGAATCAGAAAAGTTAACAGTAAGGACCTAGTAAACCCATAGTAAGAATCACTGCTGTCTTTTACAATCCAGATTGAGTTTTGTTTTTAGGTACATAGAGAACATAATACACTGAAAAAATGATGCTGTGGATTTGTATGATGTAAATATGTTAAAAGTGTTTGCAAACAAATAAAGTGTTTCATCAAAGCAACCACTTTTTTATTTCTGTGCTAACACATTTGAAACATGAACATTTTTTTCATTGTACATTAGACTCTTATGACTTCAAATGTCTTTGTACGGTCTGCCTTTGTGCCCTGTATAACTACTTCCTATCTAAAGATTTTAGGATTTACTTTCCTGCTTCAACACGTGACGTTACAGTGAATTATCGTATGAGTTTGTTTGTACTTACCACTTTATTACTTAAAACAATTATCTACTTATGTCCATTACCCGCACAAGAAGAAGGGTGCCGTTGGATTGGTTATGATATGTTCATTATTATACAACAAAAAGTATACCACATACCAATAGAACTACATTTCTTGGCGGGAATACTTGTTTATGTCGCTTAATATTAATAATAACAAATTATTTTTGGAAAATTTGTATATTTTATCATATTGTATGTTGGCCGCCATTTTATAAATGCAATAACCCCTCAGAGTTTTAGGCAGTCCACTTTGCATTGTGGCTAAGAACACCTTCCACTTGATAATATCGCAGTAATGCACAGCCTCTCATGGCTTATCGCTTTAATGGACGCGAGTTCCAAAAAACTGAAATGTTCAAGATTGTCCTGCTCATTTCTGCTGTTATTAGGGACACCTCAAAGGTCAAAAGTGGCTGCTTGCAGCGATCAGGTACATGCAGTGTTTAGCTACATGATGTCTGAAATTCCTTTGTTAATTTTTATAGTTCACTGTAAGCCATACTGTGTCCTAAACCACACTGACAAGCCAATTGGTGACCTAGATTGAGGTTGAGAAAATTTTGAGCATGATCACCAGGTGTCAAAGTAATGACATTACGCAGCAGCTTCCTAGCTTCCTCACCAAGCATTCAAACGTTCGCAATGTGATTATTCACATAGGCTGTAACAACATCAAAGACAAAAAAACAGAACTTCACGAAATACTTCACACAGCTGTTTGACGCACTCAAAAACTGGCAAAAGGATTTTTATCTCTGGCCCAGTCCCGTCCCTGACAAGAGGCATGGGACATTTTCGCCGCTTGTTAATCTACCACAGTTGGCTTCAGACAACTTGTCTAGTGAATAAACTATTTTTTATTTACAATTGTAATATTTTCTGGAGTCATACATCCCTTTATAGCAACGATGGGATTCATCCCAGCAGGCTGACTCGCAGATTATGAGTCACATACTCTGTTCTTAATCTGAAATAACTATCCAAAATTAGAAATGAGCACTTAGCTATCCCTGTAATCATTAGCACTTGACCTAGGATCAGCCACGCAAACAAGGAAATGAAGCAGAAAGGTAACTTTTTTTACTAACCCAGCTAATCTTATCAGCATTAAGCCATCCTGGTCACCCCTCCACCCCCAAACTGTCTCACAGACACCAAAACCTATGCTTGCAATAAAATTATTACCATATCCTGTTAGTTTCAAACATAGAAAAGACAGTCATAATTCATTTAACAATCTGTGTGTAACTCAGAAGTAGCCCTACCTGTTTATAATCTATACAGAGTTGATAGGAAAGCAAGGAGTGGTGTAGTGGCTGTTTACATCAAATCTGTCATTCAAGTAAAAAATCCTAATTCATTAACCAGAGAAGGATGTTTTGGGTTTTTAGCTCTAAAAGTGTGAACAGTTTTGTGGTAGCTGGGATCTATAGACCCCCTTCTGCGCTGATACTGTAGATGATTTAGCTGAACTTTTAAATCCATACATCAACTCAGAAATGCTGATCTTAGGCGATTTTCATTTGAATGGGTTAACTAATTCATCTGATCACTTGAAGGAAGTATGTGTCTCTAGCGCAACTAATTACAGAACCAACACGACCAAACTAACATGGCCCCCCAAATCGACACTAATAGCTTTAAATTTAATCCAACAGACCTGACATAATTACTTCTATGGGTGTATTTGACCCTGGTTTTAGTGATTGTAAATGAGGGTCTCCCTTGATGTACTCTGAGTTAAATAAAGATTGATTGATAGATGTATTTGGTGACTATTGACTTCTAGCATTTGTTGGCAGTTTTAACCTGTTAACTTCAGTGCTAAACCAAAGAAGTAGAACTTAGACACCAAACCTATCATGGCTGATGGACTACACCTGGGACAAGTGGATTTCGATTTCTTGCTGAACCATTCCTGAAAGAGCTAAAACTGTCAGCAATTTCAGTGTAATGTAGTTTGACTGACTGCTTAATTACTGCGGTTTAACCCAAAAATATGTGCACAGCACTGTAGAGATTGAGCCTGATGCTTACCCATACATACATACATAATACTTACCCTGTTGGGCAATTCAGTAAAATCTAGTCATCTATCTTGAAACTCACCATCATGTTATCCTGAATGATGACTTAGTACTTTGCAGTTTGTACCTCATACTTACTTAGTTAATACCTAGAATTTACGGGACTGTAAAGGCTAAAAAATATGTAAGAGAAACATCTTGTATCATTACAAACATCAGATTGTGTAAAAGGCCTCAGTCTGTAAAGGTTTTTTGTCATCCAGGTCAGTGAATATTCTACAATAAAATTAAAATGCCAAAAGGACAATAGGACAATAGAAGAACCACTCTGATTCCATAAAGAACATATAAAGGGTCATTAAAGGCACCATTTTTGTTAATGAGATGTGTGCACTTGGAGACATATATATATATATATATATATATATATATATATATATATATTAAGACTAAGAACAACTCAGGAACCTCTTTGTGTCAGAAAACTTTCTAGTACTAGACAACACACAAATGTCTGAGATTAATCAGATCAGTCTTAGAGCACTGATTAGGAGCAGCTAAAACCAAATTGACCAGATTGTCATAATTCTATAATGCAGTGGTTCTCAAATCCAGTCCTGGGGATTTACTGCCCTGCACGCTTTTAACTGTACCCTACACTCCTGCCCCCTGCACACCTGACCCAGTTGTCAACTGATTATCAAACTCTTTATGAACTGGGCTATTAATTGAATAAATAAGTGTATTATATTTTATTCTGGATTATTTATGAGAAAAAATATCAGTAAGGTACTTTAACATTTTTGTGCCAACAGGTCTGTACAGTTAGTAGTTAACTAGTTTCCTGAAGAGTTTAGTTCCAAGCTGCATCTAATATGCTGCCACCTCCTTAACTAATGCTAGTGCATCTGATCCAACCAGCCAAGGACTTTGGAATTAGTTAATTGAGCAGATGTGGAAGATTGTGGCTGCAGCTCTGCAGGGAAGTAGATCTCCAGGACCAGGATTGGTCACCACTGCTCTAGCATAAGGTGATGACCATGGGAGGACAGAAAGAAGAAGCATGGCTGGTGATATCTGCCCCGGAATCTAGTTAGCAATGTGGAGGAGACCACCATATGCAGGACAGTGAATTTGCAGAACATCAGATATTCTATATATGCAGTGAAGGTTTGACAGAAAGCAGCTAAAAAAGGTAAAGTGGCAGAAAGAGGCAAAAATAAAGAAGAACTTGCTCAAGCCAAAGAACATTTGTGAACATGGTAAATAATGGAGCACTAAAACCCATTGAGAATTGCTCATTTGTGACTGACAACTCACCTCAGCTCTTCACTGTCTAAGAACATTACTGAAAATGAGACGACTAGCTCTTTGATGTCTCTGCAGTAATTTATTTAATTAATACATTTTTAAAAGTTGAAATAAAACACATAACACCAACAATAGTATAACAATAACAAGAACAGCAACAACAGAACATGAACAATAGCAGCAATAACATCAATAATAATAATAATAATAATAATAATAATAAGAAGAAGAAGAAGAAGAAGAAGAATCTAACCAACGTGAATAAACTGACCATTACATGATAAACAATTACGATACAGCAATGTTTCTGTCTTGCGTACAAGTTGTTTTAATTTCACCACAAGATGGGTAAAAGTATTTGTATTCCATCTTTATTTGCTTGTTGATAATATGAGAAATGATTGTGTTTATAATGTGTTAAATTGCTGTAGTATGCAGTGTGCAGAGTTCCTACTTACTAGGCTCTACTCAATCAAGATATTGTAAATTTGCAATTTTGAGTTGAGTGGAGGTTGATTTCTTAAACAAATAAAAATAAACCAATTTGTTATTTTCTAGTCTTTTTCTTTGAACAGACTTTTCCTTTTTTCTTGCATGATGAGATGATTATCAGTTTCATTTTGGATCTGTCTCTTGGTTATAGTTAATTCAAACAGATTAATTTAGGCCTTTGTAACGCTATAATGCCTAGAGCAAAGTTTCTGGTTTAGAGCAACTGAAAAAAATCAAACTACTGAAATCTAACTTGATCACATTTGTTAAATATTAGTATAAACTATTCATAACACTAATAAATGAAGCAAAATGCATGTGTTCTTAAGACGAGTCTTCTGCACAAGGCAAAGATGACGAAGTGTTGTTGTCACTCCATAAAATGTTTCTGTTATTAAATCTTATCCTTCTGTCATTTATTTGAAAATATGTGCTCTGTTAAAACACACATTTAAGCAAGGGGTTAAATACCACAATTTTAGCCTTTGTGGAAGTGACAAAGACAGATTGCCTAACTGATGAGTAGTACAAACACCTTTTGTTGTTTGGCAGCAGACCATTCTGTTGAAAAAAAGCTGACATGAAAAGTCAATTGACGTGAGTGACAATGTCTGTTTTCCTAAAGGATATAAAAGGGTACCAGCGATTCTCTGGCAGAGTTGTAGTTAGACAACATTGATCCAGCATAATGGGAAAGGTAAGCCTGTTGTCTGATCTTTTGTCTTATTGTTTCCATGTGCACTTTACAATCACACCTGTCAGAGCAGACCTAACACCTGTAAGAGAAGCTTCTCTAAAATCCACATCTGTTTCAGATTATCTTCTACGAGGACAGGAACTTTCAAGGCCGTTCCTATGAGTGCAGCAGCGACTGTGCTGACCTCCATTCCCATTTCAGTCGCTGCAACTCCATTCAGGTAGAAAGCGGGAACTGGATGGTCTATGAGCGGCCAAACTTTATGGGTTACCAGTACTTCCTAAGTAGGGGGGAGTACCCTGATTACCAGCGGTGGATGGGTTTCAACGACTGTGTGAGATCCTGCCGTATAATTCCCCAAGTAAGTCTCATAGCATTGATCGTGTTGTACAGATATGTGTATTAAGCAAGAATAGCTGCTGTAATATCATCTGGATATGTTTTTAATCTCTAGCATCAAGGATCTCACAGAATGAGGATCTACGAGCATTCTGACTTTGGAGGTCAAATGATGGAGATTACTGATGACTGTCCCTCCCTTTATGACCGCTTCCACTACAACGACATCCATTCCTGCAATGTGCTTGATGGATACTGGCTCTTCTATGAGCATCCCAATTACAGAGGCAGACAATATCTCCTCAGACCTGGCGAGTACAGGAGGTACAGCGACTGGGGTGCTATAAGCCCAAGGATTGGTTCTGTCAGGCGTATTGCCTATTAAATCACAGTATGCTAAAATTTTAAACACGGAAATTTAATTAAATAAAATTCAGCCAAGATACCTGACTAGTGTTTTACAATTACATATAATATGTGATAACAACGTTTTTGTGTGTTAGCCAAAATGCACTTGCATGCATTCACAAATCCAAATCATTAATATTCAAGGACAAAATCCATCACAGTTTCCACGTTGAATATAACAAAATAGAATACTATTGGATCTCATTCACCAATAATTCTTAGGAAGAAGTTTCTTAAAGCCCACAAAGATTTTACAAAGATTCTGACATTGACCAATGGTTTCTTATTTGGTTTAATTCTTATGTATAAACAGAATCTACGCATGCTCAAAAGCACTTGATGTAGACTTTTTTTAGGACCTTTCTCCAGAGCAAATTTAAGAAAAAACTTCAGAAGATATTGGCGAATGAGGCCCATTGAAATTAGAGTCAGTATCTGTGCTGTTAGATTTTTACTCTGAATCACTGTATTACCAGTAACACATTATTATTAGTATTTATCATTGGGTATGTTCCTACTTAATAATTAACCATTAATACTCATTATTTTGCCTGATTCTGTTAAAACCAAGATGCTTCAGCATAATTGCACCATCTGATGATATGCAGAAGTAGCAAAGGTCAAGGCAGTTTTACTTTGCAAATTCTATCAGAATTCATTGAATAGCAACTGGAAAAGCTCAAGTCAAAACTGCAAAAACATGATGCTGATCATGGTGAAAGATTATATGCCTACTGCTCATCTTCACAAGGATAGAACCCATACAAACCAATAAAGATACATTCTAGGCCTGTCTTGTACACTTTGGATTGAAAACCACCTTGCAGCTTGTGCTGATGGAATAGGTGAGGTGTGCATTTTTGGCCAGTGGTGACCAGCAGAGGCTTCTTCTGTACACCCCACACACCACATACCAGAAAGAACCATAAAGAACCAGAACTCTGCTTTTCTCCCTCCTATGTGTCCCTATCAGTGGCCACTAGAAAGTGTCAGGATTGCCATGACTGCCAGATGTGAGGCACTCTGCTTGGATGCAGAACTGACCCTGTGTTAATGCTAAACTCATGGTTTGAGAGCACACAGAGTAAACGTCTTATATCAGACTGTTATGTTATGGAGCCATGAAGAAGACAATGACAAAATATGTGCCAAAAAAAAACTGCCCTAGTTGCATAGCTAATCTCTTAAATCAACAGAATCACCTTTAAAGCCTGAACTGCCTCCCAAGGACACCTTTTAAGTCTGTATTGGGGCATTAAGAAGAGGGGCCACCAACAGAGAATTTAATAAAGTTCATTCACAAATGCCTGTGAAGAGCAACAAAGGCCACAGGATCCTCATATTAAAACATGCAAAAACCATTGTATCAGTGACCGTGTTTCACTGAGCCATAAGAAGCAGGTAGGCCATGGTCCATAGACAAAAAATATTTGTCAAAAGGAGTATCTAAGAGATCTAGCTAGCTCAGAAAGGGTACCTAAGATATGTACTGGTTTGTAGAAAAGCTGCTGAACAATGCAGAATTTTCTTCTTCAGTTTAGTATGCAGTTTAGTATGCAAATTAACAGCTTGGACACTTAACAGCTATGCCTGAAAAAAAGAATGTTGGATATAAGCGCTGAACCTGTTTAGGCTTTTTCGGAAATCATGGTCAGCAGAAGCAGCAGGGATCTCGCTTGATTGCAAGGAAAAGTGTCTTGGAATATGTAGCTTTATACTTAAAGAGTAATTCTTCTGATTTTTCCTCTTAATCTGTTTAGAAGGAAACAAAATAATTTGGATTATTTTGGTGTGAAGTTTTGTTTTAGAGAAACTTATCAAATTATAATTGTTCATATGGGTGGTGATAGAAACCAGATGTCTGTTTGATGTGTTTAATGTGTTTAATGACTCTAAAAGCTGTATCACAGGAAGGTATGACATGAAATGGTTACAGATATGTTGCCTGATAACTGAGACATTATTTTACAATAGATTTGAGATAATGTTTTGGTCTAAAATATATTTTTAAAAATACAAACTCAATTCCAAAAAACTCAGGACAGTATGTGAAAAAAAAACAAAAAACAAAAAACAGAAAGCAGTGATTGGTAAATTCTGTTTCATCTGTATTATATTGAAAATGGTACAAAAGCACAATATTTTATGTTTTACCTTATGACTTTCACTGTTTTTGTGGTTTGGTGTGAAATGTGCCTTTCTACAGAAATATACAGAGTCAGAATTGTTCACCATTATAGTACTAGGAACCAGAGCATTTAATGGCTCTAAAAGCTGATTAAGTTATTACACAAAATGGTTATAAAATGCTTGACACCTGAGACATCATTATGTGATAGTTTTTTAACAAAACTGTCACATAATGATGAAACTACAAAGGCACGCCAGCTCGCGCGCATTAATCTCAGTTGAGAATGTGGTTTTGAGAGGAAACACAGAAGTAATCCTGGAGTAATAATTTATATAAAAAATTTATACAAACTATCACTCCAGGATTATTTCCGTGTTTCCTCTCAAAACTGCATTCTCAACTGAGATTAATGCTCGCGAGCTGGCGTGCCTTTGTAGTTTCTAGCCTGTAGCTACAGCCATTAAGCACAGCTAATGCCAGTGTTGTATCCGATTCAGTTCCCCCTCAAATTCACATTCCCTTTGAGTAATCAGGTACGTGGGCACACGCATTCAGTGAACAGATAACACCGCCAAGCAACACTGGAACTACGTAAAGCGAATAGGTTAAAAAAAGGTTTGCTCTGCAGCTGTATTCACCCAATCGACGACAAACACTACAAAAAGTCTTTATCAGTATGATTGTTTACTGTTTACTCAAATATAAAATAATATTTATCCCAGAATCTCACTTATGCTGTGTTATCTTGGGTGAATTTATACTGCAGATTGAGTGAAAACATGCGGCCATTTAATCTGTTTTGAACCTTTTCGCTTTCCATACTTCCAGTGTTGCTTGCCGTTATTTTCTGTTCAGTGAATGCACGTGTCTGAGGACCTGATTTGTCAAAGGGAACGTGAATTTGAGGGGGAATTAAATCAGATACAACACTGGCAGCAGCTTTTGTTTATATTTGATTTTTACAGTTTTCTTACCTATTTTTGGAAGATGGCAAAGTGTGTGGAGGACTTCGATAAGATCTGTTTCCAAACTGTCATAGAGCCAAATCAGTTCGAACCAGAATACACAAAAATACACAATACAGAGAGAGTGCCAAAAGGGAGAGAGAGAGAGAGAGAGAGAGAGAGAGAGAGAGAGAGAGAGAGAGAGAGAGAGACTAAACCCACTGGCGCCAAAGCAGAAGAATCCAGGGTGAATGGTAATTAGTGGTGTCAACAACAAACTACTTGCTACTCTGCTCACCGGTTTATGGGGTAGGACAGCGCGGTGTGACTGTGATCTATCACAGCTCCTCTGATGAATATCATTACTCACATAAGCTATGAGTTTTGCTGACACCGTGTGATGCAACACCGCCGACCCGAACAGCACACAATGTGTGCAGAGCGGAGAGGTACATACAGGGCGTTGTAAGGAAAAAAATTGTACCCAAAAACATTTTTTTTTAATTTAGCACTATTTTAAATGGAGCCCTGCTAGTGACATCCTGTGTAAATAAAAATAATGCGTGGCCATGCCTTATTAACGTGTGGGAACGGGATCCTAATGCGTGGCCACGACTTAGTAAGGCATGGGAATGAGATGATTAAGTCGTGGCCATGACTTAGTAAGGCGTGGGAACGAGATCACGGCGTACTAAGTCGTGGCCATGCATTAGGATCTCGTTCCCACGCCTTACTACATGGTGGCCACGCATTAGCATCTCGTTCCCACGCTTTACTAAGTCGTGGCCACAACTTAATCATTTCATTACCACGCCTTTTTTATTTTATTTTTATTTATAAGAATGTCTCCAGAGGGGCTCCGTAATTTTACCATTATTATCGTGACATATAAACCTTATAAGACAGTAAGTTCACTGGTCACTTTGGACAGCAGATAAAAAGGTAATATTTGTGATGTAGACATATAGACGTCTGGTTCCTAGTACTATGACGGTGAACAATTTCGAGTCAGTAAATTTCTCTAAAAAGGCGCATTTCACACCAAACCACTCGGAATGATCTTGTTTACATCTAAACACTTAAATTTAATTAATTTTGCAAAATCGGTTGAGTTCCCCTTTAACCCCTTAAAATTTCAGGCTGATTACATGCAAAGGCTTATTATTCAGTAACTACAGGGACTCCAATACAAGCTGGTTGAATTATTTTTAGGTTATAGAAGTGTGTAATGAAACTTTGGGCTCACCGGCAAGCCCTGGCCTTTTAAGGGGTCAATAAGACCCACATTTTCAATGAAAGACAAGTCTAGACTGCAGGCAGGCCAGTATAGCAGCCACACTCTCTGATTATGCTGTTGTTATGGATCTCCCTGAAAAAGATGGCATCTAGAGGGCAGAATATGTTGCTTCCAGAGCTGGGCAAAATACTTTTAAAAAGTAGTGATTGTGATTTGTAAGGAAGACGTTTATTGAATTCTTTAATAGAGTACATCTTTACACACCATGTTTTTAAAATAGTTAATAAGTAAGCAGTATGGTGTTTCTTTTAAAGATAGTATATATTTTTACAAAACTAGCAGGTAAGTAAACTTGAAATTGTTAAAAAGTAACTGTATTCTGAATACTGCCTTTAAAAATGTGACTTAGATTGAATGCAGACACTTGATTTCTGTGTTCTGAACACATATTCCCAATACTTGTTACATCCCAACCCTGGTTGCTTCAAAATGTGCTCGGCATTACTGCCACCTTCACAGATGTGCATGTTACCCACTAATTGACATATGACTTCCCCTGTTTGTAGTACAGTTTCATTTTTAAACTGTTGGATTTTTACTGATGCTTTTTTGGCAAGGTGGTGAGCTTAGACCCATCCTTATTCACTAAGGGCTAGGCCTCTCTTGGATCATCCTTTTACCCCCAAACATAATTGCATCATCTGTTTAAGATATTTCTGAACATTTCACAATATTTGGAGTCTAATGCTCTTGTTTCAACTCATTTGGAACATGCTGCAGGAATCACTTTTAAAATGAATACATATTTACAAAAAAAAATGAAGTTGATAAGATAAAACATTAAATATCTTGTCTTTGTACTGTTTTAGTGAAAATGCGAGTAAAAGTATGTTTATAAATCACTGCTTTCTATTTCTTTTGTATTATTTGGATTTTAACTACTGTCCCAAGTATTTTGGAATTTTTATACATCAGTGGTGGAGAGGTACATGTAGAGTGTTGTAATACAAAAATATTATACTCAGAAAAAGATGGTTCTTTAGGGGTTCTTTAGTAACGAAAATGGTTCTATATAGAACCATGAACACTCAAAGAACCATTTTCATGATTAAAGGTTTCTTTGCATCATGAAATGTTTTTTTCAGATTGATGGAGAATGTGCTGCATATGGTTCTATAGAACCCTTTTGAAAATGGTTCTATATAGCACCAGAAAGGGTTCTACTATAGTTACAATATCAAGCTTGTATCAGTAAAAGAACCCCCTTTTGGTGCTATGTAGAACCATTTTCTTTGCTAAAGAACCCTTGAAACACCACTGAAAATTTTCAGATTGACTACTATTTTACCATGTTTATCATTATTCTAAAAACGTAGAAGGCACATGTAGGTGTAGTGTTCATTGTAGATAAAATGGCTATATTTGTGGTTGTAGCGTGCTTTGCTGTTTTAATTAATAAACTGATCAGAACTTTTTGAGCAAAGTGAGATCTGCATCTGTGTGCGTCAGGATGTTTAGAAGCACAAATAGTAAATTTATGGCTGACTGCTAAAGACACGTCTCACAACCCCCATTTGCCCCCCCCCCTTTGCAACCTGGTGCAGAAGTGGGGAAGGGGGGTGGCTCACCTCAGAACAGACATACTTTGACCCAGAGGTTTGAAGACTTTCTTTTTCTGTTGACTAACAGTTTAAGGGCAACATAAAGGAACGTCATGCCACCCCTTTATAAACATCCTGAAGAGACCTTTGGACATCACTGAAGTAAATTTTTGGGATATTGATAAATTGTGACTTTTGAAAATTCCTTTCCCTCTCTCTCACACCCATACATCTCACCTTCCCCCACAAAGAGAGACATCTAACCTAAAACAAAGGCCAAAGATGGCCCACTAATCAACCCTGGGTGAGGGGACTGTTGAGACCTCACGAATCCCTGAGCAGACCTCTCGGTGTGGCCAGATACTCTTAAGTGCATTCCTTCAGTATCATAAATTTGGGGGTCTGTGCAGAGGCTAGGCTCCTGAGAGCCCTGCTTTCTGGCAAATTATTCACAGCGTGATCTTTAATCAAGTATCAATCAAATGCCTTTCCTTTATCCAACTGTGAAGAACACCTCCGTCACTGTTAACATGTTGCATTGTCAGACGTGAATTGATTAATCCCAGCCAAAGGGAATTAATACCAAACTTTCTACACTATATTCTTTTATATTCTAGTAGTTATTTTGATTCTTGAATTGTAACCCTTCTTCACTGATCTAGGTTATTGTACTGATCTTTTATCATTCACAGCTATGTTCATTTCACCCATCATATCATTTTTCTTTTTCTTTTGTTTGAGAAACAACCCATATGTTTCGTGATCACCGTTAATCTTACTTATCTGCTTTTCTTGCAAGTCTTCTTGTAGTGTTATTAGAAGTAGGATTCTAAAGTTTGTAGCTTGTGTGACTATGTACACTTTAATCACAGAGTTTCTACCAACATATCTACAGAATTATTGATGATTACGTACTCACTTATTTTACTCTGAGTTATTATGTAACCGTTCGTGTAAGCATTGTTTAGAAATAGTACTGTGACGTATAACCTCGGAATTGTCTTAACAATTTAATTCTTTTGTCTAAGTAGTTCGTACTTCTTATATGACTAGAATGGTTAAGGATTCAACTTATTGTATGTAACCATATCATGGTTAACGTTAAGGGATAATGATCTGTAAGCTCCATAGTCAGTTGTAATAGTCACTATGGAAACAATAATGTTTTATATGTGAAATTGCATGGTTCTGAGTTTCTTTTACTTAAGTGTAACCACACCCAGAATCTCCAAAGGATTATGTGACACTTGAGCAGCATTCAAAGAAATTGCATATTCATTATATGTAACCTAACAAACCAAAACCTTTTCCCCGCCTTAGCTCTGACTTAGCTCCGCCCTCAAAGTTCTTTCTTTAAAGCAAGAAAGAGAAACAGTGAGGAGAACGTGAAGAAGAAACAGAAAGACAGGGAAAGTTGGCCCTGAAGGGAGCGAGACAGCCAACATGTAACCTTAACGAAACTCCAAGTAGAGAAGCCCGTTCTCCACGTTGTGCACTTTAGCTGAGTTCTGCAGATCTTAAATGTCAGTTGTTTGTCTTGTGTCGTTTTGTTTCATTTACTCAGTAATCTTAAAGTGTTGTAACTGTAAGGTTAGACTATTGAAGAGCTGCATCTAGCTGCATTTGTTTTTCAAGTTGCGTCAATCTATTTTGAAAGTCGTAATTGCCAACGATAGGCCGCTCAGAACCTAGTTTTAGAACAGAAACAGAAGCAAAACAGTGCTGACTGAAATCCACATCTAGAGCCTGCTCCGACCACCGCCTGCCTCCATCGCCAAGAAGAAGATCTGCGCTCCTCACCGGAGAGGCCGCCAAGCGTCCCCGGAAGCCTGCCTTGCCAGTGGGGTCCGGTCCAAAGCGTTGACCAAGGGCTTGCACCTCTAGCGGCCTTGCCTTTGACCTGCAGACCCTTCCTAGCCTGTGTGAGCAGCGGCTTCTCTTCCTCAATGTGGCACGCGCATCAACACTGCTCTGAGGCATCCAGGTCGTAGATTCACTCGCACTGCCCTTTTGTGGTCTCAGTCTCACTGTGATTTTGCTTTTCTTTATTGACACTTAGGCCAGCTTTACCCTAGTGTTAGGGTTGTTCTGCTTGCTGCTCAAAAGCCACATAATTTGGAAAATCAGCTAATCTTAGTACTTTTGTTAAATATATTCAATATCTCTGGTTTCTTTCCATAACTAGTAATCCAATATTTAGTGCCTATATACCTTTGTAATCGATTGCTTTGTGTTTATATACCTCTAGCAATAATCTCTGTCACGGTGTGCATATGAAAAACTTCAACTAGGTTCTGTTCCCTGGACCATGGTCAAGCCCTCACTTGAATTTAATTAAAATACCCATGTCATAAGGTAAGTGGGAAATTAGGTGCCTTTGAGGCCTTGTCCCACTACATGATGTTGACATTATGTAAACAAAATAAAAGTTTTAAATCTCTCTGAATGAGTGTTTACATCTTAATGATGGAATTATGCAGAAATTTTTAAAAATCAGTGGAAAGTATGACTTGCTTACCGTTCCCAGTTTGTCCTTACAGGACATAATGGATCTTACTCCGCTCCGGTAAACCAAAGTGTTCCCCAAAGATCCATCCTAGGGCTCATCCTGTTCAGCATCTATGCAGCTGAATTAGCATTAGGTGTCCAGAAATACTGTGCAGGTTACCAGTTTTAGTCAGATGGGAAGTACCAGTACATGATCTGTGTGTCATCTTTGTGTTCAATACTACTCTTTACACATAGAAAAAAAGTAAAATAATGCTGTAAAATAATAATACTGTAAGAATAATACCGTATAATCTTTTGTGCCTGCCAGTCAACTTAGGTCACTCATTTAAAAGAGTTCTTCAAAAAGAGCTTCAATCTCTAGTTCATAAGTGTTTGCTACAAACAGTGACCTGAAGTGCCAAAGAGTTGTAATCTGGTTGTTACACTTAAAGGAGGTAAATGTCATAGCATACCCTGAACTCACACCATAATGGCCACAGTTCAACTGTAAGCTGGCCATGAAAGATACTGAATTTTTGGTGAAATTATTAATTTGTCAAAACACATTTGTATTCACATTCAAGGTAATCAGTTATGCCAGCTTTTGTAGTAGTACAACTTATTTAGCTTAGCTAAGTATTTCTGGTTCAAGTCCTTGAGAACATGTGCACTGCACAGTGTCACGTTTTAAACGCTGGACTAGCCTATATAACAATGATATTTTAGAGAAGTGGTGGATGATGTTCTACAAATAAAACTACCAGTCATTTCATTATTATGGCCTGTAAGGTCTAGTGAAGTGGTAAGAAGGCAAATCAACCAGTTCAACTGCCTTTTCAAAATGCTAGTATGGAGGTGAGCTACGTTCTTTGTAGGCAAACAAATATATATTAAAATAGATAAAACCCCGTGTCACCTATTTGAGTATGTCACAATATTACTTTATTTTTCACAGTATCTGGAATTTAGCACATGTCAGTGATTCGCCTCATGCTCGTGATTCTCATGGTGCCTATTCCCATGACTTCCCTCAAGCTCCTGTACTCGCCAGGCCTCACATATATCATCCGGCCTCTGTAGTGGGGCTGCTCGTACATAAGCCAGTGGCCATCCAAGACATGACAAGACTGGCAGTCAGACATGCGGAAGCGGTCCATTATGGAGTCACAGTCATCCATTAGCTCCATCATCTGTCCTGCAAAACTTTCCCTCTCATAGATCCTTATTCTGAAGGGTCCTCTGTGCTGTAAGACAAAGACAAATGTATTGGGTTTGTTGTTTGTTTAGTTTCTGTTGGGCACTATATAAACATCTTTTAGCTTAGTGACCATATTCTTATCCACACATCATTTCCAGATGTCTGTTTTGTAACATCAATTACCAAATGGGCTGGGGAAGCACATAACAGCTTGCTACTTTGAAAGACCTTTGAGCCCTAGCAATGAAAAACTTTTTTGTAAAGATCATTTAAGCATGGTATGGTATTGTTTAACGCCATATATTTAAAATAAAGGGTTCACTAAGTGTTGATAAAGCATAGTTTGATTGTTTTTAATGTAAATGTTTACAAAACTAAATAGAATTACAAAGTAAAATAAAATAGAAAACAGTGTTTGATAAATGTTTTTTTTTTTTTGTTGGAGGGGCTTCATTATTTTTGATAGAAAATATACTGACCATACACACATTAAACATATAAATGTAGTGTTCACTTGTCAGTGTTCAGCAGTGTGGTCATAATTTGTGTATCTTGAATCTGAAGAACGCATTGATTAAAATTCTGGTCACGCTTCATTTTTATAGTCCCTTATACTACAGAAGGTCAGATTATTAATGAACTAAAAATCTGTTGATTTGGTTTAGGTTCTGGGTTGAAGTTAATGTTAGGCCTAGATTTAATAGAATCTATTAAATCCAAAGTAAATTGTTGCATTTAAAGGAATAGATTTGTAGTTAAAAATCACTCAAATAAGGATAATGTGAGCATCAACAGAGCATCTACAGTGGCCACTCAGAAACTACCCTCACTCCATCAGCCTGCATCTTCAACATAGCTAGAATTGCAGTGCTGTTAAAGTAACAATCAATCTATAATCAGTTGCATAATGCAGTCTATTAGTCTCACAAAGAACTATTTATTAAATGTGTGCGATTTGTTTAAAATGCACAGCTTGCTATTACATACAACTTGTCCAAAACTGCTGAAACATGCTGAAGTGAGTCATTTACCTGAGGAATCATGCGGCAGGATCTGATGGTATCAAACATCATACCCATGCCCACCATTCGTTGGATGTCATAGTACTCGCCTCTCCTCAGGAAGAACTGGTTACCCATGAAGCTGTTGCTCTCATACACCATGAAGCAGCCGCTCTCCACCCTGATCGAGCTAACGCGGCTCAGGTAGGACGAGATGTCGCTGCAGTCACTCATGCATTCATAATTGCGGCCCTGAAAGTTCCTCTCCTCGTAGAAGACAATCTGCCAGGAGAACAACAAACATTTTCTTCTTTGCACTGACATTGCAATATTCACACTACTGACATTATAGGATCAGACACAATTGATTTAAATGTAACTGTAGCTAAGTAGCAGCTGTGCAGTGCAGCGTGCAGCTGAAGCAAATGTAAATAATGTAACATTTTGTGCCACTGCAAATAGAAACTCTGCTACCTTGCCCATCTTTGCTGTATTATTTTTCCTGCAGTGCTTTAGGTTACAGACACTGTACTAAACCCTTCTTTGGTGGTCTTTTTTATACAAAAACCAGGGGGCCACATTTGTTGTTATTCAAATGCCAAAACCTGATGAACTAGCACTATGGCCTCTGCTGAATGGGTCTACTAAAATGTAACAATAGTTGTCCTCTATACATTTCTGGCATCCTTTATATGCATTGTTTGTTAATATAAAAGCAGAGCTTTCATTTTGTATCATGCGAATGTTCTTTGCATACAGTTAAATCACCAACTAACAGTGAGATGTTTGTATTCATTAAATGCAATTCCTCTGCCGTGCATTTGATGTTTTGATGTTGTTTTTATATGGGTCTTGATTGCTTGTGTTCCTCATTTGTGGCAACAGCACACAAATTGAAAATATTAATGGCATAGAACTAACAGAATGACATAAAGGTTGGGATAGTTTTAAGCTGAAGAGTTAGTATTGCAAGATTGGGAGAGAATTGCAAAAAATATTTACTACTTACACAAGCAACAGGAAAAGCTTTCCGACATGCGAGTCAAGTGACGTTTCGGAGCAATAATATCTTAATCTGTGTTTGGTTAGGCCCCACTTAGTTGCATACTTCTATTGCTGGAGGTGCATTTCTGCAACTCTGCAGCAAAAGGCAACATCCTATGAAGGCCCCTTACTTGCGCTACTGATATGGGAGCTATGGGAACTAGACAAATAACATTATACAAACGTGTACTGCGTTGAAATAAAATGTAGGAATTAAAGTCAATGTTTTGTATCTTATGTAAAAATGCTCTTGTTTCAAAATCAGTTAAAACTGATTGCACAGGACAAGCGCACTGAAAGCTTGCATGAGAAAGAAAGAGGCCTCACAGTGCAGTCTGTGAATATGAGTTACAATAGTGAACTCACTTCTAGTGTTTGTAAGCTAAAATAATTTTCTTGACTAGCACAGCTGCCTTGTGGTCAGATGATGATTAACTCTTTTTTACTTGAAAAGTTATTAATTTGTTTAATCACATCACTTTTAATATGCAACATTTAGTATATTATAAATCCTTTTGTGCATTTGTTTTGTGATTTTAAATATACACACAATATACACTGTAGTTTATCTAAATGTATTCAAATAGTCTCAAGCTTTTTCTAATTATTTACTTATTGAGATTTGACTCTGCCTGGATTATCATATATGTTGTACAACAGCACATAACTTGCTTTTATTTGTGCCTGTACTGATTTGAGCACTTGGCTGTCATGATGTTCTGCTTTATTGTACGTGTTGCGGTTTTTACTGTATGTACAATAACTGTATGTTATTGTTATATGTATAATAATCAATTTCTCATTTCCTTTTGTAATTATTTTTACAAAATTGTTTGAGGTGACAAAGAATGGCCAAATTCATAGTTAGGCATGTCATGCACTGCATTAATGGACATGGAGATAGCACTGCACAATAATTCAATTTCATATATATTTCCAGTTTTAATAACCCTGATATACTGACTATTTGGAGAGCAATACATGATTGAGTAATATGAATGTAATTATGGCATACACTCATTCAGATCTTTTATGAGAAACAATGCCAATTAAGACCTCAGCATGTAATAACAAACAGACTTTTATTTCAATTTAGGAGTTAAAAATGATTTAATGAACAGTAATTTATTTACAGTAAATGCAGTCAGAATGGCTAAAAATCTGTGACACGTCTGAAGGAGCCCACAATGGCACAGGTAGCACTCCAGTCGCGGTACCTCCTGTACTCCCCAGGCCTCAGGAAGTACTGTCTCCCCCTGTAATTGGGATATTCATAGAAGATCCAGTAGCCATTCATCACGTTACAGGAGTACACATGGCGGTGGTGGAAGCGGTCAGACACACAAGGGCAATCATCCATGAACTCCATCATGTGACCGTTAAAGTCGGTCTTCTCATAGATCCTTAATCTGTATGAGCCCCTGTACTGTGGAAGTCAGACAGATGTTATTCACTACAACATTTGAGACATAAAACAGACAGATATAATTCACGGTTGTTATATACCTCTGTCACCTGAAAGCGTCTGCTGTATTGTAGGATGACATACAGTGCAGAACAAGCTTACCATTGGAATCAGGCGACAAGATCGAATGCAGCTGCTGAAACCCATCCATCTCTGGTAGTCAGGATACTCGCCCTTCCTCATGAAATACTGGTGGCCCATATAATTTGGCCTTTCATAGATCATGAAGCAGCCACTCTCCACTCTGATGGAGTTACAGCGGCTGAAGTAGGAGTGAAGGTCTGTGCAGTCATTGCTGCACTCATAACTACGACCTTGGAAATTCCTGTCCTCGTAAAAGATAATCTGTGAAACAGGTTAACCGTACCATTAGACACTCCAGTGCTAATAATGATAAAACAGTTCTAAAAAACATATCAGACACAATGGCTCAGTTCAATACACAAAATGGTACATAAAAACCTACCCTGCCCATGGTCTCCACTGGGGAGATTCCACATGTTTCCCAAGCTTTTTATACTACCTCTTCACAAACAAAGTATTGTTATTCAGATGAACACAGAGTAAAAACTGAAGGGTACTGGCACATGTTGACCTTTGTGTTAGAGCCCAACATTTGTTCAGAAATATGGATTTGTATATGAAAAAAGGATAAATAATTACTAGTTTGGGGTTTTCACATGCATAGACAAGAGAAAGGACTGGTGTGGTATCCACACATCTATACACACAGAGCACAATGGTTAGAGAACAATATGGAACATCCCTTTTGCATTAAATATGTTGTGTAACAGTGAGGCCAGTTACTCAGTGCCCAATCTCACCTACAAGCCACATCATGCATACAATCTGACCTCCAGACCAAACATGCTATATTTCAATGCATATTAAGTACATATATTACATTCTGGTTAAAGTTTAATGCAGGATACATGTTAATACAATAATTGTGCGAAACAAATTTCTTATTAATTTTTTTCTGATGTTTTACATAATTGATTTAACATTATTGATTTAACATTATTATTGATTTCGGTGATTATTCATTATGCAGCAAGCCTAAAATCAAGGATGCAACCCATCAAAATTTTAAATATGAAACAGACAAAAATGGACTGACTGAGATGAGTTTAAAGCCATTGTAAAATACTTGATGTATGCACACTTATGAGTGCATGAATTAACTGAATTCAGTATTAACCCCTGAACATCCCATGCTTATTACATACAAAGTCTTATTATTTAGTAACTACAGGGATTTCAATGCAAACTGGTTAAGCTATTCGTAGATTATAAAAGGGTGTAATAAAACTTTGGGCCTGCTAGCGGGCCTATCGCCTGTTAAGGGGTTAATACACTGAGATATTACAAGTATGTACCATGGAGAGCAGTATAGCTATACTAAATATCTATACTAAAAAGGTCCCTATACCGAATTAAATGTACCCTACATATAATCCCAGTCTTGTTTAAATTGAAGCATACTGCCGCTGAGTGCATGTTTATGATGAGTTTATATCTTACTTTTGATATTTCTTTGCGCTGAAGTAATGTCAGAGGTTTGCTTTGACATTTTTTACAAGGCCTATGTTTTTTTATTTAGTTTTGGCATTGGAAATGGGTAAAAAATACTTTACAGAACGTAATCTCACTTTCACATATTACTATGTTAGAACAGCTACATATTGTAACTCCAACTGGAGCTTCAAATTCAAATACTGGTGCATTGATCATGGCTTGAAGCAATGGGAGATAGAAATGATTGTAAAGCTATGATTGAAGGGCTGAGAAAAGAAGGCAGAGCTTGTCAAAGAGCATAATGATTTGATTGGCCATAATAAAATGCCACCGCTCATAGAAAAGAAATCAAGTTTCATCATATAAAAAATCAGCTTAATAAATGTTATTTCATTGGGTAGTTCAGTGATCAATCTGGACAGGCCTAGGCCTACGCAGGCCAACCCATGGCAATTAAAAAATGTTCTTCAACTTAAAAAATAAACACGCCTGTTGAAATAACAGTTTATTGGAAATTAAACTAAATGAAATTAACGTTTTTAACTGTTTGTCAGTTAACAGTAAATTTGTTAATCATTTACATCCCTAGTAAACATATTTCTATTTTCTAGAACATTTATATTGGTCATTGGCTGTGTCCAAAACTGAAGGCGTAGGCCTTGATGACTTGCTGTCTTGTGATGGGCTTAGATTTTTAATGATGTGGATCAGTTGTCATGTTTCCTGCCTTCAAATACTGACTGAGTAGGCAGCATTTGTTATGTTACATACAAAGCCAATGTCTTATAACTTTCTTTGTAAGAAATCCATCTACACCAGTGTCGGACAGAACAATACATCCATAATCATTTGAATTCATTGATAGGTGAGATGCTTTTCACCTGTCAAGTTTTATTGCCATATTACATGTGCTGATATTTGTATTCACGAAGGCTTCCATGCAGTGGTAGCACTGTGATAACAACAGTAATCATTGTTATTATTCTCATCATCAATCACAGTGACAACTTAAACCTGATTGTATTTGTGTCTAGTTGCTACAACATTTTCTTGACTTTCTGACAGAAATAACTAGACTTTATTTATTGAATTTTTTATTTATTAACTTTACACATATATGAGTATACAGTATTACAAAAGGTTAATTCTGAGGGTGCAGAGGTAGCAAACACCTAGCATCTGCAACATAATGTATCAAAAAAGATGGTCAGGACAAGAATAAATGGAAAACACATACAGTATAATATGCAACCCCCAAGCATAAATGACAATAAATAAACACAGAAATAAGAATATATTGAAATGAAATGTTAAGTAAATACAGTATAAATATTAAGCACAGTATTGTTACTTCAATGGTCTGAGTCACAAGAAACAAGAGACTAAATGTGCTCTGTGGCGCAGCTTATACATGCTGCAAAAGAAGTAGGTCATGTGATTCAGCCTGTAGAACAAAATCACTGTATACATAAAATGAGCAGACATTATCAGTCTGACATTATAGGCCTGAATAACTTCACTTAGTGTGTCCAGTCCTTAAGACCACCTTAACACCAAGGAAAATGTAAATGAGTAATGCACAGTGGGCAAGGTAGAGTACAAAATGTGAAGAGACAGTTGAGACAGTCAAGCTTACAGAGAACATGTGTGGTGGTAACATATAAAACAATGAGGACGCCATGTATAAACATTTTTATTTTACACTGTAAATCAGCTCTCCAAAACAAACAAACAAACAAAAACTACCTAAATTAATTTAGAGAATCAGAACTAATATTCTAATATCTAATATTCATGGGATGGGACATTGCTTCAGCTGCCTGAAAAAGCTCCGAGTGCTTCTCACAATTATACTAACAGATCATCTTTACAGGTTTCTGACAGTAGTCACTGACGTTCATGGTTCTCAGTCATCAGTTATCATTGCTGAATTTGAATGCTTTTGTCCAATGACAGGCTGTTTTTTCCCCTTTTCTCTATTTTAATATTTTATATTGATGGTAAACCCTATTCTTTGCTTATATTGCTCTTATGTCATTTTTTGTTATCCAGTGTCAACCAGAGGGGGATGGGTTCCCCTTTTGAGTCTTGATTCCTCTCAAGGTTTCTTCCTCTTGCTATTAGGGAGTTTTTCCTTGCCAACATCGCCAATGCCTTGATCATGGGGGCTTGGACCCAGATTTTCCTGTAAAGCTGCTTTGTGACAACACCTGCTGTAAAAAGCACTACATAAATAAACTTTGACTTGACTTGACATGGGATAAAAGCATTGCTTTCTAAAAGGAAACTGATATTTTACTGCTTTCTAGCTGATCTAAATCATACACTAAAGGGTGTATTTAAAGTAGAGAGATGCCATTCCTTAGACTATTTGCGCTGTCGAATGTAAAGCCTGGTGCTGCAGCTTTTTAATACATTTGAAGTGAAATTGTAAACCTATGCTGTGTTTTTTTACAGCTACAGTGTCATCATTTGTTTTTGGGTAAATATAACATCACAAAATCCATGACACTAATCCAACGAGTTAACAAATAGACCTCTGAGGATGTGTAATTATTTTGTAGTTGACAACATGCCCAAATAAGGAAAACCAGGTTTTATCTGGGTTTGTACCATGTGGCAAACAAAAATGCACGGTCCCAAAGCTGATATGTTTTGTACGTGCAACATATACACACCATTTTGACCAGGAGAATTATCGGTTCTTTATAATGATACAAAACTCAATATGGTTATTTAAATGCATAGTAGCCAATCTTCCTAAAAAGTCACTTCACTGCACTATCACATGTCCAATAAGAGCACCAGGAACTAGGATGATTTATTGATACATTGTACTTTGTAGAGACTTTAACATAAGTCGACATAAGCTATTAGCTAACGTTGTTAGCATTTATGCTAGTGGCCACAGAATAAGTATTTTTACTCGTATTTTAATACTTCACAGAGAATAATTGAAGCGTAGTTTGATTCTACACATGGTCATGTGTAAATGTAGACATTTGTGTGAATGTTTCTAGAACAGCGCAGTATATTGTTTCAAATCAGCCAATTAAGTAAGCTAACTGGCAAGCAAGTTAGAGTGACATGAGATGACCAAAACGAACCTTAAATTGCAAGTTCATGAAAAAAATTAACCACACAAAGTCGTTAAGTTACTTTTAACTAAAAAGTTAGTTAATTTAAACAGCTTTCTGTTTTTCAATATCTTGGTTTTAAAAAATCTCAGGATTAGAACAAAATCCTGCGTTATACACCTTAGTGTAAGTTCTTTACTGATGTGAGGTAACACTGTTTTGTCCTATAGAGGCATAATTCTTTATTGCATCATAATCAGTTCAACTTAATGAAAGAAATTCATTGTACTTTCAAACATTTTTGGAGAAAATACAATTGATTCATGAGTCCAAATTGATGTCAGCTGGGTGAAAAGCATGAGTCTATATGAGAGAATTTCTTTATTTATTTATGTTTTATCATATTTCAGATTCTGCAAAAAAGCTATTGTAATCTAATAACACATTTGATTACCTGAACTAAAGAACTGACTGAAAGGTATCTATTTCGAAACTATTTATCTTTCTAAACTTGTTAACATAATAAGCTCGAGAGGAGGATTTTTGAACTTCCACTCATGTAATTAATTAACTAACTTGTATTTACAATACATAAAACAAACTATTATGTGTTATGTGAACACTGTTAAATATTAAGCATTTTTTTAGTAAAGCCAGTGAAGGCTAATATGTTTTAATACGAAACAATAACCACAAAGCCATGAAGCTGTAATGCAACAAAGCGCATTAATAACAGCTTAAGAGTATGAATTCATGCAGGCTAACTCACTTTCACGGTAGCCATAAAATGCAATTTCTGTTTGTCTTGGAGGTCTCCTATTTAAACTATACATTTGTTTTCCTTCAATAACATTTACGGGATATATTTCAATTGAAATGTGCATGTTTTGCTGGGTTTTTGTCATTGTAGGCAAACAAGCAAGTTAACTTTCATGAAAAAAAGTTTTGCAGCTGTACACTATTGTTTGATATGAAGAAAGCTGCAGTTGTAAGAATCAACACCCAAAAAGTTGTGTCATAATTACTGGACACCATGGGGACTCATGGGAGAATGCAAAGGCTCTGTCAACTATTCAGAGCTCAGGGTCACTGCACAGACCCCCAAGAGTCAGCCATTCTGATGACTTAATACCAGTTCAGTCATGCATAAATTCCTGTAGGTGAGGTGGTGGCCTACAACCACACCAGCGTGGGGAAACAGCTGCCGCAAGCTCACACAATCAACGGCCAACGTGGCTGCTCCTCACAGACAACTCAAGAACTCCAATCGCTGTCTCAGTGTCTCGGTTCCAGCAACACTAACATGGCTAACCCCTGCTGGTCCATGTACAGTCTTCAACACTCTGTCTCATGCTCTGCAACACCAACCCCACCTGGAGCTACCATTTCCCATCACACCAGTGTGATTTTTTCAAGGATGGCTGGACTAAGAAATATCTTTGCAATAGAAATGATCATTTGGTCTGCTAGCCCAATAATATGTTGCTTATACATCTTCTTTCCTACTACCCAAGACACACACTCACTAACACTCACAGAATCAAATAATAAAGCATGATGTTCACCATCTAAAATGCTGATAGGTTTGAGAAACTTGGGACAAGCTTAAAACAGTGGTAACTATGGTTTAAAACTGAGATTTCAATTAACATGATGTGAATGTGAATTGACATTATGCACTACCAGTGTCATTGTTATTTTACATACAGTAATAACTAAATGTCTAATACAACTAAAGGTCTAATACAATATATATATATATATATATTACATCAAAAGATGTAAATGTTTTATTACATATCTCAGGAAGTTATTGTTTGCTAAATATATTTTAATTATCTATTTACGAACACTTTTGTCAAGCAATCTGCCTTGAGGTGTGATCTCCACTTTTGAAATTTCTGTCCTGTATAAGTTATTATTTATTGAAATATTTAAGCAGAAGTATTATTTGAAAATGCTCCGGAAAGTACATCCATCAGTGAAACTCTCTGGTTCAGACTGTGTATTTATAGAGTAACAGCTTCTATTCATCAAAGCACACAGAAAACTCTCCTGTCCACCTGTTACATCACCCTCACAATCAAGCAATACAATCCACAGCTGTAACATTTATTCAGTTTAAATAGTAAATGTGCTTATTAACATTCTTTCTTTGTATTAGGATATTATAAATTCATAGCAGAACAAACTTACAGCAGAATGGCAAAGCATAGCAGCACAAAATTACTAATGAGGTATAATGAAATGTGACTAGTACATAAATACTGAAGGTCCCTAAAAGTCAGGCATCTTAAATCATTTAAAACAAGAAAAGGACTGTGCAAAATTATGTTTTGAATTTAAATTGGTACAGGAATTTTACAATGCGCTAATGATAATAACAGAATCCCAGAGCTTGATAAAAAATAGCATAGCTCATGTCTCATGAAATGTAATCTATTTGACAAATTGTGAATGCTAAAACTTTGGAACAACAATATTGCTTTAACCTTATTTTGAAATTGTTTTTCTAAATTTAATATGTGTTCACAATGCGTTTGATGGAACCCACACGTGCGCTCATGCCTCCCCAGTCACTGAATCTTGTGTATTCTCCAGGCCTTACAAGGTACATTCTTCCAGCATAGTAGGGCTGCTCAAAGAAGAGCCAATTCCCACCCATTACTTTACAGGAGAAGATGGTGTTTGTATGGAAAGATTCCATTAGACTGGGGCAATCATCCGCCAGATCCATCATCTGTCCTCCATACTCCATTCTCTCAAACAGCTGCATTTCGAAGGAGGACTCCTGGGCCTATTCAGAGAAAGAAAATGCATGTGTACTTGTGTAAATGTATGAACATAATCGTAAAGATATGATTTCATATACGTGTCCAAGTCTGTCCATTTATACATACATACTAAATACAATTCAGCCAGTGACTTTACACATAATATCATGCAACTTTAACAGATGTAACAAACTCAGTTCCCCTAAATTTGCTAAATAATGATAACAGTTCACCTTGGGGATAACCCGACAAGAGGCTATTGAATCGTTCATGCCTGTCCAGTGCTGGTAGTCAGGATATTCTCCTTTATCCAGGAAGTATTGCTGGCCCATGTAGTGTGGCTGCTCGTAGATCATAAAGCAGCCGCTCTCCACCTTGATAGAGTTACAGCGGCTCAGGTAACACAGCATATCTACACAGTCATTGCCGCACTCATAATAACCGCCGCCAAAGTTCTTATCTTCGTAGAAAATAATCTAGAACATTGTAAAAGACAGAAAAAAGAATCAGTTAGTATACAATATTGCTTATGTGTTCATGGGTATAATTCACACTGAACAACATAATAACTTTAGTCCAATCTATTATGTACAGTAACATCATATTTAATGCAATACAATAAATAAAATTGGCTTTAATGGTTGTAAGAGTTTACCTTTGCCATTGTGCTGTTGTGCTGTGCTAGTGTGCCTCTGTTTGTTGTTTTGAAGACATTACTTGGCCTATATAGAGGACATGAAGTGCAGACTCTGCATGTGCTATTCATATTATAATTGCTGAGAATCCTCTGCACTTGTTCTAATATGTGTTTTAATATTATAATTTCTGTTCTGTACTGTATGTAGTACAGTATTATAGTTGCAATATGTCATAATTATCTTTATTTACTTTAAAATTAAGTTAATATCTTAACAATACTAACAACAGCTCTATAATCTGTAATTATAACAATCTAAAATACCAATAATAACCCCACTAGCAATATTTAGTCTGTTATTGATGTTATTTTAAACAAATGCTCTTTTGCTAGGCAATGAAAAAGAATGACCAAAAAATTGACAATTTATTTATTCATATTTTTCCAGTCTGCAGGAAAAAGCAAACTACAAATATTCTATAAAAACTCTTACTTCACTACAGGTACATCATTTGCCCGATGGAATTCCTGACCTCTTTTGACCCCAGCACTTCCTGTAGTCACCAGGGCCTCAAGTGTTTGCTTTTGTAGTTGGAATGTTCGAAGATGAATGGCACAATGCTACTGATAATGGAAAAATAACAAGTTCTTTGTTTTTGGAAGACAATAATGACTGCGCCTCAAGCCACATACTACTATACCATATGTACCACACTAATGAATGCACTGCTAATGGTGGTGTAATATTTCTGACATACTATTTAGTATGGAGGTATGTGACAATGGTCAGACCAGCACAGTTTGGTGACTGTTCTGTTCAAACACACCTGATTCAGCTCATTATTTAGTTACCATCTGTTAGACCGGTGAAATCACCAAACTGTGCTTGACCGACCACTGTCCACCATTATGTAGCTCACGGCAATCACTCATTCATTCATGGGGACGGCTGTGGAAATCTCTGACTTCAGAGAACATCTGAAGAACCTAGTGAACAATCAAAAACAGCTTATATAATTATGTAGAATGTATCATCAGATATTTCAATTCTACAAATACATGATGAGGATGAACCCATCCAACAGACCTTTTCTGTGTTTGCATATACTTGAGCTGCTTACTGATGTCAAAAATGCAGTTTAACTTTATATACATTTTCCAGAGGGGAAAAGCTTTACTGTTTTGTTGTTATTCAAAATAGAACAGACTCACTCAGCAGAAACTTTACAAATGTATTACAACCATGATTCCAGTGACCACAAAGAGCACCAGTGAATAATTAGTGTTTCTAGCAAAAACTGCTCCAATGAAAGCTACAGCATAGTCAGGTGTTTTAGCTTTCTCTATTAGGTTTCTTTATTCTTCTTTATATTGTGACACTGTTCATGACTATTTTTTAAAGAAACACCATTTTGTATTGGAAAGAAATGCACTGGATGTAAACATTATCATAAGCCACATTATGTCTAGTGCACTACACGTTAAATGATTTACAATGTCCTGTATAACATATTGAATTACACGGGGCGGGGTATTCTGTGTTGGAGAAAATGTAGTCATTGCTGTAACAGAATGGGCCCCATAACCTAGCATTCAAGGCACTGACTACAACCTATTTTCTATTTGTCAACGTTACTGTGTCTTTGTGTGACTTTCATTAAAACTAGTGCATTAAAATGGAGGATTAGAAATGGATAGAATGTAAACTATTCAGTTTACAAGTGCTTATGCTTATTAAAAGATTTTGCAACCATTTGTAAATATATAAAACACATTTCCACTGCTATGATACATTGAAAGACATTGCAGTTGACTATGCACATATATCATGTATGTGAATGTTCTGTCTACATATACAGTCTGACATTAAGTCACACAAAAAACTTTGCAGTTTGTTGTACAACTTTATTGACAATCCAGTGCCAAAACCACAAAATGATTTAAGCAACAGGGATTTTAAAAATCAGTGATCCTGCGGAAGGAACCTATGATGGCACAGGTAGCGCCCCAGTCGCTGAAGTTGCGGTATTCGCCAGGTCTCATGAAATACTGGCGGCCCTGATAGCTTGGGTGCTCGTAGAATGTCCAGTAGCCGTCCAAAACGTTGCAGGAATAGATGTTGCGGCTGCGGAACCTGTCCTGAAGTGACTCGCAGTCATCTGAGAATTCCATCATCCGACCCTGGAAGTCTGGATGCTCATAGATGCGCATACGGTAAGGCCCATCACTGGTCTGCAAAGTGAGCATTTTCAAAAAGAGAAATTATAAACATTAAGCTCTACAGTATAAATCTGGGTTGTGGATTTAACTGAGCAAGCACAGAATGTTGAGGATATAGAGAGTTATGTAAGTGTGCTAAATGTGAATATCTAGTACACTAGTATGAGAGTAGCAGAGCAAACTTTTACAATGTGTAGTTGAGCAGAACCTGAGCAATGCACCAAACATTACAGGGAATGTATATATGTGACTGATTGGATCGAGAACATGACTGTGGGAAATTAAGGATAAAACTGGGGTGTTTATCATTATAAGTATAGTAAGAAAAGTGTATGTTACCATTACTAAGCTAAAGTACTCACATATGAGAATGTACGGCAAGAGCGGATGGTGTCATTGTAGCCCATCCAGTGCTGGTAGTCAGGATACTCTCCTCTGGTTAGCACATACTGATAACCAGAGTAATTAGGTCTCTCATATAGAACCCAGCAGCCACTCTCCACTCTGATGGAATTACATCGACTAAAGTGGGGATGCATGTCTGGGCAGTCTGTGTCGCATTCAAAGAAGCGACCCTGGAAGTTCTTCTCTTCATAAAAGATGATCTGCAACAAAGAGGTATCAGGCTATAAGATCCTACATACTATGGAGTCAGCTCTTGCAATAAATATTACTTAATACTATTTTCCATGATATCAGTACATTAAATGACCACTTGAGAAGCCACACTATATTTACACAAACAGTTATGTATTTTTATATATTTTCTACAAAGTTTGGCTACCACTATTGCCTACATTGAAAAATAAAAAATAAATAAAAACATGCATAGTGATCTAAACTACCATGTTAGCACACATTCATGCATATACAGTTAAAAGTTATGAAGACATCTTTGCTCTTACCTTACTCATTTTGCTGCAAGTTCTGGAAACAGTCCTAAACAAGGGGAACATACAAACAAGGGCATGAGGTCTCCTTTATAAACCTCTATCAATGATAGGTGGATAGACTTTATTTGTTATTTTAATGACTAGGATTTGGTGCACTGATGTTGCTGCCAAAAGTCTTGATCCAGTGCATAGAGTAAAAAGCCCTGATTCATCAATGCAAAACTCCTAGTTGGCACATTACTGACCTCTGTTGCCCCACTCTATTCTGACAGCAGCTAGAGAAACACTTCATGTTGTAATGTGCCAAAGTTCCATTAAAATGCATAAGTTTAAACTATCATATAGAATGACATTTGTGCATAATGGTGCTCTATGTGTCATGTAAAGACTTAAGAACTGTAGGAAATCAGTTTGGTAACTGACCCCTGCTGCCCCTCTGTTCCCTCTCTCATACCTCCTTTTACTGCTTTAAGGCAAATGTGCATGTGCAATATATACACAGACCCTATTTTTTAAATAAATAAAGTAAAAAAAAATAAAAGGCATTCCACACCAAATCCTCTGGGCCTGTCCAGTCACGTCATGGATGTCCAAGAAAAAAAATCAGGCAAAGTTTATTTCATGCAACCATGCAAAATGTCAAAGCTGTGCTCCAGCTTTTTTAGTTATGAATTATTAAAGTGTTCCCCATCAGGTTCTAAACCACCTCTGAAATATTGACTTTAACCATTTACAGAATGACTGAACTGAGCTGCAATATTAACTTGATAATTATACAACACTAATATTCCACTTTAAATTAGCTTCATTTTTAATAAATTCCCATAAGCCATTTTGAACACATGGAGTAGCTTCAAATATTGCCTACAGAACTGAATAATACATAGGTCTGATGGAAACGTATGAAAATGTACTTTTTCAAACAGTTTTCAAGAATATTTCTTTATTAAATGTAGGTTTTATGTAGTATGTCTGTGTTTCTATCAAAGCTGTGAATTATTAATTTCTACACACAATGTTTATTTATAACATTAATAATGCTCAGGACTTCTGCATCCTTAAAAAATGTGTCCTCTTCTGAGTGGCAATACATTGTTGTATTTCTTGTTGTTAGAACATCTATTATGCAATGAATCTCTTGCAGGAGCACCCAACAATATCCTGTCTTGCTGCCCATAAAAATAAATTTCCTGGCCCTTTCCTGCAGGTGGAAAGTACAAAATTAATGCTGATGGCCTGCAAGACATGATGTGTTCTGAGTGCATCTGCAAGAGATTCTGTGCATTATAAATGTCCCAAAAAACAAGAAGTACAACAAAACACAGATCAGCTCTAGCATTAAAACCACCTCCCTTTTTCTACACTCATCGTCCATTTTATTAGCTCTATTTACCATACAGGTGCACTTCGTAGTTCTACACTTACGAACATACTTTGTTATCCCCCTTTACCCTGTTTGTCGATGGTCAGCACCCCCACAGGACCACCACAGAGCAGGTATTATTTGGGTGGTGGATTATTCTCAGCACTGCAGTGACACTGAAGTGGTGGTGGCGTTTTAGTGTGTCTTGTGCTGGTATGAGTGGATCAGACACAGCAGTGCTGCTGGAGTTTTTAAACACTGTCTCCACTCACTGTCCGATCTTGTAGATGTAAAGTCAGAGACAGTAGTTCATCTGTTACTGCACAGTTTGTGCTAATCATCCTCTAGTCCTTCATCAATAATCACAGGACACTGTTGGCTGGATATTTTTGGTTGGTGGACTATTCTCAGTTCTCTGCACCCACCCAACTGAGCAATGACCCATCACAGCAACAGGTTGACATGAAATCGAGATAAGGCTTTTAATAATGTTGATATTTAACAATCTTCCTCATTTACATTTTTGCTTTTCATCATAATTCAGAGCGTCTTCTGAATTATTGTAATTCAGAGTGCATTCCACCCAGCTATGTCAGGATGAATGTTGGATTGTTTTTCTATCCAGTTCTTGTAAATGGTACGAAATGTATGGATCCGTCCACTGACTGCATATTAATAATGGATCATTCAACACTGAATGTATCAGAGCAGAATTAGACTCATGATTTGTCTTCATAGTACAGAATCAGAGGCAAAGCATTTACAATTACTAAATATTAGATGTAGACAATAATCTACAAGCGTTCTAATAAGAAATCTAAAATTGTAAATGAGCTGTCTGAAGTACACAGAGTCTGACTTGAGCTTTAAAAGGTAGTAATAACAGAATGGCATGAGGTCAGTTGTTGGTTGCTGGTTGCACAGCCTTCAGTCCTGCAGAGATTCCTGAGAACCTTCATAGTGTTTTGATTGTTCTTTCAGGGAATCTTCACTGTCCTGTACACCACAGAGAGAACCATTACTTCATTAAATACATCACTGATATGATGTATTTGATGTATACAACTCTTACTTCAAAAACTGTTCAAGGGCCTAAGCTGTTCAAGTTAGTGTTTGGCTTATAGACAAGTATGTGCTGAAAATATAATAAAAGGAAAAGCATGTTTAATTTGCTTGATATGCACTTGAATATCAGGTTCTTAAAGACTCACACTGTAAGAGGATGATGAAGAGGAAGGGGTGACAGAGGGTTCCTTCTTCTTCTCCAGTTGTGCAAATGCTCCTTTATTACGCTCAGTGTTCCAGCGTTTCAGTGTTTGTGCTGATAAAGAAAAACATGCAACAGGGGAAAAAGGAAACATATAATGTTTGTGATAATATTTGACATGTTTACATATTAATTAGTGACTGAGAACAGTTTATGCTGAATACCACGCACTTACTGTGCTTTCGTGAATGATCCACAGCCTTATATGAACTGAGCATGGCAAATGGGTGATAGGATAAGGAGAATGGGTGAATAATGTTGCTCTGTGGAAGTAAGTGAGGAGAAAAAGAAAGAGGGAACGGGATACAGGATTCCTACAACATAAAAACTGTCCAGCAATTGTTAATTTAAAATACAGTAATGCTGAATGACAGACGTTCCTTATTACAATGCTTCACAATATGAACATAAGATCTAGTACACCAACAATACAATACAAAATGCTTTACTTTGGTGTCTTGATGAGGGCGTGAAGCAGATGGTTTGCAGCTATACAGAGACAGAATATCTTCTACAGGTAAACTATTCTGAAATAAAAACAGGAAAGATGAACATATGCATTTATACACATATAAAGCACTTGTACATTGAACATTACATAAACACCTATCTTACAAGCTTACCAAAAGCATCCCTGCAAAGGAAGAAAGGATCATAGCTTCTCTTTCCTGTCGATTAGGATACTGACTAAGTCCAGGACTGATGACTCCTCTGTAAAGACAGTTCATTGCTAAATATCAGGTTACAGATACAGTAGCAAAAACAATGAAGATGACTGGGAGAGTTCATTTTTTTAAGAATCATAAAAACTCGCCAAACTAAACATCTTACTCACAAAAGTTCATTCTCAACTGGCCTTTTTACATCTTCTTTTTCCAGCCACCATAAAGCGACACCAACAGCTAAATCATAATGAGCCTGTACAGATATACAAAGACACATATTTAGAAAAACAATTAATTCCACTTTAGTTGGATAGCCCACTAGATTACATAATTGAAAGCTGAATTTAATAGATAATCAGCCGTACATAAGTTAAATACAAAGTGAGAATCTACAAAGTCTCCGTGGGTTATCCAAATAAAGCGTTACCACAAAATATTTCATAATCTGCTTCAGCACATTTATTTATTTAGATTGCTCCAGGTTCGAATCTAAAGCTACACTAAATTTAGCAGATTTTCACTTTCATATAACGTCATAAAGGAAGTGTGGCACTCTTCAAAATAATGTTTGTTGAAAACATTTGTGCAAATAAGATCAGTGAGCTTGTTGGCAAGGAATAATTCAAAGTAGATATAAGCTGCTTAATTATGACTTCAAGTCCTGTTTTAGCAGTGTCTCTAGACGTTCCAGCATTATTATGGTTTCTTCATTACCTGAACCAAAGTATATGCTGACTGGTTAAGTTAAAACTTGGCCAAAGAAAACTTTGGCTGTGCCTGAACCCAAGAAGTAAAACAAAGTAAACCTTTGTGTGAATTAGAATGGTTTGTTAGAATGGCCTGTGCAACTTGTAACTATATAACATTCCACACTATTGTTCATTTTTTATATTTCATACCATAAAAAGCTAAAAAAGGCTTTTTATTTCTTCATTTTAAATGAAATGCTACTACTGCCTTACCAGATCATCCAACATTGATGTACCTCTGCCCTTAGGATCAAAGCCATTTTCCTTGAGTTTTTGTCCAATGTATTCACCACTTATGAAATGAGAATGACACACACAGCTATTAATGTGACACCATAATTCATGTGGTTAATTTAAAAATTACACTCATTAACTATTCATATAAAGAGGGGACTGTACTAAACTCAAGTTGAGAGATCAAGATCTTTTCATGTGTAAGTCATAATTATAATCACACTAAGTACTCAGACACTTGTGAGGGACTTACATCAAGGCTTCAAGGTCTCGCTTTAATCGTCTTATTTCCATATTTCAGATACACAAAAACACAATCAGAGTCCAGAGTGGCTTTTATTTCCAAACATACAGGCTAAAACAATATCTGAAATCACATAAAAAAACAACACTTCACAGTACATTAAAACAAAATTCTATATTTGTCTATTTTCCTTCCTGTTTGCTTGGTTAATCTGCTACCAGGGCAACAATATACACAAAGTAAACATGAAGAACTATTTTGTCTCACCAAGGACAGAAAAATAATAAAAGCTTTTGACAAGACAAGCGTTGGGTCATCAAAGACAAGCGCTGAGACCATCACTAACCTGCCTTTACCCAAGTTACACAGTTAAAAGTGCACAATGCTTCGGGATCTTTCAAAACCAATAAACCAATAGACATAGTTCATCCTTAATATAAGAACAATTTAGGCAGACTGGCAGGAAAAGCAGCAAAATTCAAGTGTGTATTCAAGAGTGAAAAAAGACAAACATGTGAACTTACCAAAGGCTTCTGAAGGAAATTAACACATACAAAAAACATAAAAAGGCATTCAGACGCTAAACACTTGCTGCGAACTGTGTAGAGTACAGAGGAGACACTCCTACTCCCCAGCAACAGGAAACGTATCAGGTAAACAGCCTATTCTGAATTATTCATTCAGAGTCTGAACTCAACAGTCACTTCAATAACATGGCAACCAACACAGAGATGGGATTTTCTTTCATTGTTCATTTGAAAAGGGGGTGTAGGGTGAGTCAAAGTAAATTCAAAATAAAAGCAAAATGAAAATTTATTGGAAAGTATAAAGTATTGTAACAGCAGTGGCAATGGGATGGGCTTTACATTTTATTTTTCTTAATCTGTTTCTTCCTTTTGTCCTTGAACACTGGAGAACTTAAAAATTTGGTATCAGAGAACTTGTCCCCACGCCTCATCTTACTGTGAAATGAAGAATTGAGAAATCACAAACTGAGAACTCACAAACTTACCCAGCTGACTGGGGTAATTCTTTTCAAAATTGGACAACATGATATACAAAATAGTGCTCACCAGTTGAGACTAGGCTCCTTGTAGGACACAGTGGCTGCCTTTCGGCGGGTTCGGCCTGATGTCTGACCTGTCAAGTCTGTGTTTGTTAAACTCTTCATTGCCCTCTCATCTGTAATTTGAGGAAACAAACATTTAAACTGCAAGTAAAGGACAGAACCCCAGGCTTAACCTACGAGTCTTTTTCGGACAATACACATGCCAGATCTTCTGATGTTTTAGAAAAACACTGGATTACCTGGGGACTGATGTATCATGCTCCATCCAGGTTCCTCATAAACACCCACAGTTTGAGAAGAGATCTCTGGTAAGGGACTATGGTTAGTGCCAGGACTGTCACAAGTAAAAATCTCAGCAGAGCCAATCTCTAGGGATTCCCAGGGGGGCCTCTCCTCAGAAAACAGTTCACTTTGTTTCTGTCTGAGATGCTCAGTTTTTCTTGGAGTTGACTGGTTGTCGTTACTACGCAGAGGAATAAATGTCCTTTCATCAGCAACAGGAGACATGTAGCTGTCTCCGTTTGTAAGCAGACTATCTTCAGAGCTTCTATTGCAAACCATACTAGTCTCCTTAACCTTTAACAAATTGCAATTAGAGGAAACAACATATGTTTCTCTGCACTTGCTCTTGATGTCTTCATCCTTTTGAAGTCTTGAGCTCATATCTTTCAGACCTACGTCAAGGTCACCCACAGTACCCGTATCATCACAACTGTCAAAGTTAACTGAGTGAATGCTATTTGCATTTCCTGTTTTTCTTCTGGGTGCATCCCTGAAGCACCCACCAAGTGCAGAATATTGTGATAATGTTGACTGCTGTAATTCAGTACTGGAAGTGCCATTTTCCTGTTCATTGTAACTGTCAACTGGACCTGGTAATTCAGTTGCCAAAATGTCAACCTTCTGGGTAGAGCTACAATTCTGTCCTCTTTTCTTTCCTGAAGCATTCCTTTTTTCTCTCACTGCAGGATTCTTCTTTCTTACTTTTGTGTTCAACTCGGTTCTGGGGTTCTTGGGTTTAGGGTGCTCTATTGAAGAAAGTTCATATGATTTTTCTACAAAATGTTTGTCATTGCTTGCTTTTGCTAGTTGTGAAAGTGATCTGTTTGCCAGCACAGGAGAAACCTCTTGCTCCTTTTGTGGACTCTCAATGAGCACTGAAGAAGCATACTGTGAACTGTTGTCTTCCAATGCCCTTGTGTTTGCCAATTCTCCACAGCTGGCATCTTCTTGAATGTCTATCGCATCATTCAGAATGTCACTGCAGATGGGCGTCTTACGTGCATGGATCACATATGTTCCTCTGTTTTTGAAAGCACTGGGTTCTCTGGCCTGGGAGAATGACTGTGCTGACATTTTGCTTTGATGTTTTTCTGCTTGAACTGAGATTTCCATGACATCAGCATCACTGTCAACAACATGAGTGCTCTCCTTCACATGAGATGCATTTTGATCCACACTGAGAGAAGGATCTCTGGTCTTCCTGCTCTTGTGTGGTCTTGACTTATATGCCATTATAAATGTCTTCCTGTGGGTTGCGCCGTCTTTCTGAAGTTCCTTCATAGCACGTGCCACATCTTCACCTTCAGTGTGTTTGCCATTTGAGAAAATATCATCACAAGAACTTTGCGTTCTTCCTTTCTCATTATGTGAAACTTCCAGGTCACTAAAATAGTCATTTAAATCATTATTGCCAGAAACACAGTTTGAAGAGTATGAAGAGACAACGTATGTTTTCCTAGTATCTAGGTTTCCGTCTGTGTGCTTCTGAGAATTATATGTTCGCTTGTTACTTTTAGCGTTGCGAGAGGTGACATGAGTCTTTCTGCGTGCAGTGACTAATTCTGTCGCCTCATACAGGGTCTCTACTTGCTCTTGCAACCTCTCCTCTTCATTGGTGACAGTGAGGCTGCCTGCACTGATACGTGTTTGGTCTTGAGATTCAGAGGATGCTTCCACAGGTAGAATCACAGACATATTGTTTAAAGGAGTTGATTCTACTGGTGTTTCTCTATTAGATGACATAGTGCTCTCCCTATTATTTAGTAAACAAGACTCATTGCTTTTCCCACATCTTCCCTGATCATCATCACAGCTTTGCTTCAGCTTTGTCTGAACTGTAACTATTTCAGCAACATTGTCAACTACAGTCATTTCCATTTCTGAGTCATACAGAGTATTCTGAGGTGTTGCATGGTCTTTGTCTGGACTAGGAAGCTTATCCGTGCTTTTGACTAAAGAGTGACGAAGTAGATTAGCATTGGGTGCAGAGACATTAACAGCTGTGGTAAGTACAGGCTCCTGCTCCACACATTTGGATGGACTGGTTGTGTTCCTTAGCTCAGGTAACAATTCATTCACATCTTTCTCAGATTGACTAGCATCTATGAAGAAAAAACAAACAATAAAATTTGAAATTGGAACGATATTAATTGTAATGTAAAATCCAAAGTGTTTATTACATGTAAACATGGAAGCAATATTTCAATCTGAGTAGATCTGTTACAAACAATATTCTTAACATTAGTTTGAACATTAGCATTTGCATACTTCTACTAGTGTATGTCCATTAGATGTATTAGTGTATAGTTGTCAGTTAGTATTTCAAAAAGGTATCTGTTCTGCTTTATATGTACACAATAAATGTCCATACCTTCAGTGATCTGTGTGTCCAGGCTCATAGATGCCTAAAATGAAATACATTATTATCAGTAACTGTACATTTTTTACAAATGGTCCTGCAAAGATGTACATACAAATTGTACACGTGCTAAATACTTAAGAATAAATGATGTATTACCTCTTCTTTGGAAATAAGGTCGACTGCCTTTGCCATACAATTGATGGAGTTGTTATAAAACTTGCGCAGAATGGAAAACTACAAAGTTAAGAAAATATATATGCTGTTATAAACAATGAATTAACAAATTAAACAAACAGCCTATTAAGCAACTAATTTAGAGGTAGACCATGAAGTCACTAAAAACAAATAAAGCAGACTGACTGAGGAAGAATCAACATTAATGGAACCCAGTTTTACCTACTGGTGGTGGTTGTGGGAATTGGGCAGACAACCACTAGTCTAATGCTTATAAAATAATAAAGCAATAAAAAAATCATTCAGAAATAAAGCAAAAACATAGCATCACTGTGCTTGCTCTTTATTTGTTACCCTCAAAGACTCACCATTTGTTTGTTTTTATGACGCTGGATTGCAAGCTCAAATCTCAAGGCCTGCACATCTTTCTGCAAACACACAGTCTCCATCTCCAGTTGCCTGGCTCTCTGCTTCTGAGCCGCCAGAGCGAGGGCAAGAGCCTTGTTGTTAGTTTTCAAAGAGAGCTTGAAGAAAGATGATGTGTCTGGGACACAAGAGAACAAATAATTAGATAACAACTGTAGACGTTATGAATTATTTTACAAGACAGAATATATGAAAGGACAGTACTGTACAAAAGTCAGAGGCCACTCTTCATTTATTTAATTTCCAGGCCAACATCATACATGCAAAGTACACGTTATTCATTTTTCAAGAGGTATTTCTGAGGAGACAAAATAAAAGAGAATCTACTTGCATTAGAAGGGGGAAAGTCAAAGGAAAATAGGTGAAAAACAAAAAGTTGAAATAAAAAATAAAAATCACTAAATAGAGAAAATTGGACTCAAAACAACCGAAACGAAAAAAGAAAAACAAAAAACAAAACAAAAACTTGCATATCAAACAAAGAAGCTATTGGTGTTCTCAGAACAATGAAATGACCACTCCAGACTTCAGACCTCAAAATCACTCTATATATTTGAGATTATTTGATTACTTGGGATATTTTATTATTACCACGAGAAGCAGAAAATGCAATCAACCTTTAAGACTGAGAAATATATTCTTGCAGACTTCTTTGAAAATCTGAAAGCAAATCATCTGAAAAAAATGGAAGCTGTAATAAAGGCAAAGGGTGGACACACTAAATACCAATATATATATATATATATATATATATATATATATATATATATATATATATATATACACTATAGTTGACGCTGTATTATTATGTATTATGTAATTCTTAAATATGTTTTCTGCTTTTTACGGTTATGAAGAACCTAATGGTAGTTTTGCCTGGAAATCACAGTACTGTAGCTATAACAGGTAAACCTTTTTAACGTTTCATGTATCAGTGCTTTATTAGGGACAATTAAAAGCTTACTGTGAATTTTTGTCTTTATCTTGGCTGCAGTCTGTTTGATCGTGCTTTGTTTCTTCTCCATCATCACTGGAAACGTCATTTTTGCAAAGTCTGCAAAAATGATACCGTTAGCGAGGTTACTTTCACACATTTACATCACATATAAAGGTTAACCAGGTTGTTATCGTTTATATTATAAGCTACCTGACACAAACTTTTAACTGACTGGCTTGGTAACGTAAGCAGTCCTTCTTACAAAGCGACCTATTACATTTAGGCGATCGAGCCACGAGCCTACCAAGTGGCTAAAAAGTTAACTTACATTTTTACTTGTTCTCTTTCATTCGTTCATATAACTACCACCTCTAACTACAGTACTAACTAGCTAGTAGCTATATTTAACAGTGACTGTAGCTCGCTAGCTTACCAAGTTAGCTAAGCTAACTAGCTATGAGCTACGTCACTCACGTTAGTACTCACCAGGGATAGGATGAATAAATTTTAAATGAAAGGAGAATTTAGCTCTAGCTAAACCAAGTTACTTTAACTAGCCAGCACGCTAGTTGGCTAAATGGTTTCTGGGCGGTACATCTCACTGTAGTTCTGTAAACATGGCCATGTCTGAAGTTGTGTTAACCTATCAGCGAAATCTCTCTTCTCAGTTTCAAACCCAAACAAACCCGCGGAATCTCCAACCGCTTCCTCGGCGACTCTCCCTCAGCTTTACTATCGGTGTCCGAGTGGACTGGTGTCTCCTGCTGGACAAACAGAAGTCATACTAAATCCGAAGAGGGAGAAGGAGACGCCTTGTTTACACTGTGATTACATGTCCAATTTCAACATAAATTACCAAAATAAATATTTAATAAACATTTTGGAAAAGGTAATTTAGAATTAACGTTAACTTAACATTTGGAATTTTTAATTTACAAACAAGGTTAATTTTAATTTGCACATCTTTTAGACTTTTACTTTGAACAAATCTAAACCGGAAGCGTACGTTGCTATTGCATTCACTCTTTATCACCCATATGATTTGTCTTAGCTATCGGCTCATAGATCCTCGTTCCGCATCGAGGGTGAAACTCCCTTCTGTATTATTCAACTAATCACAGAACTGTAGCTAGTGAGAAATGGAGGGACAGCGCTGGCTGCCACTGGAGGCTAATCCAGAAGTAGGCATGCTTTCACTCTCATTCAGTTTGCTAGCAGGCTTCATCATTTTGTCATCATGAGTCATTTAGCTAATAGCTGTTCGGCTAAACAAACCACTGCATGCTAGTTCACGCCTGTCTCTACACTTGCTAACGTAGCTACGTTGACTGATTTGTCTTTCTGTCTCTGCCTTTCAGGTTATGAACCAAGTGAGTAGATGGTGTCTTGACTAGGTTTTGGAGTTCTCGTACCCCGGAATTAAGCCTAACCAAACGAATTAAGCCAAAGGTGTTTGTAATGTTTGAAATTAAGTCTCCCATGGTAGCTATCTGTTTCTTATCTCTCACTATATATGTGGTATCTCACTGTAGTGACTGTCAGTGTTGGGCAGAATACTTCGGAAAAGTGGTCATGGCTGAATACCGAATACTCTGTCCAAAATGTATTCAGTAATTTATTACGGTATAATATGTTAAAAAAAAATAATGCATTCAGAACACAATTAGAACAAATATTGATAATGCAGACTGGGAACAACTCTGCTGTATTTTATACTTAACACTGTTCTTAACATTTTCTGGTTGGTATTTTTCTTTATGTAGTTGGTAATATGTTGGACAATTTGCCCATCATTTAAAATTAAGTTCTAAAGTTCTTAACTTTTTTCTCTTCTGTGTTATCACCTTCTTCAGTCCACTGCTGCTCTGACAATTCCCCAAGCAGGAATTCAGTACAGAACAGAGGCAAAAATTATAATCACAAGCATGAGATTATTCGTTTGATCATCCATCAAAGGAGTTCATTAAACCTGACATAAACAACTGGCCCATCACATTGTTTGATCAGTCTATTCAGGCTCTAGCAGGACTGTCAGAGTTTGTAAAGAAGCCATTAATTGAGGTCTTCTTTAGTGTTCATCTAAGGAACAAATTTACTACGTGTCATGTGCTGATTTTAAAATAAACAAGCATTGGTGGTGTTTCTTTTGAAGATTTATTTTTATTTTGTGAGTGGCTACTCTAAAAGTATTCTCTTATATTGTCTTAGAAATGTTAAAATGTATTCTAAGTGCTCCTCTTACAACATGTAACTGAATACAGATACCTAATTTCTGTTTTCTCAATTCATATTTCCAATACTTGTATTCTGCTACATCCCAACCCTGGTAACTGCAAATTAGCGTCTTCGTTCCCCTCCTGCCCTCACATCCCTGTCAGAAATGCACATCACTGGCAGTCTAGCACTCTGACTCCTTAGAGTTCTGTTAAACCACTTCTGAAATTCTGCCTTACTGTCAAACATTTTTTTTGTGTTTTATGAACCATTATGTCTTGTAGTTTTTACGACAGTTGGGCTTGGTACCTTCCTGGCAGTTTGGAGATGTTTATGGTTTGGACCCAGAGCTCCTCACATTAGTGCCAAGGCCTGTGTGTGCTCTTCTTCTCCTCTTCCCTGTGTCAGAGAAGGTAGGACTGAAACTAACAACTGTGGTGTCCAACCAGTTTAGTTGGCTGGGAATATAAAAATAACTAATTATGTCATGTTTCACTTGTTCCTTTTTCCACCCCCACCTATTGTCAACCACAGTTCGCTCAGCAACAGCAGGAAGATGCATTATTTTTGACTTCCAGTAATCTAAAACAGAGCTGCTTATGTGGTTTATGATGTACTGTTATCTATAACATGGTATATCACATAGCTAAAACAATACTTGTCAAGTCATCTTGAAGTCTGATTTTTTTTATTTGCTTGTTTTTTTGTATTTGTTTCCATTTGTATAGATTGCAGTATGTTATTAATTGGAGGTAATTGGTCTGTTGCAAGCTTCTAGTACTAGTCAGCTGCATTAGCCTCATGGCACCAGTGCAGAAGTGGACACCTAAACTTGATGTAGTTGCTTAACATGTTTAGGATAAAGTGAAAAGTCCTGTAATGCTCTAGTGTATATCAGATATTTACTTTCCAGCTATTGGTATCTCGTTTGAGATTTTGGACCAAGCCACAGTGACTTTTGATAACTTCACCCCTTTCTGAACTGCTTCCATTTCTGCTTAAGTGGCAACTTTCTTGCAACTATCAAACTTGCATCATCATATACTTGATTTCCCACCACTGTATCATACTGAAAGTGTTTTTGTGATATTCAGTAAAGGGAAACACCATTTTGACAGACGTTTTGTATGTATTCACTCCATTTAATCTTGATTGATTCTGTGGAAACATTTAGTTGTTTTTGTATTCACGGCAACAGTTTTACAAAATTACATTGAAATGTGCCATCTTATAGCAACAAGGTCTCTTGCTCTTTACCCATATATTTGACAAATTGAATATAACTGGTAGTTAACCTTACACCCAGAGGTGCACAATGAAGCAAATCAGTTGTTGATTGTAATTGACAGTCAACCAATTTATTATTTTTAGCCTATCTATAATGCAGTATTATGTCATAAATAACACAAGGCGTAGCATAATCATGCATGTGCTAAATAGCTGGTTGCCATTTGCTTCTGATGTAGCACTTCATTTGATTCATTTTATTTAAAAGGGCAACTATTTTTTCATTTAAATGTAAAATGCCAATTTGACCTATTAAAGAACAAACGGTGTTATTTATATTGTGAGTACTGGAAATGTGCTCCCATGTTCCATACAGTTTGAGCTCCTGGGGGAAAAACAGAAACAAAGTCTAATAAAAAAAACTACCCAAAAACAAATCGACCTTAACGAATTGACCTTAAAAATGAATTCTCGGTGCATCCCTATTTATATGAACTGAAAAATAGGACATAAATACAGGGAGATTCACTTGGATTTACAGGCCCTGAATATTCTGTTGTAACTCCTGTTAGGATGAAGCAATCTGAACCAAAAAAATACGCTATATTGACGTATGTGTAATTGATTGCATTACATGCGATGCTGGAAGTGATCTCCGTTTTCTGCCAGACACCTGAAGGGGTACGGGGGTATGCACCCGGAAGTTGCAAACGGAGGTTAAACATCGCAATGGATGTCCGGCACCTACCTCATCGCTGCGACGCAGGGGCATCCTGGCTTGTTCGAAGCTTCATATACTAAAGAGCACATTGCATGTTGTTTCGTTCAGATTGCTTCGTCCTAGGGAGAGTTATTACAGAATTTCCGGGGCCTCTTTTGGAGTGAAAATCTTGTAATGTTGTAAAGTGTGAATATGTTGATGCTTGAAATGTGAATATTTTCTGGTTCATCATACTAGCACTTTTCATGCACAGCTCATGGGGAACTTATGGGGGGCCGTTTTTGGTGAAATACACTGTAACACTAGCACACACCTATGAAACACTCGCACATACACACACACTACTTGCACACAGTTATGAAACACTGTATAAAGTCTGTGTAAAATACTTGAAGTGAGGCTGCATGAACATTTAGCACAATAAAAACACATTAAAACATTAAAAAACTGTTATGTTAAACATTAGAAAACTGTTATGTGATGTATGCATGGGCAATAAGATCACATGATGGGTAGGACAAATTGTAAGAACACTAGAACAAATTGCTGATTCAGTTTCATAGGAACAATGTACAGGCGTCAAAACACTTCTTTCAATGTAATTTACAACCAAGTCAATTAATACAGGGGGACTAAATACATCAGGCAGCTGTATGGATTCTACATAGTGTAGGGCGTGGTAGAAAGAATTAAAAATATTTTCTCTGTCGACAAATTACTCAAAGGCTGATTAAACTGATTAGTGCAGTTCTTAATTCTGCATTAAGAGTTTGAAAGGAGTTCTTCTAGAAACTCTTTCTTTATGCGGCTGAGCATGCTTTTATTTTGTAATACTGCAACTTTCTGTTACAGTGAAATGACTTCTGGTCACGATGAAAGCTGTTGCATGCACACCAATAACTGCAGTCTGGGCACAATCAGTAACACTTGTGTACAAGTTCGTAGGTCTGTGCAAGTAGTCTGTGTGCCTGCAAGTGTTTCAGTGTATTTTACCTCTGATGGCTCCCCATAGGGAACTTCCATTTTCCACCTGATTCTCTAGAAGCTTTGAAAAATTACCTGAAATCCCTGTAATACTGGAGGTCTTGGTAAAACAAGAATTAAATGTCATGGAATGGCTGTTAGCCCAATTCCAAAAAAGATGGGACACTATGTGAAATGCTAATAAAAACAGAAAGCGGTGATTAATAAATTCTGATTGAGCTGTAATAATAATTATTAATAAAAAAAGTAAAAAAAAATAAATATTTTTTTAATTTATAAATCACAGCTTTCTTTGTTTATTTACATTTCATGTACTGTCCCAATGTTTTTGGACCATGATCCTGCAGTGAAAATGTGAGAGAATTTTTTTCACTTTTCAGTGAATATTCAAGGAGACAAAGAAAACAAAAATTGGAAAAAAACAACTTTTTTTTATTATTATTTTAGTACTTTATGCACCCTCCATTTGTCAAAATAACAATATTGAGTATTCTCCTGTAATGATGGATAAGGTGGGAGAACACATAAGAGTTCAGAGAATCATCTTTCAGTCCTCCCAGTTGCTCCAGATCTTTAGAGTATGTGGCTCTCACTGAACTCATCTCATTAGCTTAGCCCACATTTCTTCAATTAGGTTTAGGCGAGGGCAAGAGGATGTCCACTGCAAAAGCTTGAAAGCTTTGGTCAGTGAATCAATTTTTATGGGGATTTGGAGATATATTTTAGTTCATGGCTACTCAAATCTGAGCCTGTGTGCTGAAGTTGCCTCTAGTGATTCCAGAATCAGTACTTTGATGGCGCTGACTTTTCTCATCAGCTTATTAAGGCACTTGGCGTCTGCTGCAATCTGCTGTGACGGGTTTCTGACTGGAGTCAGCTTCTTTCTCCTGCTGCACGTTAGGGTGTGTCTTTGGCAATGTTTCTTAGGTTAAAGAAAGCCTCTCTGACGTATCAGTATGTGAAGTCAAACAGGGATCAGAAACGTGGACATCTGCCAGGTCCTTCAAACTTAATCAAAGGAGCTGGGCTCTGCTGTTTATTTTATCATTTCACCCTTATTACACTTAGTCCACAGTTAAATGAGGACTCTTTATACCTCTATACCAAAATCTCCTGTTGCATACATCTGGCAGGTACAGACCATGTTGAAATGTTCACCTCTGCCAAGGCTTAACTGGAATGCCAGTGCTACAGCAGTGTGTGGGGAACACAAGCCAACATAAATATCAGCTGACCCATACCCTGCCAGATTTGCAGAGGATAATATGATCTAACAAAAAAAAACAGTGTGAGAGTCAGAACAGCATGGTAAACCTGATGCCATAGCATTAATTAATTAATTAAATTATTATTATTTTTTGCCAGGATGTAAGGTAATGACTAAAAAGGGTTAAAAAAAAAAATACGCCATGGAAAAAATATACATCTGACCATCTCATAATGATTGGATGAATGATGTGGTTAGTTTTCCCGCTGTGTTACTAAGGCTCACTGTGTCACTAAACTCACTAAATTCATTTTTTAAAACTGTTTTCAAGAATAAACTCAATAAATATCTATTCAATAAATAACAAATTTATTGTGCTGATATTTGCTGTTCTACTTTATACTCAAAAACTTGCTAGTGTTTGACACAACGTCTTTTTAAATAACCATATTTATTTTTTGTTGTTTAGTTTTTATGTTATTAGGGGTCCAAGCACCTTTAGGTGCATGGAACCCTATTGCTTTTGCTCAGCTTTTTTTCTTCTTCTTCTTCTTCTTCTTCTTCTTCTTCTTCTTCTTCTTTTTCTGCCCTAAAACGGTTTGTGGAGAAGACACCGTAAGTCATCCAAAGACCAAACTTAGAGGGTAGGTGTAGATTCCCCCACACTACTCAGGCAACTGAAATGACCCCAGTTGGCCTGATGGTGGCGCTATAGAGCAACTTTTTACGTTTTTGCCCATATCTCCTGAACCATGGGGGCTACCCTCAAAATTCTTGCTTCTACATAATCCTTGCTTTATTCTACATCAACGCACCACTGCCAGTTTTTAGCTCCGCCCCCAAATTTATCATCATAATTGGCAAAATATGTGACATCTACATTTTTCTACTAGTCTGAGGTTTTTCAAGATATCAACACAATATTCGTCTCACAATGTTCAGGAGAGTCTGGAGGTCAAGAATTATCAAAAAGTGAATATTTGTAAACAGTATGGCTGGCACGTGCCAATTAAGCCCCTTTGGGTTTGGCTTAATTCACATAAATGGCTACAGATCGAGAATGCTTTGGCCAATTCACATCAAACTTATCAGTCCTGTACCCCACATGATTCTGTAGAAGCCCACCAAGGTTGATACCGATTCCTCAATAGGGGGCGCTATAACAGCCAAAAATCTGTTTCTCAGCAACTGCTTGGCCAATTGAGCTGAAACTTTGCATGCTGTATCCATGGCCTAATATTTACAAGATCTATTAAGAACAACTGAATCATTTGACAAATATGGCCGCCGTTGGCCAATAAGCTTTCAACAGGCATTTGGAGGGCTTAGCATTGGCCAATCATCACAAAAATTATATCATGTGTCCACATAGGCAATCTCTAAAAGCCTATAAAGTTTGACCTCAATTGGCCATGAGGTGGCGCTATAGAGTATAAATGAGAATAAGTCCTATAAATTTTATCATATATCAAAATAAATCAATAAATATCATTGCTTACACTGAGCATGACATTTTATCCAATACAAGTCTTTTAAAATTCTGTAAAGTTTTTCTTTGATTGATCAATGTTTGAAAATTGAGCTTTTTGAACTAGTCTGTGGATTTTAAAACAACTGTTTCAAACTGTTTCTGTGGAGTCCGTAGGTAAATAATTATCAAAAAAACCTTGACTTTATTGCAAAGAACAGCCATGAGACACCAATGAATCTGTTCGGCCTGGCCTTATCTGACTTAGGGGGCTATAGATTCTTTAGTTTTTAGGTGATTGTGATAAATCTTGGTAAACTTGTACACGACTGTTTTCTGATGAAACATGCAAAGCCCCTACAACACTTAATCTAGTGCGTAATTATTAAAATGTCATTATATTCTTCTATGAATGAAATAAAGAAAAGATAATGGTTTTAAATTACACATCTTATTAACGTCTAAAACATTGCAATTATATGTCTGTTCCAAAATTGCACAGGAAACGTGGAAATTTGAGTTAAAGCCAGGATGGCCACATAATTAATAAGGGTAATATCTTTTCTGCCCAGCAGAGGGAGCATCAGCATTAAATGCAAATTATGACTTCAAACATACTTATGGTCATAGTCTTTGCAACATCTATCTTGCGGCAAAGGAACTTTCAGAATTTTATGTATTCCACTTATCCAAGCAATTTTGCTTATACAAGTCTTTTTAGTTTCTGTAAATCATCAGAGTTTGAAAACTGATGTTTTCATACTGCTTGCTGAAATGTTTTTGCAACGCCTCAAACTTGGTCTCTAAACAACCGTCAAAGTCTAAAGATCAATAATTATTTAAAAAACCTTGGCTTTTAAGCACAATGTTATTGCAAGTTATGGATCAATCAGTGCGGTCCAGCCTATTCGGAAACAAGGGACCACAAATCTGTCACTTATGCTCTGTGACCAAAAATGATATATACATTGCAAATAATCAGCTGAGGAAACCTATGAGATTTGGCTTGAATTGGCTTAAGTTGGCTCTTACAATGCTCAATGTACTGCCAACAATCTAAAATGTAATTATTCCTGTCTAAGATTAAAATAAAGACATGATTATTGTTTCAAATTATGCATCTTAATAAGAATTAACACTTTGCAAATATGTGTAGGTTGCTTAACTGTACAGGAAATCCTATAATTTGATTTCAGCAAATTTTAATTAGAGCAAGAGGTGTTTTATATTTCTCAGGCCACCACAGGGAGCCAAATCAGTAACTGCAAATGTCAATGTTCAACTAATTAATAAAAAATATACTGTTAGTGGAAAGTTTTACTCTATGTCTTTAGGTCAAGACAATTTCTGTACTTTTTGCTTTCCACTGTGCCTGACAATTTTGCAAATACAAGTCTTTTAAAAAACTTTGTTTTTCTGTAAATCATCAGAGTTTGAAAACTGATGTTTTCATACTGCTTGCTGAAATGTTTTTGCATCCTCTCAAACTTGGTCTCAAAACAACCGTCGAAGTCTAAAGATCAATAATTATGTAAAAAACTTTGGCTTTTAAGCACAATGTTATTGCAAGTTATGGATCAATCAGTGCGGTCCAGCCTATTCGGAAACAAGGGACCAAAAATCTGTCACTTATGCTCCGATTGTGACTAAAATTGATATATACATTGAAAATTATCAATTGAGGAAACATATGACATTTGGTTTGAATTGGCTTAAGTTGGCTCTTACAATGCTCAATGTACTGCCAACAATCTAAAATGTAATTATTCCTGTCTAAGATTAAAATAAAGACATGATTATTGTTTCAAATTATGCATCTTAATGACACATTAACACTTTGCATAATGTGTAGGTTGTACTGTACAGGAAATCCTATAATATGATTTCAGCAAATTTTGGTCAGATTTTTCTCTGGCCACCAGAGGGAGCCAAATCAGTAACTGCACGTCATTGTTGACATATACATGGAAAGCTTTACTGTATGTCTTTAAGCGAGAGTATTTCTGAATGTTATGTTTTTTACTAAGCCTAACAATTTTGCAAATACAAGTCTTAAAAAACTTTCAGTAATATCACGGTTGAAAAAAGATGGAGAATAGACATTTCTTACTAATTCTTGAGTTTAAATCAAATTAAGTTTTTCTTAAAACCATCATATTGAAAATATCATGACTTAAGCACATTGTGGCTGAAGATTTGAATAATTTGGTGTGAATTGGCTTATTCTGCCATAAAAGGCTAAAAATACACCAATAATTGTCTGAATATAACCAAATTTTACACAAATATACAAAATGACTGATAGTGTATTATGATTTCGTTTGAAATTATACTACTCAATAGTCACAGCAATTGCAAGCTGGAAACTAATTCCCAGTGGGGTGGTGCTAGGTTCCTTATTGCTCTAGACCGATAAATTCTCTCAAAAAAATAGGTCTGCTGTGGGCCTCTTGTAGCTCACCATGAAAACATCCGCCTTTGAAGATTAAGGTCGTGGGTTTGATTCCCTGTACTGGTGTTGGATGGTGCTGTAGCAGTTGTTATGCACACACGCTTAATTATCTTAATCTTAATGAAGAGTCTAAAATGGTGCGTGGTTCCTTGTTGCGTCCTTTCAATAAATTGTTTCAAAAACTGCAGTTTTGCCACAGATGTCTTGTGGCTCAGCGTTAGAGCCTCTGCCTTTGAACACTAGGGTCGTGGGTTCGAATCCCCGTCATGGATATTAAAATGAGTTGCGTAGATTGTAGCAGATGTGTCAGCTAGTGGCCTTAATCATAGGAAAAGGAGAACTTTCTTAAAAATCTGGAGATCTGCTGCAGTCTACGACCAGGGGCCACTACTTTACTCCTCGAGGTCTTCCAGGTGCTTGGACCCCGCAGATTGCCGCTTGCGGCTATATTTGTGTAATTTATGTTTTGTGTGTTTAGTTTGGACCATATAGTTCAAACATAAATTAATTGTTGCTATCATTTTACCAGAATTTTCTTACAAATGTTACAACTAACCCCAGAGCCTGTTGCAGTTAAGGAAGTGGCACTCATGCCAGTTTTGATCAAGGAAACAAAGTTTACTTTTTTCTTTGCAGCAGAGAGTAGTGTAGGTTGCTTGTATTAAAAAAGAGTAATCTTGCTCAATTGATTAAAAACAATATTTCTTTTTTTTCCCTGTTTTTACAGTATGAATCATTTAGACTGGAGGAAGAAGCAAAGATTAAGGCTCAGGGGCAAGAAGTGTCATCAGAGGTGTACTTCATGAAACAAACCATTGGAAATGCATGTGGCACAATAGGGTTGATTCATGCAGTGGCAAACAATCAAAGGCATCTGGAGTTTGGTAAGTCTCATTCTTCAGAGCTTTCAGGCAACTTTTTTGTAATCAGCTGTTTTAATATCAATAGCAGGTTAAAATTTCTGTTTTTATGTATACTAATATACGAAGCGTTTCATTCCAAAACGCTTTGTCAATTTGTAACAATTTTAGATATAAGATTTTGAAAAGAATGACAGCTGACATCTAATGGAAAACACAGTATTAATCATAATGTTGCATTGATATTTGTTGTATATGTAAAGACCAGTCCCAGCAATGTTTCATGAAAAAAATACAAATTCTAAAGTGGTCTAATTGTATGTAACATTCTATATGTTTATATAATTTTGCTCTATGATAAATTTGTCCTGTGAGATACTTAAACTAACTATTGCAAATTACTTTGTAGAGCCCGACTCACCATTGAAGACATTTATAGCGCAATCCTCTATGATGAGACCTGAGGAAAAAGCGACTTTCCTTGAAAAAGATGAGGTGGTTTAAACATTTTGTGCTATTTTCTTATGAGACTGTTGCTTTGGAACTGATTTGGTATTTGATGTAGTCCTGTATCATCTGCAGCGTGAAGCGTGCTGTTTATTGTTTGTCTAAGCATTTGTTTAAAACATTTCATATTTTTTTTTATCAATTACAGAGCATCCGTGCAACACATGAGTCAAGTGCTCAAGAGGGCCAAACAGAGGTTGGTGTTCATGCATGAGTTATTATTAGTAATAGTAGTAGTATCTTGTTTATTTATTGGAAATAGCTCTAAATAGTGGCTCAAATTCAACAGCCATATGAACATTTATTTTATGGTGGACTTTGCATCTGCTAATGGGTATGGGTAAGTTATAACGTTGAAAATTTGATACTTGGTCCAACCACTTAAATTTCAGTACCTCATAAATTTGAATGTGGGGCTGACTAGGCTATGGCTGAACTTAAATTCAGTTGGTGCAACTTGTTATTGGTGACCTCAAAATACTACCATCTTTCTTTAACAGTGATTCTTACAGGAACATTGCCTCTCTGTAACCATCTTCCTCACTGCGTGTGGAATAAAATAACCAGGCTTGCTTTTCCAGGCATGTTCACTACAGCTCTGGTTGTTTTAAACTTAATTATCGCCCTAACAGTGGATATGGGCATTTTCAGTTATGTAGCTATTTTTTATTGCCACTGCCTGATTTCTGAAGGTCAACACACTTTTGTCCCATTTCATGTGTGTATTCTTTAATCTTCTCTGTGTTGATGTATAAGGAAATTTGGCCTCATATTTATACCCCAGTGTAATAGGGAGTCAAGGATGACCATTTAAGATGGCCTTAAAAAAGTGAAAATACATGGGAAAATGCTTCAGTTACATTTTGTTCATAATAATGCAAGGGCATGCCAATAATTGTGACATGGTCTTGTCACGATTATTATTAAACTTTTTTGATAAAGGTTTTTGTTTTCTTAGTCTAAATTTGTTTCAGTTAAAGATTACACTCCCTTCATATTTTCAGTGTTATATTAAGCTAATTAACTGCAGACATTTTTTCATTGCCCCTTTTAAATTCATCTTTATCAGTGGGTACATTTGTTGTGGGGCTCACATGTCAAAACAGTTTAGCATTAGTGTTTCATTTCTTTGTTTAATTGAAAATGGAATTCATTTTATGAATTTTTATTTGAACCCTGTTTTTCAGGCTCCAGGTTTAGATGAAAAGGTGGACTTGCATTTTATTGCTATTGTGAATGTTGAAGGACATTTATATGAGTTGGGTAAGTAACTGCAATTTAAATGCAATTGACTTCCTTAAAGGTGATTCTGCCAGTCCACTGAAATAAAATATATTCTTTTTTTTGAAAAACCAGAAATCAGTCGGTGCACAGTGCATAAAGAAAATATTAAATGTTTTATATGGCATTACTATGACCTTGCAGATGGACGAAAACCTTTTCCAATTGCTCATGGGAAGACTACAGAGGACAGCTTTCTTGAGGTGAATATCCTTCTTCATCAGCAGTTCTTCCAGTTGGAGATTCTGTGGCCTCATAGATTCACATGATTTTGTATTATAAAGTCTTCATCTACCTTAATATTCAGACATTATTCACAGCATTAAATAGGCTAAATGCATAAACAGTAACAGTGAGTATGTTAGCAGTTAGTATGTTAGTTTATGTACACTCTGTGTCCAAAAGTATCCAGGCACTCACTCTAATTAATGAATTTAGCTACTTTAAGGTGCAGTCATTGCTAATTATAAATTGCCAACACTGCTTGTATAAGCTCCATAGAAAAGCATTGCCAGTAGAGTGAGATGCACTGCAGCAGGCCCCAGTGAGCCTGGAGTCACCATGCCTAATGCCAGGCATCAGCTAGGAGGGTATAGAATTCCCCAGCAATGGGCTGTGCAGCAGTGGAACTGTTCTCTGGAGTGATGGAGCTCTATCCAATAACTTTGGGATGAGTTGGAGTGACGTTTGTGATCCAGAACTAATCATTCAACATCAGTTGACCTCACTAATGTTCTCATGGCTCAGTGCAATCAAATCCTTACAGCAATGTTCCAACATCTAGTGTAAAGCCTTCCCAGAAGAGTAAAGACTGTTACTGCAACAATGGGCAGACAAACTCCTCATAAATACTCTTAATGTCAGAAGAAACGTTGGATGGGCAGGTGTCTACAAACGTTTGGACACATAGTGTATTTTTAACTTTTCAGTGGTAACAGGAAAATTGGGTTTTTCTGAATTTCATACTTCACAGTGATGTAAGTTTCAACATTCAAGTTTTTTTGTTTGGGTAATTGTTTTGTCTGTTTACTTGCAGGACGCTGCAGAGGTCTGCAAGAAATTCATGGCACGTGATCCCCAGGAGCTGCGCTTCACTGTAGTGGCTCTCTCCAAGGCATAAACCACTCGCCCCCCTATTGTTTTTTTCAAGAAGACAACTGCCAGTCATTCTCAAGTGCTGAACACGCATTTTTACAGAATAGATTTTGATAAAATGCATGTTCGCTAAAAGTTTTGACTATTATGTAGTCATATAGTCATAAGACTGAAATGCAATTGTACAATAATATGAATGATTGAATCAGTGAAACTGATAGTAAACAGTAAAACTTGAAGTAAAAAAATCATATCAGATGACTGTTCAATGACTGTGCATTGTAACTTTGCATACTTTTGCTGTGTCCCACCTACCAGCACTCTAATTAGACAGTAATTGTTTCTCCAAACATCAAAAGACTTGACATGTTGTTGAAAACACAGATGCTCCAAATTGATTAAATTATATGGGTTTAAATAATATTAAAGGTCACACTCTTTACAAATGTTGACGTGTTGTTTGTGATTTTTCCCATCATCGTGTTGGCTGTTGATGAAAACTTTTGAGCTGTTATGACAAATAAAAATAAATGAATGGAAATAATGTTTTTATGAGGAATACAACTAGTTTTTAAGTTACATGTTCACAGCTTATAGGAAACCTGTGATCATGTGCGCCCCTCTGTCTGTAGGCTGTTAGGTTTAGTGCAGGGTTTTTGGTGGAAGTGTAATGACTGCATAAAGCCACGGGGGGGCGCAGGATGCGTCTGCAGCACAGGCTGCTCTGAAAGAAGTCTGAGCGACAGTTCAGTAAAGCGGCTTATACTTGTAGGTAAGTTCTGAACTTTTCTGGAGAACGTTTGAGCAGGAGCCTACACATAAAACCTTCGCCAGGAATTGGCGATACCTACAGGTGTGGGTTTTTAGGGGGCCTTCAATAACTGTTTCCAGGTGTGTGTGACGGAGACACTGCAGAGACCAGGTAAGATTGTACCGGAGTGAGTGAACGTTTTGTTTACCTTTTCACTGAGGCGACACAGTTTGCAGCATTTCATGACAAAGACTGTTTGAATGTCTCACAGAAAACACTACTGTGTGCTGTTGTGTTACAGTAGAATTTCTACTAGCCCCAGAAAGTGACATGTACTATTTTAACAGAAACACTGTAGCCCAGATTAGAGGTAATATTATACGGCTAAGTTTATGAACAAGGCAGTCCTCTCACTGACAAATGCCTTTAATGACTGAGGGTTGAACGGGAGTTCGGTGGGAGGAAAAATGAAGCTGGCCAAACTAAACACCTACAAGGCCGTTTTCTGAAAGTTGAATCATGAATTAAGCATCTAAACGGGGACACAGACGAACTGTTTGATGTTTTGCTTTCACAGGTTGTAAAACTGTAGAGGTAAAGGAGATTATCATTCAGAACGAGCAAATCCTTCACACAGAAACACGAGACGTTGCAGTCGTTTATGTGGGAGATGGAGTGGAGGGAGCCCTCAGCTAACTGTGATGCTGCCCGTTTAGAAGCACAGAGATGGATGGAGGTAAGAGCTTCTCACACGGCGGCTTCACCGAGGTTAAAGAAAAGATTACCTTAAGATGACCTTGAGATAATACAGAACTCTTTAGTATGTGTGCATAGAATGGCAGAATAATCCTCATTGCCTTTTCAGGAAAGTCATTGGTACAGTTTGTCAGATGCAAATTAAATCAGAATTTTGTAAAATCGTTTTGTTATGTAGACTAGTGTAAGAAACAGACAGAAACAAAGGTATCTTTGAACTCACCTCCTATCATCATCCTTCTCTTTACTTCTAGTCTTACTCTGATTTAGATACTTAATACAAGACTCTTAACTGTAGAGGTGGGCGATGTGGAAATATCACAATATTTGAAGAAATTTTACAGACTAACAATATGCGTCATGATATTTCAATCTTTTGAGGTTTAAAAACTTGATATCAGAATGCAGGTTGGAACAGAATATGTCATTTTGAAAAATACTATCAAAAACTATCAGTACAATTATTTTGTTTTACATACTGTGCTGCACTAAATCCACTTACTCAGGACTAATTATGCTCTCTTTGTAATGAAGTATGGAGCTGGTCAGTGCTCTTTTGAACACTGATGATGTCCATGATATGCCCAGAGTTCATATTGTGGCACACTGGTATAAATTTTCGTCATACAATAAAATATTGTCATATTGCCACAGTTCACGTGTATATAATCACTTCATTAATAGCACAGACAACATTCTGTCATATTGAGGCGAATTTACTTTTAGTCAGAAAGATATTTGAAGCATCTGCATAATGGTTGATTTAGCTCTCATCTCTCAAACTATGCCATGATTTCTCAAAACACAGTTCTTTCATGTTTGATCCCAAGTATTGAAAGTGGAACTGCTTTTTAAGTAACGTTACACTCTTTGCGTGGCTTATTCCATCAAATCATGTGATCCTCCTTTATCCACTTCATAAACACAAATGCTGTGGATTTTCCTGGCCCTGTGAATTCTTTTCTCAGCGGGAGATGGCAGGCCAGAGCACTGGCTGTAACTAAACAAATATTGTTCTTATTTCGTGAGGGGTGAATCTGAATGCTTTCACTGTGACATCAGCCCTTCACACTTACACACTGCTTCATTGTCATGGGCAGTGGGCCTTGGCAGGGCTGTTTCAGAGCAGCCTGGTGCTGATTGCTCTCCTGCATAGAAAGGTATGGTCCCTTCATTTGAATGATTAACAGGTTGCCAGGCGTGAGGGCACACTTAACAGAGCTGTAAGTGTGGGTATATGTGCTGGAGGAAAGGGCAGGTTGTTAAAGTGGGCTGAATGGTCTGGAGTCTGTCACATGCACACATTCCTTCCCCAGACTCCATGGTTGTGGCTTTAAACATTCCTGTTTTGCCTCAGTGATGGCTTTAGTTTGAAGGTTAGGACTGGTAATTAGTTAAGCTGCCAGAAACTATATAAGTGACTGATTTGAAATGAAACAAGCATAATTAGTGTTATGATTAAGAGGAAAAAATAGGAAAAATACTGTGTGTATTGATAAGCCCATCAGTTGGCATTAAGACGTTTGCTAGTGGTAAAAATATTCATCATGGTCTCTCAGTAACTTGGAGCCATTTACGTGGATTTCTGTTTTAGTTGTAGATGTAACTGTGATATTTGAACAATTTAAGAGTGACTTTTGGGAGAATTTAATCTATTTAATGTCTTAACTGCAAGCCAAACTATACTGACAGCTTAACTTATTTTGCTTGACAGCAGTTGTATAATTATGCGTCACCAAAACTAAGGAGCAGGAGTAATTTTGCAAAATTTATCTACTAATAAAGTTGAGAGTTTGAAGTATGAAAACTAAGTTGTTCAGTTCTGTATAACCTTACTTACTTACTATCTTTACATACTCTGACATTGTTCTTTGACATGTGCTTTTAATATTATACTTCTAAAGTTACATTTGAAATAGCTAGATTGCTAGAAAGTGTTTTACATTTGGCGTCAGCTTTCGTTAACATTCACTGTAGCCTGTGATTGCATAAGGATTAATATGCTTTGACCTGCTTAATGATGGGCTGCTTTGCATGTGTCCAGCTCAGAAAGCCTGGCAGCTCCTGTTGGTTTGAACAGAAGCTTTGTGTTGGGGTTGTCTGGTGCTAAAATGTAAGTGCTTGAGATTCGGGCCTTGCATCACATAACAGCTATTTACTACTGTCACACAAACTTGTCACCTTGAGCCTTTATTTGCACTGCTCATAGATTATATAATTGGCTTCAGCGGCAAACAGGTAAACTCAAAATGCAGCAGGACCCCTAAACCCCTAATAAGTTCACATTTAATGAAACCTTACCGTATTGTGATTTACGTCTTTTCATTACTGAATGAATTTGTTAAAAGAATGATTGAACTTGCCAATACATATTGTGTGATGTGCTATTGCTTTAGATGTTACAGTAAACTTTTAATATTTGTCTTAGTTTACTGTTGAACAAAAACATTTTAATACAGATTAGAGATAATGTAATATGGTAAGTCTGTGATCGAGCAGGTGACCACTTCATTGACTAAAATGCCTTTAATGCCTTTCAGGGGTTCTGAGAAGCTTATTATGAGGAATGTGTGTTGCTCACAGTCAACTCTGATAATAAACTAAAATGAATTATTATTCAGAAACTTGCTGAAAACAAAGGAAATTATAGTTATTCCAAAGTTATAGGAGTGAAGAATGGAAGCCATGACTTGCTAACAAGTCCTAGGCATTTAAGGGCATTTAAAAAGGGTACTGTTAAGTGCAAGATGTTTACCTTAAAATCATTTGTCCAATGTGACCTTCAGGTTCTTAGAGTGAGTCTCAAAAGACTGAGTAACAAAAAAACAGCTAACTCAAGACCAAATGTGTATTACATAGTCATTGTTTCTGGAATGACTGATACTGAAAACAGACAGTAGGGGTCAGGATTTCATGTCATTAAAACTACAGAATGCAGAGAGCCTGTTTGAACTTTGATTTATAGAAGTGTGAACTCATTTTTCAGGTTGATGCATACATAACAAATATATTAGCATGGTAGCTGTGTATATATATATTACATATATTACACAGTGGATTTAAATGGAATCAAGGATATTTTAGGCTTCAGTCTACAATTAAAATAGTGCATGCTCCAAATGTGAGCATATATCGCATTGGATTGTTAGTCCTTAGGAATGCCAAAACTAACCATGGACAAAAATCCCAGATTCTTTTCAGATTTTTTGTCCTGGGTTTGTAATTTGTAGTGTAACCAGATCTAGTGAGAGTAGCAGCAGGGGCCATACTTGAGGACTGCCTAGAATTTTGCTATTATTTTTGCTGTATTGTTTGTTGTCCTATGAAGCTGTGCATCTAATAGAAGACAACAAAGGAAGTGCGCCACGCTCAGAGGATTGTTAGCTAATGTCTGTTGATCCCAGCTTAGCCAGTTTTACCTGTTCCGCTCACTCAGGCTTTCTGAAACTGCCATTGGCCTGTGCACCTAAAAAATAGCCAACTTTTAACAAAAAAATAGCCAACTTTGAACAATGGTCATTTTTTAGCCATTGTTTTTAATTTGTGTGCTCCTGTGTTTGGTTTCTGTTGTGTAGGGAACTTATTTAAAATACATAACTGAAACTGAAAGTTTAATCTTTTAAGTTGGGACACTTTAAGTTAATAGAGTCATTTTTAACACAATAGATATCACAATGAATATTTTCCAGTTGTTTACTGATATTCTTACAAGTATTGTTTTGTATCGGAAGGTTTACAGAAAAATAAATTTAGATATGCAAGATGGTGTCTACATAAATATGCCTACATTTGCATATTTAAAAAAAATCTAGCTTTTGGATGCTGATTAGATTTATGAAATTATGAAATGAAATAGTATGTTTATTTCATTGTGAATGCACGCTCCAGAGGAAAACTATACACTATTATTATAAAATGTTTTTTAGATGACTTATTAATAGTATATAATTTGTTTTTAATCCAGTTATGAACAATATACTAGGAAATCCTTCTGTATTTTTCTTCAGAATAGGTTTTTAGAAGCTGATATTTGGTTCTGGATGTAAAGAAAAGCTTATTCTTAGATAAAAACATTATAAGATTGGCCCTCATGACCCATAAATCAGTCATAAATGGTCCTAAATCAGGCCCTGAACTGCATTACTCAGTGATATATCAGAAAACATGAACCAGTTGTTTGAATGGTGTTATTACTAAAGAAATATATATGTGCATGTTCTAGGTAAATTCATCAGGAAATAAGCTTTTCAGTGATATGACATAAGTGTGGGTGGACCTAAACATTCATTAAAGTTGCTTACCTTTGCAAAATACAGTTGGACACTAATTGACAAAAGATGCTGAAATAAAATGTATTTATGTTGAGGACTGTCATTTCTGCCAGTTGAGTTTTGCCTTAAGTAGGTTTTGGTTTGTAACAATCCTGTCCCATTTTCAAAAAAGTGATTTCTTGGACCCAATGACCTGTTCCTATTGTGACATTATTAAAACAATACAAATAAAATCTGAAACAAATAAAAAAATACAACAATCTGATACCAGCACTCTTGTTCTTTTACTTCTTTAATTTAAAGTCTATATATCTCACTCTGAGGAATTGGGGTCATTCTTTGTGCAAGGTAACAAAAGGCTGTAACCACATTCCACTTCAAAAGAGTATGTGAAAACATAAGAGAGGAAAAGAAAACACACAAAACAATGAAATAAGTACATAATAATTTAATATGTTAAATTAAAAATAGGCCACTTTATAATACATTGTTACAATTTTATGTGACTCTTTAAAAAAAAAAACAGTGTAAAGTATGGATTAATTATGTCTGGCTGATACCTTGTTCTTTAGCATCAGCGCTTGTATAGACCAGTGTATGGAGTTGGCGCATCACTATTCTTCATGAGACAAAACTTTTGCACATTCAAAAACAGCTTTTACTTTTTGGGGGACTGTGAAAGGAGCAGTATTTGTTATCGGATGACATTCACCAATGAGAGCATGTGTTTTAACCAGGGTGTAAACACAATGGGTACATGCTTCCCTGTGTGGGTAAGCAACAACAATGGGGTGCCTTTCCTCTATATCCTGCAGCAGTTGCTTGGGATCATTGGAAAGGCATGAGGCTAGCACTGTATGCTGTATTGTCACATTCTTCCAGATGCTCTTGTTTTCTGTGGTTTGGCTGCTGGGCTCCAGCCCTGTTTGCTGAAAGACTTTGAACAAAGTGAGGCAAACCCAAAATCTCACTCAAGAGCTTGTGCTCTACTGGTGGGCTGGCCATTTTAAGATAGGGACTTGAAGTCTGGAACGTTCCTCTAATTGCACATCTTACCTTCTCACTCAGTGGCTGTTGCTTCCTGTGTTTGTTCTCTCCATTCAGGCAGTCACTAAGAAGAAGTTTGGGAGCAGCAACTTCCGGAGTTCTCTGGAGAATGGAGTTCTTTTGTGTGAGTAAGTAATTCTATTTTTATTAGTGCAATCCTGTGGAAATGGTAGCTTTGAATTGTTTTTCTTTGTTTTAGCTATTTTCTTTTCAAAGTTTCAGCTATTCGAAAAGCAGTGGAGGGTTTGTTGGTTTGGTCCACTGTTGTTAACCACATAGAGACCATTCCCTCTGTTTTAACAACTGGTAAATAAGTCTGTTATCATGCAGTATATTGCATGCTTCAGCAATAATTATAAAGAGAAAAGATTATTTTAGTACAATGCATGGAAAGGATGGTGCAGTAAGTAATTTCCCCTACAGTACGTTTAACATACGTTATTCCACTCAGTCAAAGGCGGCAGTTTTTTCTCTTTAAATTGGCATTTAAATTAGGAATTCCTGAAATTGCTGTAGAACCTCTTGCTTTCATAGTATGATAAACATGCATGCTTTAGTGGGTGTGGTGTTTTAGTTTTGGTAGCGGTGGTGGTGGTGTTGTTTCAATGGCTTTTCTCCTGTTGTACCAAACACTGTCCTACCCCTTCCAGTAATTCTTGACTGCGACTTGAAAAGCGTCATGTTTTTTCTCCTAGCGTTTAGGCATACATTAGAACAAAGCTTAAGCAAAAATCCATGCCAGCAAATAAAAAATAAGACAGGGGACAGTGTTTAATGGACAGCTGTGATTATAAGTGTTATACAGAGACATGCTGTAAGTGTGGAAGATGAAGCTGGGTGAGTCTGTGTGTAGGGGGGCAGGGTTACTCAGTGGTAGTGCAAGCTCAGGGCTTTTAGCTCCATTTATGAACCTGACTGGATGGTTCTGAGCTGACGCGTGGGCAGCAGTACCTCTGGATCGACACACTGGTGTCAGATGAGTGACTCAGCAGCCTAATGATGAGCTCCGTCCATTACAGAGTCTCACTGCACCCTTTTTTGAACCCTGTGCTGCACAAAGCCTGCTGCTTAATTATAGTCTGCACTGAGCCAGTAACTCTGCTGTTTCCATACTACAGAATAACAGAATGGGTGTACTGCATGAAGGCACTACCATTCTGGATCTAACATTAACCACTTTTATCCATATAAAAGTACAAAATGGAAAAGAACAGTACAAAAAATCACATAACCTTTCATTAATTTAATCTGTAGTCAGAACGGCAAATTATTAATTCTTTAGTGTCAGGAAGAAAAGCAGCAAACATATATTTAACAGGAAGTTATATGGAAGCCTTAATAACTAAATATAATATCTTATTTTTAGTATTTAGTATGCCCACACTTCGCCTTTATTACAGTGGCCATTCTTTTCAGAAGGCTTGCTTTTAGTTTTTTATAGAAATATGCAGGGATTTCTTTCTACACCACCAAAGTTCAGTCTCAGAAGCTGGTTTAGCATTTTCTGCTTCTCATCTCAAGTAATCCCAAAAACATTCAGTGATGTTGTGGTCTAGACTATAGGCTGGACAGTCCAGTTGTTCTGAGAACAGCAGCAGCTACTTTGTTTAATTTGCAAATGTTCTTTTTTTTCAGTTACAGCTTCTTGACAACTATACATCCTTTTAGACTTACAGTGCTGAGTTATCTTCTCACACTGGAAGGATGAACCGAAACACACAATGGATTTTTTTCAGATAGCAAGAGTGGAGCTTGATTTTCTCCTCTTTCTCAAAGATGAAAACTTTAAGTACTGTTTGTCTGATGCTGACCGTTTTGGTTGTCTATCAAGTTGAATCAGGTGATTTGAGGAAAGAATTAGATAAAACTATGCAGGGCAGGAGGTCCCCAGGTGCAGGATTACAAAACACTCATATGAATATTGCTTGTCATCCAATATACAGTTTACATTTTCCAACAAATATGGCTTGTACCTATTTCCCCCACAAGACTAGCCATGTTGGAAGCAAGCTCTTCTTGGCTACAGCGTGTTTCAACAGAAGCTCGCCTCTTTCCTTTCAGATCACATGATGACTTTGTAAACCAAAGACGTGTTAAGCATTAAAAGTCATAAACAGTTTGCACATGCACCTTACTGCTGTTTGTGTTCACAAGGAGATTCACTATGTTCATTCTTTTTCTCCCTTCAGTCTAGTTAACAAGATCAAGCCTGGCATTATCAAGAGAGTTAACAGGCTTTCCACACCTATTGCTGGCCTTGTAAGTTCCTGTTTTTTTATTGTGTTTTAAATATGGAATGCATTGTATGTCTCTCCAAGCACGCCCTGTTTCATCCAGTGAGGTATAACCAAATAGTTTTGAACCACCTGCAACAACTTACTGGACAAAAATGCGGAAATATTATGTACCTCCCTTGGTGTGAACAGCAGAATTATCTAATTTGATAACTGAATTCTGGCCTCCCCAAACATGACTCAGTAGCCATAAGCAAAAAACCTCCTTAATATATTTTAGAAAGGGGAGCTTACACAGTTTGTCTGCCTCTTAGTAAGAGACATAGCTGGTGTGCAGAATTGCAAGGTGGTGCAGAGAATGAGGAACAACATAGTTATCTGTTGCTGCTGCTGTCATTTCAGTTACACACTTTATACTCACATTTTACATAAATGTAATCCAGCCGCTTGAGTCAAGCTCTGCATGTACTGAGACTTCTTGGCCTTAACTGCAGCAAAGCATGCAAGCTCATTTAGTGCCCATTACCCTTTAAAACAGCGGGATATTTACCAAGGTAAATCTGGATAAGCATCTCCATGTCCAACAAGTATTACAGTGGTATTTCCGTGTGATGGTTCCAAACTTGAAATTTACTGAGTATAAACTTTCAGCTGAGGATTAAAATGGCAGTGTCCTTGCAAAGGCATGCTAAAGAAAACATTTCAAAACATTCCCAATTTGGTAGATATTTTTGCTGTAGTAAAGTTGCTGTTGAATGGCTTTGTGTTGAGTGCTGTACTAAAACAGAAACATGCATCAAGTACACAGTGACATCTATACAGCTTTATTTATGAACGGTAAAGTCTATTTTTTCCTGAAACCATATGAGCACCATTATAGTCATGTCTGTTTACCACTGTTGTACACTATTTCATTCAAATATGAAGGCTTTAAATCTGGTATAACCAAGGCTCATTAGGGCAGGAGTGGAATTCTGTGGTTTAGTGGACTATTTACTGACTTTGGCTTGGGGTTCCTTCACTCTATCCACTGTTTAGTTTCAGTTTGTCCATGGATCAGTTTTCCATAGAGTGCTCCATGTTCCATCAAACCTCAGAGTTGTGGTTTTCCTCTCTGTCCCACTGGATAGCTGATCCTCTTTTTAACAATCTGGAGAGGAAACCTACACTTGTGTGGTGTGCTGCTTGGCCACATTAGAAAATTTTGTCTTTGCATTGAGGTTGAGCTGAGGGATGACTGCCGGGGCTTGGAGCTCTGTAAACAAGCTATAATTGAGCTGGGTGGCTATATCTGAACCAGGCCTTGCAACAAGGAATAGGGAATTGGCAAAAAGGATTATTTTATTAGACTTTTTCCATAGACCACCAAACTTCTTTATTCCAAAATAAAACAAAATTGACAGACAGACACAGATAGATAGATAAGCTGTACACTGTATACCTTATAGGGGAATTGTTCTGATTCAGCGTAATTTAATTGTCGACATTTAAACATCATAACATCATTGTAGAGAAATTTACTGGCTCAGTTTCTTTACAGTGGTGATTTTTTTTTCTGCAATGCTAATGATGGTAAAATAAATAAATAATAAATAAATTATATATATATATCAAACTGTTATAAAACAATGTCTCAACAATGTAACTGTTTTGTATAATAACTTTCTATGATTGAGCTTCTAGAGGCATTAAACGCTTCAGACGTTTAGTTCTTGTCACCACAACTATGAACAGTTCCGACTTGGTAAATTTCTCTAGAATGCCGAATTACACATCAAACCACTCTGAATCACTTTGTTTACATCTTTATGATTTTATTGTGCAGAAAATTTGAAAAATCACACAAAATCAACCCCATGCGACTGTTCTGTCATTCAATCTTAAGCAGGCTGAAATTATATACATTTGGCTTAACTAGATGGCTGCTGAATAATTACTTTCAAGTGGTTGACATTCCTGGGGGGAGTCTTGATAGTTTTGTGGGGGATTATAATTATTGGATGGGCTCAGCATTTTTGACAGGATTATGTGCACCGGCTACAAAGTCAGTGAGATACTTTCAGTATCATTATCTCTGCATGATTTGGGGCTGAGTATTAATTGTGAACATGGCAAAACCAGTCTTGGCTTCAGATGTTAGGCCTGCTGGAGTTTGTTAAAAAGGATCACTCTGTGTGTTAAACGAGGCATTCATCTATGCAGATTTTTAACAAATGCCTCATCTCTACTAATTAAACCATTCCATTTTTATTTGCTCGTCCAGTTTGGGAGTGGCATGATGGAGTGTGACTAAAAAAATCCTAGTAAGAAACTGATGAATACATAAATGGTTTTAGCGTAATCTTGTTAGCAATGACTAAAGAGTGTTACTGTGCTTATTAGAGAACAGAGGAATGCATAAAACATGCATGGTTCAGCTAATACGGTAGTATTATTGCATTTGTACACTCATGCCTTTAGACAGTATGCAGTCAGTTACTTGCTCTGCAAGCAGGTGACAACAAATAGTGTTAAAGTATGAACTTCCTTGGATATTTTTGTTTGTTTAAAGCTATCAACACTAATTAGAATAAAGTATCTGAGGAATGGAGCATAATGGTTTACTGTAAACACTGTTGATACTAGGTCTTTATGTCCTGCTCGCAGAATATAACTCTTTCCCTTCAACCTTCGTGAAGGACCATGACCCTTGCCCACCGTGGCAGGGCAGGACCTTTGACAAAGAGTAACAGATGGAAGATTTACATTACTTTATAAGCAAGTAGAGTCTGATTCGAGAAGTTAACTCTGCGTTGCCATCTGCTAATAAGCATGTTGATGCATAAATATAGACCAAAGCACCCCATGATTATTTCAGACCACGTTAAAACCATACACACAGGCAGGGAAGAGTTGGTTTGCACAGGTTTAATGTGATATACAGATGGTCAAAACAAACTAAAAAGAGATTTAACATGCTTTCTGTGTTAAAGTGCGCATGTAGCTTAATGCGCTATAAAAATGCATTAAGTGTAATTAAGTGTACCTAATGTGTGCATGCAACTGAAACAGAAATTTCTTTAATGCATGGAACCCCTCCGCTCCTTTAGAACAATTGCTTGAGGGGGGAAATAGTTTGAAGTTTCAGTCATCTGTCCTCCGTGTCATAGCAACCACGTCTCCAAAATAATCCACCCCTGCTGTTGCCGCAGGTATGCTACAGCGAGTGACAGTTTCTGGGTGTGAGAAGGGAGAGTACACTTGAGTTTGCGTGTGTATGAGAGGGGGCAGGGCGGGTGACGGAGGCTGTGTGATTGCTTTGCATGTCTGGGGGAGGGGACTTGCTGCTTATGCTTAGCTCTGCCTCAGTGGCAAACTTGTTTTGTCACAGGTAGAGGGACAGATCAGTCACAGAAGCCCTGCCTTCTTGGTATAGTGTCACTTTATTTGCCACCTGAAGCACTTCCTCTCCACCCCCCTGAGCTCACAGGAGGTCTGAACTTTGGTTGCAATGATTTCTGGACTGTGTGCCCAAAGAATTCTTGTGTGATTACAGTCTGACTCAGAAGCTGGGTACATATTCTCTGTCGACAGGACAACGTCAACATCTTCCTGAAGGCTTGTGCCAGGCTAGGACTTAAAGAAGCCCAACTCTTCCATCCAGGAGACCTGCAGGACCTATCCACACGTGTAACTGTTAAGTAAGTTTTGATTTCCTTGAAATATTGTTCTGTTAAGTGTATCTAATGAGTTTGACCCTCTGCCAAGGTTAAAAAAATGCTGTCACTGTGTAGAAGAGTACTTGAGTACTGTTTATGGTTCAAGGTATGTTGTTTTTGACAGATAGTCCGTGCTGCCCACATGCCTGTGTAAAATGATCCGGTGTTACTGACCCTTGGTTTAAATTTAACTGAACCCATTATCAAATCTACGACCCCACAGCGGGAGTCCTTGTGTGGAACAGATCAGTTTTGAAAGCTTGAGTAGGAGGTGTTGCAGTGTTTGTCACTTGAGCTTTTTAAATCCATCCCTAATTGTGTAATAAACCTCATTTTGTTTGAAAAGGAAAACGATCATTAAATGAAGCAGAAATGAGGTTTCTTACACTGGCCATGAAGCTCTAATAAAACTGCAGCAGTTAGATTGAGAGGTCAAAACTCTGCACTGTTACTGACTACACTTTAGAGAGATGCCGATGAATTTAAAGACTGCCTCAAATATCAGATAGTTCTGCATGTGCGCATTACTTCACGCTACTCTAGCTTCAGTGTTTTTGATTTGCTCCTCACCCGAGACTGGGGTGAAACGGACACGGCATGTTGAACAACCTGTTCAGTTTTTTCACAGGTGTGTCTTTGGGAGGCTGTGGTTTTGAGCTTCGCCAGTCTCGCTCTGACATGTTCACTGTAACAACAAATCAAAAGCAGAGCAAGCACTATCAGCAGTTTGAAGAATGCGACCGATTATCTTTTGTTCACATTTTTTAAATTAGTCTGTCTTTCATGATATGATGTGTTCTGGTCAAGTTTTGTTGAGCCCTGGCACGCAACCACCGGTATCAGTCTTAGCAGTGTTACATGTCTGAAACATTCCTGTATCACCAACAGGTTGCATTGCTACTGTGTTATGAATTTGCAGCTATAATAATATATCAAAATGGTCAGTGTAAATATATTTAATTTTATCATGATAAATTGCATCACGGGATACCACAATATGCTTTTCTGAACATATTGTGAATATTTAAAATACTCAAACACTGAACAACTGAATGTTTCATTACAAATAAAGCATAATTAGATCTGTTTAATTGAATTTGATTCAGCACAGTGCCCTTTGAACCCTTGCAAGGAAAAACCTAAAGCATAGTTTAGCTTTTTAATGTGAAAAGTTCAAAATAAAATTGAAAACAAACAAACCAAAAAACATTTTGTCGTTCTTCAGTTTTTGACATAATATGAAAATGTCTGTTGCCCTGTACATTGTGTGTAAATCACATTTTATGTTAAAAGTAAAGTATGTTTTTTCCTTCTCCTGTAAAGTTTTATATATATATATATATAGTTTATCCATATAAACTATGTATATGACAGTTTATATGGATATTTATTTACAGGTTTGACTGAGTAGCAGGCATAATAGCATTTTGCTTTTTGGATCAACAAATTCATTTATTTTTTCGTTGTGTCTTCATCTCTTCAACATAAGTGAGAGTGCGATCACAACTGTGAGCTGAGGTTTAACACAGCCAGCTTTACTGCATGACTGTAACCATGCCACACCCTCCTTGCCCTAGCAACCTTACTGATCAGCCAGAGTTTGCTCCCTGTGGTGTGTGTGAGTGAGTGTGTGCGCATGCGTGGGTGGTCTGTCCACTGTCAGGCATTCATCAGTGCACACAGTATATTCTAAATTTAGAATGTAAAGGTCAGTTTTTTGATAGTGGATGGGGTGGGATTGAGACTTGATTACTGGGAGGTTTTTTATAGCTAGTCTTTTTTTTTTTACATGAGCACTTCCAAGAGCTTGCTTTTGTTTACACCTAGTTGACAACTTATTAATTGTGCTTTGGACTGAATATTTTAGAAACTGGAAGCTTGGAAAAGACCATGTACGTGGTTATTAGGGATGCTTTTAAGTGTGCTGCTGCTGTTTGGATGATACACCTTTAAACAACCACATAAAATGATTGGATTATGTTGAAGATTTACATGCATAATGTATTCAGAAACTGTTTGAATAGGTGCTTTTATGTACATGACAAATCCACATTGACAGTGTGCTTTGCACTTTTGACTTTGGCTAGAGCACACAAAAGTAATTTCTGTAATACTCCAGTTCTCAGTCAGTCAGTGAAATGAGAGTTTTACAGGCCTTTTTGTTGCTTCATGTGTAGTGACTGCTGTCACACAGAAGACAACGTGAAGAGCTGTTAAGTGGTCTGAGATAAGCAATGACTCATTCATTATTACTCATCAGACCATGAAAAGTAAGTGTCTCATGGAGACCAGTAGCTCCTAAGCTTCAGCTTATTGGGTTCTCCTCAGCAGAGTCCTACAGATGTTCAGCTTGATATTTGTTTTATATCAGTTCTGTAAAATGGGTGACAGCATGCTGGGCGTGAACTCAAGCAAACTTGTTAGACGTAAATAAGAAAAGAGCTGAAAATGTGCATTTGTGCTGTTAGTGAACTGTTTCATATGTAGGATGTAGGGTAAAATGCTTTAAAGACTGACTAATGGACAAAATATATATTTATTAGTTCTGTTTATTGGTTCTCTTTAGTTTATTAGTACTTTTCTTTCACCTGTTTGGCTGAATAAACTAAGAATCTTTTTTGCGATTATTCACCCTCAGTACCTTATGGATGTTGTTGTTGTTGTTGTTGTTGTTGTTGTTGTAGCTGATAATCATGAACAAAAGGAGTCTTTTATGTTCAGGATGCATTGATAGTGGTGTCTTCTCACATGGTAAATCTAGTTTTTGTTTTAACACTGAGAAATTGACATTACCTGGACTATGGACTGCACATATCTTGATGGAATGTCTGATCACAGTCATACTAAATCATAGTTCAGAGACTTAATTGTTGGTTGTCATAGCAATGGTGCATAAGTAAGCAGTCCTATGTGAACTTTGCGCTTGGCTCACTGCTGTAGTATTGCAGTCGCTGCCCACTGTGCATATTGTCTCGTTACCTGACGTTGCGTAATATTGATAAAGAATGTTCTCGCATGCTTCATTCTAATAAAAATATCTTGCGCAATAAGTCAGACAGTTAAATATTTCATCCAGTGAGTCAGGATGAAACTCTTGAATATTGCTCACTTTTTCCGCATACTTTTCCATTTAATCTTTCTTCATGTTCATGGCTCTGCAGTTTGTTTTAAAAGCTTTGTCAAAATCAGTAACAAAAGTAATTATACATGAAAGCCAAGTAGATATAGGCTTTCTGTATATAAGAAATACGTTGTATCATATATGCTAATTGAAATTTACTGTCATTCTTACTGCATCACTTTATGCAACCCTACAATCCAAAGTGTGCCCTATTACCCAGAGTTATGAAGGATCAATGGATTTCAGGATTACAGCAGGACGTTGCAGCTCCATTGTACTGATCTACAGCAGTAACCTCTTATAATTCAGGATTGTTCAATAGAGAAACCATAGTCACCACGTACTTTAGAACAACCCATTCTCCGTTGTATCTCCTTGAGTCAAGTCGATTGCATGAAGCTCCATCATGTGCAGTACCTGTGTGATGAAGTGGCAGTTTTTGTCATGAGATCAGTTGTTGCCTATTATTAAAAATGACTATTTTTTGTTTACTTGTCACATGTACTAATTTAGGGTATATGTAATTTAAAAAAGTAAGATTATTTTAAAAAGTTCTACTTTAGTTTTTAGTTTTGTTCTGAAAGTTGGAAAAGTACAGTACTTAAGGGTTACATCACTGCTTCACACCTACAGTTAGTTTTCAGCAATGGTTTAACAGCACAGACTCACAATGCAGTTAGCCACAGGTTCACCACTTGAAGCTTTTACTTCACTTGAAGTTAGTGTTTGTCTAAGTTTCATGGTTTGTCTGCGCTAGGTTTGAACTTTACATTCATTTCATTTTCAGATTATTTTAAGTGAGTTCTGTTGCTTCAGAGGCATTTAAAGTATTGAAAATGCGGGCTAGATCTAAAACAAAGGACAGTTGCCACCATGAATGCTCTGTTTGCTCTTTGGGTGTGTGGTGCTGGATGGCAGTCACTATCACAAGCACTGATGTAATTGTCTGCCACACAATTGTGAAAGGCACGATTATGGTGAACAGCATATCAGTAAACTCTCTTCTGTGCGAATGGGCCGTACCATAAACAGAGACACAAGGGTGGTGTTTGTGCTTCTGAACTGAAGTGCCAGTCTCAGTTTACTTATGAATAGTAGCAGTGAAGAAGCTGAGAGGAATATCTCTTTGGGATAAATGAGTCACTTCACAGCTGATTTTCCCTTTAAAACCTGTCTTTCATATCAGGCCAAGCTATGAGCTGTGAGGTGAGTTTGGTTCACATTTAGTTAAAAATGATTTATGCTGGGGACAAATGCCTTGATCAGCATTTGTTTGTGCTAATCAGGGAACATTCTTTAGCAGCTGAATGTTACTGAGCTGAGCTGGGAGGTCTTAATTGCTCAGGTATGCATGTTCATACACACCCTCTCATGTTCAGCGTTTATGAATAAATGACTACATAGAAATTTATTCTAGATGGAGGTGTGGACGTTTCACACACAGTCCTTCCCATCTATTGTCAGGATGTCATTGATGCATTGTCTAAAAGGGCTTGGTGAGGTTTGGTTGGTCTTTATATAGAGCACTGACATTATATAGATACTGAGAATGGGTGTTACACTTGAAATACAGACAACGCAGAAAGTATTGTGCAATGGGAAGCATTAGTATGGAATGTATTTTCTATTCTGCGCAAGTAGATGGTCTGTTTCACCTGTAGAGTGTACTCTTCAACATAAAGGCACTAAATGGGTTCTTTGGAGCAATCCCATAGAAGAACCACATGGCTCCCTAAAAAACAAGACTAAGTAAAATGAAACACGCAGTTATACAGTTTTTAATAATATTAGCAAGCTTTCACCACTGGATTAAAGTCTATTAATGGTTTATACCACTGTATTCACCAGTGCAGATTCTGTTGGCATCTTAAGGGGTAGAGAGCTTTGACTTTTTTTTTTTTTGACTATTTAGCAATGCTGCTTGGGTGGTTTTCCCAGTTGATTCTCACATGCCCGTGGAAGCATGTAACAGTTCAGCTGTGGGTAGGCTGTCTTTGGCCCAGCACAGGTTATGAGAAAGTAACGGTGTAAATACAAGGTGTTCTGTGTCACAGACATACCTTTTCACCATGAAAATGGAACACAACTGAGTGCACTTCATCAACGCTTTGACATGTGCTTCTCATTTATCAAATGTATATCATTACTGTCACGCAAAAACCTTGTATCACCATTTTTGTTATTTTTACTCAGCTTCAAAACTCCATTTGCCTTTTGCATTGTGTGAATATTTCATGATGAATAGACTAATAGAAATGAGGCGAAATTACTTAGAATAAAATCTTGTTACATTAACTTTCATTACAAGTTAAGAATGTTTTTCTTTTCCTGTACAGTTATCGTTTTGGAGATACAAATTTTCGTTCCGACAGTGGTGATATGATCATGTTTGTTCCCATTGTGAGCGTACGTGACTTTTTCAAAGTTTACTGTTGTAAACTTTTATGTCTATGAAGTCATAAAAGGAAGTGTTAATGTTTTTGTGGGGGTTCAAGTCAGTATATTTCACCCTAATATACATATAAATAAATCAAAAACTAGCAAGCAGTGTATATAATAGTAGCCCTGCTACTGTGTGTATATATAATAACATGCACCCAGACCACTGTGTGCGTATATATAATAAAATAGCCGATGTATTTCTTTAAAAAAACATTTGGAACAGGCACTCCATTTGCATTCACATTTGCCTTTGTTCTGACCAAACATCTGAAGTAGATGTAGAAACAAGGATAGGTTTAGACTGTACAACTAAAGCAAGCTCTGTTTCAGGCACCTAAGAAATCTGCTATTAAGAAAGTGTCTAAGGATGGTCGTGTTTTGCAAAAAAGTACCATATTAGTGTTTTTTAGTATGTTTAACTAATAAAATCTGTTTGTAAAACCTGGCAAACATTACTTCTGACTTTCCCTAGGTTTCCTTTACAAGAGAAGAGAATCTTCTTCATGATCTTGGTTGGCAGGACATATGAAAGCATTGCAGCTCAATAGTTAATAAGTAGGTACTAGTGCAAGTGAATTATGAATAACCTCTATACCAGCTTTGGCTGTTAAATCCAGAAGGTTTTTAGAGAGGAAGGATACTTGTCTGTCTGTACCTGTGCCTTACTTGTGCCTTGTAATAGACATGGTTTTGACATATGGTAGAATACACATATGTACCTGTGTGTCTAGCCTTACTTATCACTGTTTCATAAGCAGTACCAACGATACCAGTTTTATCAGATCACATCTGAAATGTAAACATGAAGTAGAAGACTGTTATTGTCACGGTTTGTTGTTTCAGTTAGAGCTGTATGGTTGACCCAAATCATTCTTTGTCGAATACTGTCAAAGTCTGAAATACTGTGAAAAAATCTCTACTGAATTTGACTGGGATTTTAAAATAAATACTTTAAAAAGTTACTGTGTGGCTATGAAACAGCAGAACACTGGGCCTAATTCCCCAATTGTTTTTAAGGAGAAATTTCTTAAAACCCACTTGTGCAGTTTTCATGAAGATTCTGACTTCTATCAGTGTTTACTTATTTGGGATTTGTTTATAGGTAAGAACAGAATCTACACACACCCAAGAGCACAAAGGCGCAAACAATTCTGTAGTTTAAAAACACGTCATTAATCTGATACAGACTTTTTCTTAGGGCCTTTCTCAAGAATATAAAAAAAAAAACCTTAGGAAGACATTGGTGAATTAGGCCCATAGATTCTTGTCTTTTCATATCTCTCTTTCACATGAGCAAACAGCTGATCATGTGGAGCCACAGACTAGCCCCTAGGATCTGTGAGCAGAAAGCTCTCCATTATCCTGCACTCACTGCCCTGAGGAATTCTTTGGCTTTTGTAGAACTCTTAAATTAGCATTAGGTAATCAGTGCCGATGTAGTTTGTTCCTGAAATTCCCACTCCAGTGCCACCATAAATGTGGACTTTGTTCTGACCTGAGAGGATTTTTTTTCCGCTTTCGCCACTTTTATTGGAGCAATAAATCTGTATGATCTGGTTGGGTGAACACCATTGTTGAATTCACTTCAGTGCACCTGTTGTACTGGTTCACTTACTTGTGAAAAGCCACAGGCTACTGAACGCCATCATCATTCTCCGTTCTCTGACTGATGTCAATGCTGAACTTCTGTCGTTAGGTGTCTTGAGAGATTTCACTCTGTTATTGTCAGTGGTTGAATTGGAAAAAAATCTTGGGTTGGGGTGGGTTATGAACTGTTGGTATACTTTGTTTATTTTTTTTTTACTTTTCAGATGTCTAATCATATATTGTGAATAGATTGCCTGGACTGCAATAATAACAAGATAATTAGTGTCATCAGTTCTAGCTGACTATGAATATCAGCTGCTCGTGACAATCTTACAAATAGTTTTGTGTTGTTTTTTTCCATGGACTTTGGCATGAAAAGGCATCTTGGTGTGTAAATCTCTAATATGGATGGAATCAGATCCATGTAAGTAGACATCTTAAGGAGTATACAATGAAATCAGATTCATGTTGGTATCAGCAGATAATGCTTTAAAGAAAGATTTGACTGATATATGATATTTGGTGTATTTTTTTTGCACTCTAGAAGAGCATTTGTAATCTTGTAGAAATACATGTTCTGTTTTCATAGACATTTTCTAAATGTTTATCTATTAGCATTGGTGAACATGCACATTAAAAATATCAGATATCAGCATTGGCCCAAAATTCCCATATCAGTGCACCCGTAGACATCTCGGGCGATGTCTGGACGGTTATCCAAGGGGCAGTCACACTTTTTACCCCCAGTGGCTTTTCATCCCCCTCAAATTCAGGCCTAGTTAAAATGTGCCGACATTTTCTCATTTCAAATTAGTTACCGTGAGAATGTTTCTGGTGTAGCATTGCCGATGTCTCCGTGATGCAGCTGTCAGGACACGAAGTTCACACACTTCCAGCAGGTGCTCCCAGCTGCATCACTATCATGACACCAAAGGGCCCGGGGCTGCAGGCATATACTACTTCTGTGTTACCAATGTCTTGAGGAATGTATGCTATAGAGATGAGTGCTCATATTTCATGCTGTCATGGTCTACCACACCAGTCTGTCTCTTTTATCCCAGTCATTTAGGCCCTTACATCAATTCTTCTGTTACGTTTGAAAAATCACCTTAAAAATGCATACTTGTTGATCTGTTCAGGTGAAAGATATTCTTCTGGGTGTCTGGCTTCTCTTTTGGAGGCCTGTGAGACTGCAGACATGAAAATCAGAATCAGTTGTTCATGTCTTCACTCACACAGGTTTCCTTAACAGAAACTGTAATTGTAGTAATTGTAGTCTTAACTAGAGCTCTGCCTTATTCTTATAAGTTCCATTCATCAGGAATGATGCTCAATAACTGTGCTATAAATGGAATTTAAGGGCCCTTAAGGGACATTCTTCTTTCACTTTTGTTTTCATACTGCTCACTGTAGACATCATTGTGATTGTAATTTCTCAGCTCAGCGTTTGGAGTAGAAGAGCAAAAGGTAATGAATCAGTACATTTCCAGTTTCTAGTTCTTGACATTAAAAACTTATATTCACTATTCTCAGTCAAGTGGTTGTTGGAAGTTGTTTTTGTGGGTACTGTTGTTATCCTTGTTGTTGTTGTTGTTGTTGCTGTTGCTGTTGTTGTTGTTTTTTGCTGTCATAGCCTGTGGATGTACCCTTGCGAGAGTGACTGTGCTCTGTGCTGTCCTGCACTGAGTGTATACCTTTTGTGCAGTGAGGGGAATCTGGCACCAGGGATTGTGCTCTCCCTTTCTAGCTCATTCACTGGGGATCACTGGGTCCCAAAACATGCCCACTATTCTTTTATTGTCCTTTTCCCAGGCTGAGAGTGATTAACCACACACACCTCTTCTCTCCTGCAGGCATCAGGAGGCTAGCAGGAGGCTCAAAAATGTAAGTGCTAATGCTGCTTTATTTCTGTTAATGTCAGATGTTCATGATTTGAACGTCTGGCTTATGCAGTGACATGCAGTGACAGATGCCATCGTAACATATACTTAGATTGTGTGGTTTGACAAATACTATGTGTGATTTTTATAGAGTGCTATGAAGATATTTAGAGTTGTTGTTGTTGTTGTTGTTGTTGTTGTTGTTGTTGTTGTTTAATATATAGTGTCAAAGCTCAACCTTAGTAATTACCAGGTAGTGTTTTGTGGTTTCCTCGTTGGCTAGTTGTGTATATTGGAGCTGTATATAATGAAAGGCTGCATACGCCTGCAGAGGGATCTGGATAAACCTAGAAATTAAGTCACTGATGTCCAGCCATCTGTATGTAGAGTAAATCTAAGATAGATGGCATTTAGATCCAGCTTCCTCTCACCCCTGACCACTACACTAACACTAATATGTAACTAGGGCTGGGCAATGTGACAATATTGTGATAAATTATGTCTGAATATGCTTTTTTTTAACAAATGCATATTTGATTAAAGTGAGCATAATTAGTCCTGTTTTATTAGATTTAGTGCAGTGCAGTATGTGAAATGCTGAACACAAATCATTGAATTTATAGTTTTTATAGTATTTTTGTTTCAATATGGCACTACTTATGTCTTTTGATAATTGATCACATCAGAAAAAATAAATATTGCAACACATCATGTATCCTGAAAAATTCCTTAAGTATTGTGGTAGTACATTTTTGCCTAGCTCTATAAGTGACTTTCATTATGTACCCCAGGTTCTGATAACGATATACTGGCTGGGCAGAAAGGCACACATTGATCCTTTGTATAATGGACCTTACCTAAACCTGAAGGCTTTTGAGGGATTACTAGGCACAAGACTATATAAGGTAAAATATGACATACATATTGTTTGTCTCGTGAAAACATTATGGCACTTTCAGCCTTATAAACTACAAACTAGCTGTTGCTTTAAATTCTCTTTTATGCTCAAAAGCCACTGCATTTCTACTGTGGTATTTCAAACAAATGCTTCTAAGAATGGAACCAAGTGGTTACACAGCAGGGCTGAAGGCGAATCTTAAAGCACACAGTAAGTCATAACACGGTGGTCAGAGTGAATAGCAGATCTTTTTTTTCCTTTTCTTTATGCCATGTCTGTCACAATGAGCACAATACAGCCATAACAAAACATGGCTGAAGACTTTTGTATACGTGTTCCACTTCATTGATATGACTCAGAAGGGAAAGAAACAGAGATTTTTAAAAGACGTCAGTGTCTTTAGACTGACTGAGACTATATTCTATGAGGCAGTATACTGAGAACTGGAGAAAGACTCTGCTCTTTAACCATTTATCCTGAAGGGCTGAGTCAAGTTTTTGTGCTTGTGTACTGTGTGTGTGTGCGCGTATGTGTTCAAGTCTTTCCCCTCGTGCTCGACAGGCACTAGAAGATTGCACGTCTCCACGGGACATTGTGAGAGAGTGCGAGTTTGGAGACAGCTGGTACTCAGAGAAAAAGGCGATTTTTCCACTGCAGGCCGGACACAGACGAGAGGACTCTCTGGACAGTTTAGACTCGCTTGGCTCCAGGACTACCAGTACATCCTCAGATACCACACTCAAAGGCAGCAGTGAGGGTAAGACACTGATCCATAAGCTACACCTTTTTATTTCTATAGCTCATGCTTTTTTTAGGATATTGTTTCCCGTTGATGCTTCCATTATGTAAAGGTGTTCTATGGTGAGCATGCCAGGGGAAGTTACATAATTGCTTTCCTAATATTTGTGGTTGATAACAGTAACAGCAAAAAGCACACTCAACACTAATTGTACTAAAAATCTATGCTGTATGAATGAAAAAGATGAATTACGCGTATCTAATGTTTTTGATGTCAGAAAGGCTAAAGAAACTTTACAGAGGATAAGGAGCATGTTTCTTTCTTTATTTAGTCAAAATGTGATCTATTTAGCAGCTTACTTTCAGTTTTCAAAATGCTTGGCACCCTCTAGTGGTATGTTTTGGCTGCTGTTTGTCTCTTAAACACACTGAAGGCCACAACACAATACTGTAGTTGTCCTGAATTTTTTTTCCACGTTCCTGTACTGTGAGTTGAGTGTGATATTCAACAGACACTCACAATGTTGATAGACATTCCAAATGCCCTTCTTTCAGATTCTGTTTTTCTCCTTGCTCATGTCACTGAGCTCATGAGAAAGCAGGGCTGTAATTAGGGCGATCTCTGAGCTCGCTAGGTGTTCACCTCAGTGAGACATTCTTTCATACTGCACAGCAGCTTGTAAATGAGCCTCCCACCATTCCCACTGTTATGCTATTTCTTGTTTACCACAGATAAGAGAGCGTGAGACAGAGAGTTCTTACCCTTGTCTTTCTCTGTTCTGTTCCAGGTTGTGGCAGTGACCCTGAAGCAGAGCTGGGCTTCAGAATGTCAGTAGACAAGGACTCAGTCAGCTATCGCCGTTCGCTCACTGTTACCCCTAAGACCACCACTCAGTTCAACCAGTTCCTGCCCTCCAAAGACAAGCAGTCGGGTTATGTACCAGCACCCCTGCGCAAGAGACGCGCCGAGCGCCATGACGACAACAGACGTAGCTGGGCCAGTCCCATGTTCACCGAGGAGGATGGAACCTTTTCTAGGTAATGCTAGTCTTTCTAGAGCTCATGTTGGTCTGGGATCAGTTTATGCCTTTTCCATAACCATGAATAGGGATACATGAATTTACAAGACCTGTGCCCATATTTATCAAACATCTGAGAGCAAGAATGCTGATCTGAGATTCGTTTATGTCTTTTGCACGGCACTGAATTAGGCAACATATGGACTGATGTGGCCTTATCCAAGATCAGTGGTCTTACTCTGAAGTGTTTGCTGAATATGGACCCGGAGTTCTAACAGTGAGCTAGCTTTCAAGCCTTTCTTGAGAGAGTAATACTGAAAGTTTTCCATGAGAGCACAGGTCATTGAAAGATGGCATGCTGGTCATTCAAAGGTGACAATGTAGTTGGTCGCGATGAATGTCTGAATTCTGGTGCTGTCTCACCCCTGTGTTGGTATTGTGTGCGTGTGACTCCTCCTGGACTCTGGCCACAGTGTTGACAGGTCAGGTACAGGCCCCTCCACCGCCAGTGAAGCAAACACCCAGAGTTCTGTACCAACCACCCGCGTCGCTTGGGTATACGAGTACGAGAGCAGCGATTCGGACGGCGACCGCCCGGACCCTGACCTGGTCCTGGATGACTTGGCTAGCCGTAGATTTCACAGCCCTTCTCCGGTCACACCCACCAACTTCGCCTTACCCATGAGCTCAGTGGAGTCCCCGGCTATGTCCCGAGCTTCATGGCCACAGGTCACTGTCACTAACGTCCCCCAACAGACGTTGACCTATCTCAGGTCAGACAATGCCCCGCGACCAGCACGCTTCTGTTTGCCATTGATGCCTAATAAGCTCTAACATCCGCTTCCTCTCTGTTTTGAGTTTGAATGTGGTTTACTTTTTTTCTTTGGTCCTGATTTTGGTCATATTTGTTTTGGATATCCACAAACAAGTTGCATCCTTTCCTGTACGAGTTTGGTTTGGTTTGGTTTGGTTTGGTTTTCTGCTTGATTTTTGCACTTGTGTTGGTTTGATGACGTGTGGTAAGAAATGTCTGTACAGTGACTCTTCCGCTTGGCTGTCCCTTGAGCAGCAGTGAGTCTGGGTCTCCTCAGAAGGCTGCTAGGAGGCCTGTGTCTGCGGACGTCTACATGTATGAGGACTCGGAGGAAGAGGATGATGAGATTGGTTATGCTGACCCCGTTCAAGATGACCTTTATGCACGTAAAGTGGGCCTGATGGCCCAGACCTCTGCTACTGTACGCTATGATAAATTTCTGCCCAAGTTTTGGACACCTGAGGAGGATGCACATGTGCAGAAGATCAAACTAGGATCTCAGCGTCGGCCTTGGTACAGAAAGATCCAGGGCTTCAGGTGTGTCTAGCCCTGCAGGGGTGACTACTAACCACCTGTTTCAATTTCGTATTTAATCTCATATGTACACTGCTGTTCCAAAGTTTGGAATCATTTGTCTAATTAATAATCATTTTTTTTATTGAGTCAATACTTAAACAGTGTTGTTTAAAATATTACTATTAATAGTATTTTTAGATGTTTTATTCAATATTTAACATTTTGTGGAACAAGTAGTTATTATTTGCTTTAATAATTATATATTTATATTGATTTATTTTCAAGTTATTTGCCTCAAACTTTGATCACCATTTTGCAAATACAAAGCATTCTGGATATTGATTTTATTATAACTTTATTCTCAATATTATACAGCTTTCTTCATTATTATAAATCATCCACAAGTGTGTTCATCACACTTATGGACACATTTAAAAATGGCTTTTACAGCTTCATACTACTTTATTGAAACCTATGAAGTTGTGAAGTCCTAACACCAAATTAGAGTATTTTTACAGATGTACACACTCTAAGCTTTTTAATGGTAGTGTACTGGACAGCTACACATCTGTACTATTTACATTATTACACAGTTAATATTTTATGGGTTCTTGGGTTTTCCTCTTTTTTATTTCAGTCTATGCCTGTGATTAATCTTGCATTCTTTAGTTTATTTACACTTCTTTTCTGCTTTCTCTTGGCTGATGGGTTCTTGTTTTTGTCTTTCCCTATCCTCTTTTTCTTCCTTCTTTCCGTCCCTTCACTCCCTGACCTCCCTGTGTCCAGCCGGAAGAAGTCTGGCTCATCCTCGGAGGACTCAGACTGTGATGTGAATCCCTGGCTGTGTGTGCGCTCTCCCTTTCGCTCACACTCTGAACCCCCTCCCTCTTACCCCCACACACCTGAAGCCTCGGCTCAGCCCCATCTCCCCACAGCCCCCAGGTCCAGATCACAGTCCCACATACAGTAGGACTGGCCTCACTATGGCTTCTGCTCACACAAATTAATGAATGCAATATACTGTGCTAATGTTAACTAACCTACATTATGAACACTGATCATCATTGCTCTTTACGGACAATTGATGTCTCAGTAAAAAACTGTACATGTATCCATCTGGAGTAATATGTAATACAGAAATGATTTTCACATACAACTGTCAACAATTTACAATACTTAAAGAGCCCATGTCACTTTTTTATATAGTATTTTAAATTAGGGTGTGAACATTTTTACCATTACCAAGTTTACCATTCACTTCCAAGTCCATACGGTCCATTTCTGGAAATTGAGCCGCAAAACAGCCCCTTTCTGAATTCATTTTTGTGAGGCATTCCCCAAGAGAGGGATGCAGATTAAATTATAGCTGTTTTTGGTACATAAACACACATAAAATGTCACTGTGGACCTTGTGGGCAAAAATAAACACAAAGAAAATATAGCTTATGGGCCCTCTAAAGTACTTCTGTTATTTTTGCACAACTGATTCAGATTTCAAAGCAAATCAAGTACAGCTGTCCCTGTAGCAGCTCTTTCCTGTAGCATTACATTTATGTGTGCTTTATTATGCATGTATTAGGTGCTATTGTACTCTCCTCCTTTTCACTTGCTTTCACCTCATGTACACTTGCATTTTATCCCTGTCAGCTTGCATGCTCTGAAACCTGCTCTTTCTTCCCTTCCGCTTGACCATAGCCCTCCCATGCAGCCACTCACAGCTGCTCAGCCAAGCGCCGGACCCCCCAGATTAGAGCTACCTGATTTCTGGCCCAGGCCAGACCCCACCTCAGGCCCGAGCCTCTTTAAGTGTGAGCGACACCCCCTCCGGGGACGTGAGAACCCCAAGGACCCCTATAACGTGTCTGAGGACATCCTACCTGATTTGGCAAACGATGACATGTTCACTCGCCGTACCTGTGCCTTCCGCTCCAGCACCGAGCTGGCCTGGCTAAAATATGGAGACTTCCTCACCTCACATCGCCGGTCAGAGCCGTACATCCGAGTGGTCATCCAGCCCCGTAGCGGCCAACCAATGTACCCAGACATCGAGAGAGACGATGTGCTGTACCGAAGGGTCCTGCTTCAGTCCACACAGCGCCCCCCTTCAGGAGCGCCTGATAACTACCACCCTGTGCCCCTTCCAGAGCCATGGACACTGCCTCCAAAGCTTCAGGCCAAGCTTCTGTGTGCCCCATGCCCTCCACCACAGGAGCAGCCAAAGCCATTGGAGATACAGAGCGAGGCGGACCACCTGAAAGCAGATGATATGCTAGTCAGAAAGCTGAGGATGGTGCACATCCAGGGCATGCAAAGTCAGAGTACTCCCAGCGTAACTTCATCCTGCAGCGAAGAGGACCTGCAGAAATGGCGGGCCATCAGAGAGGCCAGCCGTCTGAGATATAAGAAGAGGCTGATGGTGGAGAGGTTAGGCTTCTGAGTGTGCAGGCATGTCCCCAGTCCCTGTCTGTTTTCAGCCGCTGCCTCATGTGTAGCCTAGCAAGGTTTGTTCAAATACGCCATTGTTTGCAATAGCAGACATTATGAATTTGCTGAGTAGAAGGTTGTTCTCTACATTCAGTCTTTCAGACTAAATTACTGTTAAAAATTGCTCAGTAATATGATATGACAGGAATAACGAATAGGTCAGGAAACAGTATTAATTTATATATATTGCTAATATGGTTAAGGTATTTTCATATATACAAATATGTATTAAGAATGCATGAACTTGAGTTTGCAGTAACACCAAAAAAGTGTTTTCTTATTTTATTATTCTTGAGTTACCATGCAGTTTTTCTTTTGTTTTTTTCTTTTGAAAAAAGAAGGATTGAGATTGCCTGTATTTTGTTTGTTTGTCTAATAAATAAAAAACCTTGCTGAAAGCTTTTGTGATGAATGCATCTGTGCAAAATGAGACATGAAGTTCTGCTTACATTTTAGTCAGGCAGCTTGATGTTGCTTTAAATCATGAGCTTTACACAGACATGTGGAGGTGGGAGTGTAATGACCAAAGCTGTGGAGGAATGTGAAAACCTGAGTAATATCTATAAATAACACAGCCAGACACAGCCACCCTTTACGAGGCTGCCTGCGAGCCTCCCTGGCTAGAAATTCCCCATAGCCACCAGAGCCGGTGAAAGCTGGAAGTTAGGCTTTTGTGTCTATGGAAACACACTTCCAAAACACATTTGGCCTGTGATTGCCAAATAAAACAGTTCAACTAGTGGGGTGGCTGCACACCTGTAACAAATTTTGAAGAGTTATATCACCTTGACATGTGGGGAACTCCTGTTTCCAGTGACGTTAGTGTACCTCTCACTTTTCCAAAAATGAGTTACTGCTTGAAGTCAGTGTTCACACACTTCTGCAGCCACACTCCACGGGTTAGTAATGTGATTTGTGTTGTTGAACATATGTTCTCTCTGAAAGCAAAGTCAACATTAGGCATGAATCTGACAATGTTCTGGTTGCCTGGCAACAAACTGGGTTTTACTGACCAAGATTGATCTGCGCTCTAAATCTGAATGCTTTTGAGTGCATTTGGGTTAATTTCTGTGCTTCACTGATGGCCAGACATGTTTGGTCAGAATAACCAGAAGTATGACCTAGCTTGTGTGTGGTTTTCTTTGGTTCCCCAGACTGTTGCAAAAGGACTCGAATAGTGATGGGTGAGTAGACATCTGAAGCCAGGAATGTGGCACGTTTTGCTCAGCTGTGTTGTCGTGCCCTTCTGCCTTTGTGTTGTTCTGCTTTGCACCGACACTAAGCGCTGACACTCACATTGCTTTGGTCCCCATGGGCTGCAGGCCAGCTCTTTTCATCGCCACACAAAGTGGAATCACCAGATGCGTACAATGCTAGCTAATAAAACCAAACATTCGAGTTGCACTGAATTGAGGAGTTGTGCCTCAGTGATTCAGGAAACATCTATAGCTGGTAGACCCTGAAATTTCAGTTATACAGAGCTAGGGCATTGTCGCAGGTCTGTTCTTCAGGCTGAGGTGGATATGCATAATGTCAGTGTACTTTTTGAGCACTAATGCACTAACTTGTGTTTATCAAGCAAGAGCTGTTTTACTAACACTAAAGCATAATTCGCTTCATGAGTAAATGCATGTAAAAGGCTTTAAAATGGCTGTTTTTGTTTATTGCTTTTTTTCACATACATGTAAATGGGCTGAATATAATTAATGCTGTGATATTGTATTTTCATACAGTATGATACTGGATGAAATGCATTTCTTTCCATTATGAAATGTCATTGATGGATAATCTGATGTTGACTTGGTATGCGTGTGTTGGCAGGAGCAAGTCGATGAGTGATATTGCTGTTGAGCAGGCAGTAACAAAGCAGGTCCAGTATGAGCAGCTGCAGAAGGTCCGAGAGCAGATGAGGGAGAGTGAGGACAAGTGGCAGGATGTGAGTATGAGCCCTGGGTGCACTGCTGCAGGGGCTTTGCTTTATTATGCTGCTTTCTTCTGCAAACACTGTCATTCCCTCTTTTGTACTTTCTTGATCCTAACAGCTTTTTAGCTAAGCACAGCTGCTCTTAATTTAGATAATTTAGATAATTATCTTATGTTATGCTTTGCTGCAGACACCCATCAGAACTGGTGTTTTTTAATTGCTTAAACTACAGGCTTATTATTCAGGTGTTAATTTTAAGAATTATTATCCAGCAACTACAGTAAAGTATTTGGTAACTACAGTGAAAATAATATCTAAGTTACATAGTTAGCCTATTGTTGTCCATATCTGAATTTTCACATTTCCTTTGGTCCATATGCTCTATGTCCATATACAGCACTGTAAAAAAGTTAGAGACCCTCCTTCATTTATTTAATTTCCAGTCGAAGTGCCCATTAACTACAAGTTATTCATTTTAAGTAGATATTTTTGATGAGATTAGATATAAGATCCACATGCACAAGGAATGGGAAAGTCAAAAGAGAATAAATGAAAAAAGATTTGTTTCCAAAACTGTGGAAAAAATATTAAAGAATTTAAAGAAAATGGGACTGCTAACATAACCCTCACGTTTAGTTAAACAGTGCTTAAAGCTTTCGTGTTTGAGTTATAGGAGAAAATCAAGCTCTGTTGTTGTTTCAGATCTGAATCAATCTGTCTGAGTAGTCTAGTAGTCGAGAAACCATAACTGAGGAAAGAAAATAGACAATATGGCTGGGATTACTTGAATTGTAAGAAGCAGAAAATGCAAACAACTTTTAAGACTGAACATTGGAGGTGTGGAAAAATATCCCTGCAGGTTTCGTTGAAAGCTGAAAGCAAGTCTCCTGTAATAAAGGCGAAGAGTGGGCACACTTTATACTGAAAAAAAATATAATATTTAGCTGTTGAGGCTTTTGTGTATTTTTTTGCTAAATATGCATTTTCTGCTTTTTATGACTGAATATGAATAACTTGGATTTAATTGGCTTTTTTGAATAGTAATCAGATAAATAGAGAATGGTCTCTGAGGTTTGCACAGTACAGTATGAACCTGTCTGAGCACAAATCTGAAGAAGTTTTACAGTGGCTAAAAAGGGAGTTTAACAGAGGGAGGGATTAAAGTGGGGACCTACATAACTTCTACTGTGTAGTTTAAAGAGTTAATTTTTACAGGGGTAGGAGTGTTTCTGATGAAGAAGCTGATCTGTGTCCTTTAGCCATTAAATGAAAGGCAACCTTTTCTTGTTGGTAGTACTAAAGGAGGGCAGTTAATGATATAGGATCGCCCACTGTTATAGCTCCTTTCTTTAAGGAGCTATAAACTGTAAATAGTTGCTTATAATCGTGAACATCAGACCCTATAATGAAGAATTAATTCTCTTTCTTCTGGCTATGATGCTGTTTTGTAAGGGCGAATAAGTTGTAGAGGACTTTTTCCTCAACGCAGCAATTAGGTCACATACGGGCTCCAAATTCACATGGGACACAAGACGAGTAGAGCCAAGCCCACAAATAGGACACCTTTAAATCTAGTCCACACCCCCACCCTTTCTCTCTCTCTCCCCAAACCACCCCGTCCTCTCTCTTTCTCTCTCTCCCTTCTACCTACTCTGTATGTGTCTATGAGTGAGCACCTGAGTGCAGGTTATGGAGAGTGAGTGTTGCTGTCTTGTCTCCTTCAGGATCTCACCAAATGGAAGAACAGGCGCAAGAGTGTTAACTCTGATATAATGAAGAAAAAAGAAGAGAGGGAGCAGATAGAGAGCCTCACTTCAAACAGCAGCACCAGGAAATCCAAAACCTTTAAAGAGATGGCAGAGGAGAGGTAAAGTGCACCTGAGAGGCACATATAGATGCATGCATATGCAAATCTTAACAACTAACTATGTGTCAGTAATAACAGTCATGCTTTTTTATAGTTTGTGGAAACAGGGCAATCATGCTGTAGTAATTGTTACACAGGCTTCCTGTGAATCCTTAACAACTCTTATAATAGATTATAAAAATGTAAGATGATGAAATGTCTGAAAATGTCTTATTTTTACAATTCTGAGAAGCCTAAAGACCAGGTTTGCCACACAAAAATTTCAATCTAAGTCGAACACACTGAAATATCATGAAAGGGAACAAGAGAGCAGTTAATTGACCTAGATAAGAAAACTGACAACTGAGATACATACTGTATCTCAAAGCATATATTATTGTTCAACTTTCAGTCATTCTATTTGAATAAAACATTAATACATATTTGGGATTGTGTGCATTATTGTGTGGCTGAAATGGTTTTATTTTTCTTTTGTTGAGATCTTGAAAAGGTGTTAAAAAGCATTGAATTTGATTTTTAAAATTGTGCAGCAACCTTGTGACAGTCATTTTAAAACTACTTTGTTTTAAATTAATGTGATTTAAATGTTAGTCAGAATCAGAATTTTTTAACTATATAAAAATATATGCAACAAAAAAATTAATAAAATGGTGCAAGCAATGTCGGTTAAAATATTAAATCTTTATTAAATCTTTATTAACATCCGTTAAGCACGTAAGCATTTCTGCTACCCAACTGCTACCCAACTATATTCAGTTAGTTTTGCACAAACTCAGATTTCCCCACTAGTGTAAAGGGAAAATGTAGTCTCTGCTGCTCTCTAACCGTTTCTGGGCTGAGCATGTGGTGAAAGTGTAATCTAATCGTCTCTACTCCTCTCCCTTTCACGACTCAGGGAGAACAGAGGGCCGGGTAGCTACAGGAGCCGCTTCAGCACCTTCTCCACTTCTGACGACCAGGACGTCTTTGAGGAACCAGCGCCCAGGAGCAAGACATTACCACCGCGCAGCTACACCATCGATAACCCCTATGCTCTTGGAGACAAACCCATGGTGCACTCTCTGTCTAGCCTGAGTGATGATGAGCCTTTGGCTGGCAGCCTGGCATCAGACGAAGCAGATTCTCCACAGAGTCCTCTTAATACCAGCCCAGGGAACAAGTCAAAGATGAGTAGCAGCAGTAAAGAAAATCAAACCAGCATATCCAGCAGACGCAACCTCCTAGATGACCCAATTCCAGCCAGCATCACCAGCAAGCCCAGTCTAGCAGAGCCCACCAGCAGCAGTCGGTCCAGCAGCACCAGCAGTCCTCCACTGGAGTCCAACAGCAAATTCAGCAGCACCACCAAGCCAGTCAAGTCCAGCAGCTCCATTCGCCCTGTGCCTCAACCCAGGCGTCCCTATGGAAGGGTGGAGGAGGATCAAAGCCAGGCTTCTTTGTATATGCCCGATTCAGTGGAGAAAAAGCAGCCGGAGGTGGCTCGAGTTTCCGCCTCACTCCCCAGGAGCTATCAGAGATCAGATAGCGCACGACTCACCTCCGTTGTCACGCCCAGGCCTTTCGGCACCCAATCCAACAGGGTTGCCTCTCTGCCCCGAGCCTACACGGTGAGAAGCCTTACTCGCTTAGAAAAATACTAATGTGCAAGACCTGATCTTCAGTGGCTTATAGATATATTAATTAGAAATGCTCTGGGAGACTGAGAAATACCTAACTGTTACAGTGCATGATCTATTTACATTCAGTGCCTGATCTGTTTACAACTCTGATGAATTATGCAGCATGCTAATTCAGTTACACTACTGGAGTAAAGCTGCTGCGTGAAATGCTAGTAATTTTGTTAAGTGTGGGAACATAATAGTTACATAACTTAGACTTAACATAAACATGTCTGCCATGTAAGTGGTCACCTGATGCTGTCCCCAACGTCTCTGTATTATATACCATAGTGGACTAGATCAAGCATGTTACAGACTTGCCTGCAGTATAATCTACATTGTTTGAAATTTTAAATGTAGTGATAGACTTTAACACTTCCACACAAAATAATATGTTTAATTTCTAAACTGCTCCCAGATGGATGACTCTCACAAGCGCTTCAATGGTGAGGCAGAGAGGTCAGAGAAACCAACAGTTCCTAGCCGTTATGCACCATTCATGAAAGAAGATGAGGCTCACTCCCAGTCTAGTTCTGCTCATAGCAGTAATGAGGATGAGGAGGAGGAGGAAGAGGAGGAGCAAGTGGCTCCATCTACACAGACCATCTCCTCTGTCACTCCAGTCAGCAGAGTGTCTCCACAGCCCAAAGCTGTGTCCCCTCTCAACAATGCACAGCAGGTAGGTTTGCCTAGGGTCTAATACATTTTGTCAGGAATGTACATACCCTTGCATCTAAAACTGAACTGATATGAAATGCTCAGAGATGCTTGTTGTGTCACTTTTTTATATAGCTTTTGCGAAGGCAAAATTGCATCATTACTCAAATTCAGAATGTCTGCCCTACCTGTCCTGTGAATGGTTAACCTTGTCAACCAAACAAATCCATTACCCAGTAATCCTGTGGTCAGAAACATGGCGACTGATGAACAGCTAGAGGATGACTGACACAAATTGGGCATAGAAAGAGATGAGGTATAGTTTCTAACTGTATACAAGGTGTACCAACAAGGTAGGTGTATCTAACTGGCCAGCAAGTGCACAGATGATGTAAAAACTCCAGCAATGCTGCTGTGCCAGCACAACTTCCAATAACGTAGATGTTCCTGATAAATTGGTCAGTGAGTGTAGGTGACCGGCAACTCTGTGTGTGCATGCTGTTTGTTGCATTGGTGTATTTTTTAGCCTTACCCTCCATACCCTCCATATCCGCCACAGTGTGATGCACTAGGAGCTCACTTTTTTCTCTCATTATGCCACAGATTGTTAGGCATTTAAATGATTGTGGTTACATGCATCTTTTTTGTGTCTTCCAGGAAAGCTATAGTGACATGAGAATCAGCTTGAATCAGAAACCTGGCAGCAGTCGTGACTTTGGCTTCCAGAGCACCTGGGACTCCACAGGGGCTTGTGTCAAATCAATACAACCAGGTATATAGAAAAACAAGTTAATGGAAATAATGTTAATAGTTAATGATGGCTTTCCTAATGATACTTAGAGCATTCTCCAGAGGTCAAAAGCAACACACAAGATTATCTTCCATTACCTTAATTAGTAAGTGCACCAAGGACATATGAATTGACTGATATGTTGCCCTCAGCTTTGTATTTGGGTTTAATGCAAATGTTAATAGAAAATGTCTCTGCAGCCTTTTCTAAAGCTATATAGGGCAGAATTTTTCTAGGTCAAATGAGATGAGCTGCTCATCTAGTATAACATTGTGTGCTGGGCAGCAAGAGAATAAAAGCTAAAGGATAGCGTATAATGCATACACAAATGACTTGCTGCTATAAAACTATACAGAGTAAATAGTGTTTAAGCAAAGGATGTGCTGTTACTGTATGGATTCAGAATTGTGTATTGTACATTTATGATATCTATTTGGACATGCTGGTAGATACTTGTTAAAGAGAATGAAATCATTTGACAAAATAGTCCTTTCTCATGGTTCTGCAATGCTTTGACCTGGATTTTTAGTAATTGAGTGGAATAGCCTTGGAAATGATTGATTCAAAGCAACAAATCTCATGTTCAAAGAAAATTACTGATACATACTTAACATGTGCTCCTGCTGCTCCTCAACAGGAAGCCTCATTCCAGTTGGTGGTGCAACATGCTGAAATCTAGGCAAAATACTTAACAAAACACAAACAGTGCTTAATGAACAGGTAGATGACGCATTTTTAATGATCCAACACTTTCTGTATGTTTCTATGAACGTGTAGGCAGTCCAGCACAGCTGTGCCACCTGCAGGTGGGGGATGAGATCTTAGCAGTAAATGGACACAAGGTGGCAGACATGAGCTATGAGCAATGGAAGAGCAGTATGGATCAGGCCCTACAGCAGGGCAGCCTACTAATGGACATCCGCAGACACGGCAAGAACAGTAAGCTCACACACACACCCACACCATAAGACACTCTATAATTGGGCCTCCATCAGCCGTCTCAGTCTTTGACCTCATCTTAAGATATGTTATCCAGCTATGGCAGTGTTTACAAAGTGCAGAGGTGAGCCACACTTTCATTGGTTGGGAAGAATGGTAGAGTTCCTCTCTTACCTAGCAATGCAAGCAAATAACACCCAATCTGAGGGACTGCAATAGACCACTGAAGTTGTGTGTCATTCTTTATTGGGCATCATGACTTTATTAACAGCTGAGTCTAGGCAGATTTTCATAACTCAGCCAGCCCTGATTAGTCAAGAGTTGACAGCTCTCCAAATTTTCTTGCTACGGTCAAATATAATTAATATTGTACTCTTTATTTTTGTCAGTTGTCCTTCTCTTCGTGTTGGTTTTTGAAATCAAGATTATTGTGTAGAATTTACTCTTTGAATCGACTCCATCGATTCCTGTCACTTAAAACCGCAATCAAAGTTGATGCCAAAATTTTGAGAATCGAACAAACCTCAAAAGTTTATACACTCAAAAGTTTGGAATCATTGTCATGATTGCCGTCATTTGTAATTTTATTGACATATACAGGGTTATCATGTATAGTTTAAATGCTATACGGCAGAAATTATTTTGAGATGATTCATTGGGGTAACATCTTTCAAAAATTATTAAATGATAAATTATATATTGTAATTATCTGTTTATAGTAATTGTAGTGACTACAGCTCTGTTCATAATTCTGGACACATCTTTCTTCTTTTTTCACAGCTTCCTACTAATTAGTTGAAGTCCGTAAAGTGTGATGTAGCAACATAATAGAAAAATTTTGTACATTTATTAGCAGTGTTTTTGTTTACTGAAAGCTTTGATTCCAAACTGTTGAAATGTGGTTATAAAAATTTGAATAGATATGGGACAAATGAGCTGGCCAGAAAACTAGCAAAAATGTTTTAATATAGTGCAAGTGGTCATCATATACTCAGTTGTTTAGGCAAAGTTTTTATCAATAAAATTCTAGTAAGCATTTGGCCATGTAACAGATTTAAAGAGCACTACAGTCAAGAGAAGACAAGTTGAGAAACCACAGTCCAATAAACTGATTTCACACCAGTTTTCAGTTCCCTAAGCCATGTTTCACTCTGGGTGGGTAACTTTAGGTTAGTCTATATACAAGATTATTAGCTGACACAGAAGAATATCTGTCTCCTGTCTCATTGTCTGTGTGTATATGTGCTCAACTGTCTGTCAGACTTTCAGTTTCTCACTTTTACTGTCCTGTTGTCTGCCTCTCTCAGGCTATATGTGTCTTGTTCGGTGTGTGGTCTGCATATTCTGTGTGAACAGTGCAGTTTTAACCCAGCTTGTGAAGGTTCATGGTGCCCTTTAGCAATATTTTTTATGGCGTTTTCCAACAAGCTTATACCATTTGCTATCCTGTAGTTTTGATTGACATTATTATTAATACTTTTGCAATTATACCTATCCCTTCATGAACTGCATTATTGGGAGGTATAAGCTTGTTGGTAAAACTGGTGTGTGGAGCTCTGTAGGCTGCATGGCAGGGGAAGGTGGTCTGTCTGTCAACCCCACTATCTGGTAGTGTTAACCTGGTAGCTAAGGCCTTTTCCGTCAGACGCCTCTGTGTAACTGTGTGTCCGTTATTGTAGTCGCTAATTCTGTGTTTTTAAAATGGATGATTCTGACCATGCGCCATTATCAGACTGGGGCAGAGACCTACCTTCCCTTCCATTTAAAAGCCATAAGACGATCAATCTGACCAGTGCGGATCCTCTAGGTTCCCCCGAGACATACCCCAACTCCAAACTGAGCTTCACCTCCCACCCGGCCGTGGACACTGCCGTGAAAACTCTGAATGTCAGCTCCCAAAATGCCAGTGTAAGCATATAGTGTGAAATAAATATGAATTTTAATTCCTTTACTATCAATACAAGTCAATGGTCAATGGATTTCTGAAGCTGTCATTTTATATCAGTAAACAGTTGACTTACCGGTTCTCATTTGCAGAATCTGGCTCCCAATGGCATAAATGGTGGGATCCGTGAGGAGCCGGTGACTCTGAGGAACAAAGGTAAAGCACATTTCTCACAGATTTACTCAGTTTATGACTGGCCTACACTAATACAAGTGGAAAATCCAAAGCTTTTCTTGAGTGTTTTGTTTGTTGTATAGAATGCTGTTTCAATATAATGTGTGATTTGTATTGTTGGGCATTTTTGAGAGGTTTAAAATTTATGTTGTAAAAATGTTTGCATTTGCTAACCTGTATCACATTCTTTACTTGCAATGTTTTTGAAATGTAAATTAATGAATCTGTCTTTTCAGATGAGCTGAATCTTATTCCTTTTTCTCGTTTTCTGTCCTCCTCTGATCTGTTTTATCTCTCGTATAGAATCAGAACCCATTTCATTGAAAAACTTAAAAAGGAGGTCAGAGTTTTTTGAACAAGGTAAAAGAGCAGCCCAAAGCTGGCTGTGTGGTTTTTGGTGCTGGGCACTGCTAGGCCTTCATCCTGTCGTCGTCTTCTTCCTCTTTGCAGCTGAAGCCTTCATAACCCATGTGCTCTTCCCTCAGGCTCAGCAGGGAACACAGTCAATGCTCTGGTCTATCTCTGTGGTAAACAGAGTTCAGTGTGAAGTGTTCACCTCCACGTCAACATACTGACATGCTGTCTGTAAAAGCCCCAGAGCACATGAATAAGAAAGAGAGAGAGAGAGTACACACTCTATATGTTTCAGAGCAACAAACAAACTGCTAACATGATTTGATATACATTTTTCAGAGGCGCTGCAGTTTCAGTTCAGAGCCACAAAGAAACCGTTGACATGAGTTACACTTTTTTCAGAGGCTCACAAGTTTCTGGTGTGGTCAGAAATGTGCTTTAAAACTACGGTACGGGCTCCACAAGACTGCATGTCAAGTCCCATACTGACATATCAACACCCAAAGACCGTCTAAGACTCCACATCAGAGGAATATTAGATTCTGCTGCAGTCTTTCTGGAGATCAGTGCTATGGCAGTGTCAGAGATCCTCCTCATCTATAAATGATGTAGTAGATATATTGAGAAAATGGTTAGCATTCAGCATTCACTCTTGGCCTACATCTGTTATTCCTCAGAATATCATCCCCTCTTTTTCCAAAAATCAGATCAGCCAACAAGGAAAATATTCAGTAATCTGTAGTGTGGTCTGTGTTGGTATGGTGTTCAGGTTATGCACAGTGCTTCTCTGCCCTTTTGCATGCTGCTGTGCTGCTGTGCATGGATCTGGCATCCTGACCTTCTAATGGCCAGTGTTTCTGCATGTGGCATGTGACTGTTTATCATCGGGAAATGTGGGCTTTTTTGTTTGTTTGTTTTTGTTTGTTTTTTTTTTTTGTTGTTTTTTGGGGAGTGTTAGCTTTTGCCAACTCATTGCATGCGACTGTGACTGAATAGTTTTTAGTAGTTTATATATGATCATATAATAATTACATTATGTATTATTAGGGGTGTAACAATATGAATCATTGCATAGTAGCATATTGTAAAGGATTCTTTTTGCCAGTGTGTTAGCTACTAGCTATTGGCTCAGGGCTAACATATTCGCTCATGGCTCGTGCACTAGATCGGACCACTATAAAGCACAAATTTGATGAGTACCTCACTCTGCCATTCTAAAGTCTTGAAAGTTATTTTATCATGTTGAATGAAAATGGAAACTTGTTTTTCCGGCACCCCTTATTTTACTGGACTGAAAAATTTACTGTGTGAATTGTTACACCCCTATCATATAATATAATCTGTAGATGTAAAGGAATTACATGATGTTTTTACATATTTCCATGATGTTCAGTGGAATTCAAATTTGATGAAATAATCTATTTAGTGTTATAATGCAAAATTTTCTGTTTTGAAAAAATCCCTCTAATTTTTCTTTCTTTTCTAGGGGGATCTGAAACTACAATATCAGATGTAAGCAAAGTTGACTGCTCATAATATTTTTACAAGCCATACCCTATTTTTAATGACTGTACATGCAGTTGAAAGCATGTCTTTGGAATAGTGTGAGAAAATAATGAGTGTAATGAGACTTTGTTTTATTGGGCAATTTTAGATTTAAGTTATTTCAGATTTTTATTTTACATCCTACAGTATTTTTCAAATGTAAACTCATGAACTTGATATTCATAATGGAGACTCCACATTACAGTAATGACTTTAGCTGGTAGTTATCTGGTGTAAGCTGCATACATTTACAGGCTGAATGACCAAAATCTTTCTCTGTGTTCTCTAGTTGCCTGTTCCTCCTCTCTCTGCATCCTCCAACCGTTGGTCCTGGGACCCTGAGGAAGAGCGCAGGAGGCAGGAGAAGTGGCAAAAAGAGCAGGAGCGCTTGCTGCAGGTAACCTAGCGTTCACCAACCATTTTGATGCCCTAAATTGCTCTCATTTTATCTGTGTTTGTGAAGAGATAAACATTCTGTTGAACAGATGGCCGAGCTTACGGCGTTCCTGAAGCTTATGTAACATCTTCTCATTATTAGTAGGATATACTTTATTGTGCACCGAACACAAGCTTAGTAATTAAAGGGCGTTCACTGCACCTAAAAGTAGCTAAATCCACTGATTATAAGGGGTATCTTCACAGTTTATGTGAAATTACACGATTAAGGAAAATATAGTATTTATTTTTAGATTTATTTGCATCCCACTTTGTTTGACTACTACAGTTAATTATAAATGTAATTAAAAGTGACATCTAATTACAGTAATAATGAGGGGTCTGAAATTTGAAATTTTCTACAGGAGAAGTATCGTCGGGATCAGGAGAAACTGGAGGAGGAGTTTAGAAAAGCCCAGCAAGAGGCTCTGAAAGAGGGCACAAAACAGTATGAAGAGGTGAGAATGTCACCTTACTTTGACAATCATTTATTTGAGAATAAACTGTTATAACAGGATTAGTACTAACTTAATGTTCTTCTTTGTGATGCCACTCAACAGGAGATGAGGAGCCTAGAGCTGGAGCGGCTCAGTATCAACACCTACTCTCCTCTATCTCCTCTCAGCCAGGCCAGTCCTTCATTAGAGGAGCAGGAGGCCTCCAGACTGGCCCTCCAAGAGGAGGAAAGAAGGCAGAGAGAGGAGAACCAGCGTCTAGAGGAGCAGAGGAGAAGAAAAGAGGAACAGGAGCGCTTGGAGGAGGAAAAGAGAAGAAGGGCAGAACAGGAGCGCTTAGAGGAGGAAAAAAGAAGAAGGGTAGAACAAGAGCGCTTTGAGGAGGAGAGAAGAAGAAGGGAGGAACAGGAGCGCCTAGAGGAGGAGAGAAGAAGAAGGGAGGAACGGGAACGCCTAGAGGAGGAGAGAAGAATAAGGGAACAGCAGAAACGACTAGAGGAGGAGAAGAAGAAGAGGGAGGAGCAGGAGCGTCAGCGTAAGGAGGAGGAGCGGAGGCGCCAGGAGGCCCAGGAGAGGCTTCAGGAAAAGTAAGCAGCAGGTTCCTTACAGTTTGCTGAACCGTGTAAAACGTAGGTTTGAGGTTTGCATTGAGGCTTTGCATGTTTGCTGCACTTGCACTGTAGACATACTCATATATACTCATACTTCATGTGTATAATAATTGAAGATAATATGCCACTGCACTGCAATACTGTAGCACTGGCAGTATTGCAATGTAGAATTTTCACCATTGCTGCCTGGTTTTGCACTAAATGATAAACTGATCAAACTAACACTGTCCATTGTGTCATAACTCATGCATTAATAACCAGACCACTCACGTGTGTTGTTTTGTGCCCATCTGTTTGTGAATGCTTAAACCTGTGCTTCTATGTACCGCTTCTGCTGTTTGATCACAGTGATGTGGACTATGGCAATACCACTATTTTTCCTGAGCTATCCTACTCAGACAGGTAAAATAATCATTCATTTAATATGTACATGATGCATTTGGCCTGTTTTAACACAACTAATAAATGATTTAAATGCAGTGCTCTTAAAAATACAAGACTATATGCAGCACTCTTACAGGGGGATACCTCCAATTTTTCAACATTTTTGCATACATAAAATCATTAAGAGTTAAACAAAGTAATTCGGAGTGGTTTGATGTCAATTACGCCATTCTAGATAAACTTACAGAGTCAGAATTGCTCACAGTGGAATTGATAGAAACCACACGCTTAATGCCTCTACAAGCTACCTCATGGAAAATGATTACGTGAAATTATAACAGATCTACTGCGTGATGACTAAGACATTGCTTCACGACAGTTTTGAGAACCTTTGGAATTTTTCAAAATACATTAAACACAGAGGTACATGCAGGCCATTGTAAGGCAAAATGGTACCCAAAGAAAACATTTTTCAGATTTACCACAATTTTATCATTATCAACATAATATATAGAACTCAAAAGCAAAAGATGAGTAAGTTCACTGGTCGGTTTGGATAGCAAGTTTAATGGCTATATTTACGTTGTAGTAGAGATGGACCGATCAGTGTTTTTGGGGCTAATACAGACTACTGATTGCCATACGAGGGCAGGGCTGGATGCCACATTTAAAGGCGTAGTAAGCGAGTCTGGAGGACAAATAACGAATATATCCCTCCCTTCAGTGCTCCTTCAGAAACTCCACCCCCCAAATTCATTGGCATACATTGCCAAGGCAAACAACACTTTTTTTTTTGTTTGTTTGTTTTTTCTTTTTCATGACCATAAATCCCTTCACAAACATTGTACAAACAAATGCCATGATATAACGTTAGAGTGAACAACAACACAGCAAGTAATGTCACTAACGTTAGTTGGGTTGTGGGTTAGCAAACTGTCGTTACAATTGATGCTGCGAAGCTAACCAATTGCTATTACAAACATTAGCAAATGCATCAAAACAATACTGACTTATTGGTTCTGTAAAACAGCAAAAATAAGTTCATGTTGCTCACCTGTCGAGCAGAAACAGAGCAGACCTCTTCATCCCTTTTAATGCCTTTCAACTCTTAATGGAGCTGTGTCAGTGGTTTTTTGCCAGCTTCTTGTTAGAATTTTCCCATTCCACCTTAAATGATGCAGCAGTTACATTCTCGCACCTCAGGCTAGCGTAACCATTGAAATAACCATAGTCTGTGCAACTGACGCAGCTAACGGGACAAAACAGTCATCCTGTTTCACGGATGGATTTTTAAATATGTGATAAAAAAAACAATTGACATACAATCGCTTTTGTAGTTCCGTGTCTTATTTTTATTTTCATTCCCTGCCAAATCTGTGGGTCATGAAGCTAGTGCAGTGTAAGCTAAGATTAGGGAAATAAATCCTCAAAGCTTTGACAACAAACCATGTTAATTACAGCTCTACACATTCACACACATGACTTTACATGTTAATGATTGAATTATGCCGAAATTTTGAAAAAACTGTGGAATTCCCCCTCAAGAATATTTACAGCCTAATTAGTCAATTTTTTGGAAATTAACATTTATTTATTTATTTATATATATATATATATATATATATATATATATATATATATATATATATATATATATATATATATATATTTATTTTAAAGGTTGAAGTCAAAATCTACGCCAGAGCTTGATGAAATGGGAAAAGCAGACACTAAAGGTTAGCATGTTTGTAGTTCTTCTTTATTCATTGCCCATTTGACCTGATAAGGATCTGCTGAAGCTGCTGTGTTTGAGAGGTCATGCTGAAAGTTTACACAGCCTGGTTTAATGAAGCTTATTTACAGAACAGGCTGCTTTTATCAGTTCAGAGCCTTGTTGGAGTTTAAGTTCGATTGTATGCAGGTGTGTATAAAAAGCACAGGGGCTTGGCTGACTGGTTCTTGGAGGAAGAATTAAGAAGAAAGAAAGATCCTCATATCCTGAGACAGCAGGCAGCATCTGAGCTGGAACTAGAGAGGAGAAGCATCCTTAATGCTATGAGATACAGAAACCCGGAAAGAGGTGGGCCGTGGCTCAAGACCATGCCAATCAAGATGCCCAGCCAATCACCTTGGACTGATTAACAAAAATCTATGATGATCAATCCAATCCAATACAAAGCCCAATTAAGCATGGGTCCTCACCGCTCAATCAGTGTGCACCAGAACTTGATTCAGGATAAATGTGATCACACGGTCCACTGTAGGTTGTAAACAAAGTGATGCTTAATGTGCGTTTTTGCTTTTATAAAATGTTTGCCTCCTTGAATATCTTTAGCTATAAGTGGTGGTCTGGGAGAGAAGAAAGAGTCATTATCTCAAGCTGAGTTGGAGAGGCAGCAGATCATTCAGGAGATGAAGAAGAAGACTCCATTACTGACAGACAGCAGCTGGATCCGCCAGCAAAGCCCAAACAGCAACACCAGTAAAGAACCTATCAGTCTGCCCATGAGGAGGTCAGTGCATATAATCATAGCTAACATAGAAGGTCCACTTGTGGCCAAAAATTGTTTAAAGATACAGAAGAATTAGTTAGTGACCAGTCCATCCATGACATTCTTTGAACCTTTCTCCATTTAATATTTATTTTGTAGTAAATTGATGCATTAACCATTTTAATAAAAGCTTTCATTAACCACAAATATGCTTACAGTGGCATATAACCTAAAATGCTTTAACTATAAAAGTAACTGTTGTTACTTGTGAGCTTTGACCGCTAATGCTACTACGCTGGCTTGACAGAGGTGAGTCTTTGGATAATCTTGATTCAGCCCGCCCCTCCTGGAGGTCGTCATGGACACCAGGCAGCACGTCCTCCATCCCAGATTATAGCCGGCCTTATTCCAGCTCCTCCTCCCACCGTCCAGCCTCCGCCACACTGCCTGCATCCCAGTCCCTGAGCTCCCTCAGGCAGTCGTGGGCCACGTCCTCCACTCCTGCCCAGGTCCCTAACCGACAACCAGAGCCTCAGTCACGGAACAGGTACTTCCTCTAAGTGCCATTATGTGTCAAAAAAGCTCTAGTGATGCGAGTCTACATACACTGAGTTTGCAGTTTATCAGGTACACTTATCAGTACCAGTGCAACATACGGAAACATGCCACTTCCATGTTGGTGTCACTGCTGTGCTGAGAATGGTCCACCATTCAAAAAATATCTGGTCAGCGGTGGTCCAAAGGTGGTACTTTTCCATTGATAAATTAGGTTGAAAGGTGCTGAACAATTATGTATAGTACGAAAAGGGCTACATTTGATATGCTTGAAAGATTTGAGGAAAATATCTAGTTGCAATTTTTTGGCATATTGCGATTTAAATTGTGATTATTTTCTAATCAAGCTCTGAGCCTGTTTTGGTGGTCTACATAGTATCAAACATTTACCACATCTAGCGACAGTATCTTGTTCTTGCATGAAAAGAAGCACTTGAAATGATGCATTCCCCCCATTTTCTAAGCAGATTGTACTTTTATTGTCACAGTGAGACCATGACAAAGAGTGCTTGGATGAAAAAGAGGCTTTATCTGATGGCCTCCAAAAAATTATGAGCAATTTTGCATGTGATGTAGCAAAACAAAAACTAAAACATTAGCTCTCACTGTAACTTCATTAAGCAGAAATAATTTTGTTCTTGATTTTCAATGCATTACTCCAAATATGTTAAACAATCGATATAACAACATTGTGTTTTCTCAAGCTGTTAGACTACTAGCAAATATAGCAAATGCTAGCTAATATAGCCAATGCCACTAGTATCTTTCTCACGCCTGCACAAAACTGTTAATAACATGTATTTTAAATTAATTGCAACTTTTGCGATTTGAAAAATCACACTTTTTAAAACTTATGTTTTCAGTTCAATCATGATTTGTCTTACACAGTAAGCAGTTGCAAACCCACATCTACGTGGTAGTTAACTGGATAAAATAGTGCAGGTACAAGGTGAGTGTACCTAATAAACTGTCTGAGGATTTGTAGTTTTGTAGTTGTCTTACACATTCCACCAGTCCCCAAGCTATGTATACTGTCTTCAAGGCCTCACCCCATTGAGTGATGTGGTAGTCTGTCTTGGTCTCTCAGGTCATTTTTACATTCTGTAATCTAGGTCAGTCAGTGGCAAGAAAATCTGTACTTTCTGTGAAATGCCCCTGGGCAAAGGAGCGGCCATGATCATCGAGTCCCTGGGGCTCTGTTATCATTTACCTTGCTTTAAGGTGAGAAATCCTCCTTTTCTGGGGGGTCAAGTCAACCTTGCTGCCCTGATGGCTAACCTGCCTTACTCTGCCCTTCTTGCTTTAATGCTTACCCTGCCAGCATCCTTTAACCGCAGAGGCACCTCCCTATTTTTAAATGTTCAGTGTTTAAATCATCTAGCACATGTCTTTGAATGTTTTGATTAACTGTTACAAACAGCCAGCACAAATTAACAGCCCTCATTTACTTTGGTGGAACGTCTCCGGCTTTGTCTCCATGGTTGCAACTCTATTGTGAGGATTCTGAGAGCATCTGTGCCAAACAATCTAGTCTCTGAATTTAGAACGTGCCCTGGTGCATTCAGTCACCAGTGCAATCATAGTAGCATGCCTGATTTAATGCTTAATCACTGCTGGGGCTTCCGTCATCACCCTTTTCATAGTGCCTTAGCATTTCACATGTTTCTATCCAATTTTGCCGGGTTGGGCTTTGACATGCTGGTGAATGGTTTCCCCGGAGATTAAAGTTTATCTTATTAGAGAGACAACTCACTGCAGCAGTGAGTCAGAGATCAAAGATCAAATCTCCATTCGTATGTAGGTGAGTATACGCTTATGTGTATGCATGACCCAGTCTCTTACTTTGTGTTCCTGTGCTTCATGTTTTAGTGTGTTGAGTGCAAGGCTGATCTTGGAGGCTCAGAAGCTGGAGCTGAAGTCAGAATACGAAACAAACAGCTCTACTGTAACTCCTGCTATATGCGAGTCAAAAGTAAGCCATAGTTCACTCGGGCACAAAATACATGATGCAGTGATTCATGATTTGAATTGAGAAAGTATGCAGGTGTTCTGAAGTAAAGAGATATGCTCTCCTCTCCGCAGACGGGCAGCCCACTGACATGTGACCTCACTGGGTTACAGCAGATTGAGGAGGAACCTACCCCATTGAAGTAACCACGAACACTGCAAGCATTGCCACACGTGCGAACGATAGGAAATTTTGTCGAGCTGGCCATCGAGATTACACAATCAGCTTTTTTTTCTTTTGTTTCACTTATGAAAGGGTGAGATTAATAAATGTGTGCGTTTCCATAAAAGTATTAGAGATTGCTTGTACAGACTATGAGGGACATACATTTACTTGGAACCTAGCAATGTATTTGAAAGAATTATTGCATGCCGTGTTCTTAACAAATGAAACGTGGATGATTTCTGGCTGGCTGAACGGATGTCACTCAAGTTTATAAAGAGTGGTAGAATCTGCTGTTTTGTCACTGCTTGTTGAGGCTATCTGGCTATCTTTATGAGTCTTTTGTTATATTTGGTGTGTTGTCAAAGATATCCTGTCCTTCTGTTCATTTTTGTGCCTTTCTGTTTATGATGGGGAAAGATAATTTAGAATAAACGCATTAAGAATATATTTTAAAGTGGCATGGTTTGTAGGTGAAGTTTTATTTGTTGATGGCATCCAGTTTGAGCATGTAAGGCATTTAAGCAAGATTTTCCACAGAGTAAAACAATCTCATACATACAGCAAAAAAGAAATTGTATTCTCTAATATTTGTAAATAAAGTTACCAAAACTGAATTTGTGTCTGAATTTCATTATTAGTTTCATTATTGGATTTTTGGTTTGGTACGAATATTAAATTAGACTGAATTCACTCTTCCTTCAGGGAAGCACTTGTTCCTACCTGTTTAGAAGCTAATGACAGAATTTTAACAAGCTCACAATCTAGGCTTCATGTATTTGAGGATTTTAATCCCTTACATAAGGGCAGTGGTCATGCACAGCTTTTGATTACCCTTGACTAACCTACTGCACAGTGATTTGATAAGGATTTGCATATTATCTACATATTTTTTTTTTATCTACATATTAAAAATACCATATATAATGCAGTGTATTTGTATATGAAGGCTTATAGACCACACATCGTAGTCCACTTTCAAATTTTTTTTTGTCTGATAAAAGTTGTTGGGAGTGGACTCTACACATACAAGAAATAGTAATGCTATATTCTGATTAATATCACCTTTATTAGAGAAATAAAAATGTGTTTTCCATTAACAGCTGTTATTCTTTTCAAAAACTCTTCATAACAGAAACTGTTATAAACTGCACTGGATGATGCAACAGCAGGGGGCACTGTTGGTCTAAATGGTCCAAATAGCTGCATGACCTGTTGCTTGGATATATTTAGATCTATATGCTGTGAACTGACTCAGGTTGGCTATATTATATATGTGGACCAGGCAGGTGTCTTCTAGCAGAAGAACATGTTTTTCCACTTTCTGGTCTATAGTTCTGAGGTGAGTACTCTTGCCTTTAAATCGTATTGTAATTATTAATCTGGGAGTTGTGAATGTCCCTAGCAATGGATATAGATGCTGTCTGAGAAGGACCTTGGAAAGTTTTATTGAATTTCAGCCTGTTATTAAACAGTTACTGACAATGTCTTTGTTAAATGAGGATTTCCCTTATATTCCCACCAGCCTCCTCCACCTGCAGTCTGAATTCACTCTAATTTTAGTCAGCATGACTAGTGCCACTTGAGTCTTGTTACCATGGTGTGCTTATTCTTTGTGAAAGTCTTGTGTGCTATGTTACATTTCTCAGGCCATAAATACAGGTATAAAGAACAATACATGATATAAAAAACAAGTGAGAGTGGCAATATTATCAGCTGTTTGGCAAAACATGAGCAACCCATATTATTTAGGTATAGGCCCAGCTCCTGACCTGATCCCTGCATTGGAACTATGTGATACCACCTACATATATGTATTGTTATAGTTATATAGGTATAAGTGTGTGTGTATCTGTGTGTGTGTGTGTATATATATTGTCGATTTTTAGTATTGTACATCCTTTCAATACTGTTCTTCACGTTGTGTAAAAATTTCATGATGATTGGACCAATAGAAATGCTACTTCTCCTGTGAAGTAACTATTTGGACAGCGACGATATAGTTCTAAGCAAAGCAAAAGTGTTGTCAATCAGCACGTCATTTAGTGCCACTAATTTTTGAAATTCTTGGTGTTTTTAGATGTCAATCCTAGAAAAAAGAGGCATATATTGCTGTTAAACTATATTGTTCAAGGAGAGTTCTCAAAGAGAAGACCTTGTGATCTAATTCAAATGACTTCAGTATTGAGTGCTTTCCTAATAAGATTCAAGTGAAAAAACAAACAAACAAACAAAAAGATAAGGTGTGTGTTCTTTGTATTACTTAATAAGTCCTTGCAAGGTAGAATGCATTTTCACAAAATAGCTTCTATGTATTTAATATGTTTGCTGGTTACATAAGCACACCTAAATGAATAGAGAGTACATAAAGATCTTGATGAATCCATTTTGTTACAATGCATAATGTATTGAGTCTTATTGAGATCTTCTAGTGTACCGTCCTGCAAATCGTGCCTGTCATGGCTTGTTAACTTCAAAGATGAGGTCTACAGTGTGGGCAAGCCTCTGTAGCTGTGTTGAGGAGTATAATAAGCCTATAGAGTGCTCATTATACCAACACTTAGTAACCTGGCATACTCATTCTCATGATCTTCAATCATAGCTCAGGTGACGCATTGTGCTTGCTCTGCTCTGAAGCACCAAGAGGAAGCACATAAGTGTGGGCTTGGAGTGGCTCCTGGTGCTGTAAAGGGAGCTTTTCTAAATCAAGGGAATTATTCATTCAGGCATGATAATCAAAGGGATTTAACAAGGTTAGGACTACTGGTTTTCACTCAAATGGAGATTTGAGAGATGGAGAGGAACCTGCAGTTGACAAGTTCTAATCAAGTTCATTTTCTTATGTTCAAAACTGAGCAGGCTTTACCGTTTCTGGTGCTGATTTCTAATTTTCCTTGATGACATGTTTTGGAATTCTAAGCCGTACTTATCGTACAGTAGTCTAGCCATCTCTGGCGAAAGCAGCACCTGCACTGAAATGGTCTAGCCTTTCATTTTCAGTGACATGTAAAACGTTCATGAATGCTGAGGCAGTCACAGCTGGAGGACGCAGATACGCTTCAGAAGTTATTATGCCAAGAGGATGTTCCCCAGACCAATATAAATTCAGCAGGCATAATGATGAGCTGAGCATGGAAGGGAATGATAATTCTTAAGTTAATGTTTTCACTCCTCTTTCATGCTAAATGATTCTGATGATCACTGAAGGTGAGATATAGTACAGCACATAAATATGCCTCTACAGTTATTGGGATATCCTTTAAAAATCATGAATGGATAGGGTTATTTAATAATCATAAACAAATGATTGTTTTTGTGTTATTGTTAAAGGTTTACTCATTCAGATTCCTTTCCTGGCCCTCATTTCAGAAGCATCATTCTCAAGCTCCCTATTTCCCACCATTGCTTATGAGAACAAGCCTCTGCGAGTTCCTTAGCCATTACATGTCGTTTCTGCCCTCCGTTAATTAGAATTTTATCAGTGCGCTTCAAAGAGGGAACATTTTAAACTGTCCTTCTTTTTATGTTAGACCTATCAGATTGGCTTTTGAAATACGCAGAATGCTGAAATGGCAAAAGGGTGACATTCAACATGTTCCTCCCTTGAGTCTTCAGAGGAGAATCATCCAGCCAGTGTTTTTCTTTTTTTTTAAAGCAAATTAGGGTTTTTAAAATGTAGCCAGATAAGTTGGACAATAAAATATGAGCAGCCATTTCATGTTAAAGTACATTTCCCTTTAATTTGTATCTAATTTCCATCTAATCTAACAATATACAGTGATTTTACAAGCAAAAACACATGATAAATGGTTGTAAGATAAGTAGTTTTAAGATTTTAAACAATGTGCTTTGTTGATTCTCTCTCTCTCTCTCTCTCTCTCTCTCTCTCTCTCTCTCTATATATATATATATATATATATAGACATTCTCTCTCTCTCTCTCTCTCTCTCTCTCTCTCTCTCTCTCTCTCTCTCTCTATATATATATATATATATATATATATATATATATATATATATACATACATATATACATTTTTTCCAAAAAGTTTTAAAAATTTCAAATTTAGATATTTCAAATTCTAATTGATTTCAATTTCTGACTTCAGTTGTGTCTTAGACCAATGCTTGGACAAACCCTCTATTATAAAAACTGCCTCTTCTAAATGCAGTGAGTTTTTTAAGACATTTTTAAATAATTTCACCATATTTGATGTGTGGAGAATCCTTAATCCTACTGGCAGAGAATATTTCTTGTATTCACAAGTTCATAATGTCTACACAAGAATTGATTACTTTCTAATAGATGCTAAACTTATACCCTCTGTTTGCAATGCTAAGTATCATAATATCATTATATCCGATCATTGTCTTGTAACCTTCTCTTTTAGATTGCAAGATGTAGAAAAAACACAGTGTATTTGGAGGCTCAGTCCAACTCAGCTGTCTGTGTAAAGAAATTAAGTTTTTCTTTGAAACTAATGATCAACCTGCCATATCAGCAACATTACTTTGGGAGACATTTAAGGCCTACATAATCGAGCTAATTGTGTTATTTCCTATCAGGCATCGCAGAGAAAGAGAAGTAAGACTCAGCAGGTAGAACTTGTTAAAATCAAATCCAAACAGTACACAGGTAAAATATTGTTAGTCCCTCTGTAGAAATGTATAAGAAGGTATTATATATCTTAAATATAACCTCAGTCAGATTCTCTCAGCAAGAATTAGCAAGTCTTTCAGTATATAAAACAATTCTTAGCTCTCTCACATTAAATCAAAAATGATTGTGTTGAAATTAGTGTGAAAATGGCAACCAAAGAGATCTCCAAAAGGACAAACTAGCTGATGTAAATAGTTCAAGACTGACAGCAGCCATAATTTACTTGCTATGTTACGTTGCCAGAGAAGCAGAGGAAGGGGAAAAATAGCAGAAGGAAAATGGACACAAAATATTCAAGCATGCATTTCTTACACTGTTGCAGCTTTGTAATAATTTTAATGATTTATGTGGTTAATGGCAATCGATCTTGTTCAGAACCTTTTTTATCAAACCTGCTGAACCTAGTTGGTTACAAGGCAACTTTTGCTCATCATCAGATAAGGGAAGTGGACCTTTAGCTAGCTAGGTTTAAACAGAGTACAGAGCTGATGAGCTCACTTAGGCTTATCACACTGTTGAGCATATATTCAGCTCTGTTTGTCACTACATTTATGTAAGGATGAACAAAATAACAATCGTTTTCAGCAAAATATAAGCAGAGAGTGAATTCTCTGGTGGTACTCTCTGATATTTTAACAGCAGCACCGCAGAATACAGGAACATCTTGACTGGATGTGGAGGTGTAATCAAGCGATGAATGATGTCATGCAGGGTGTCCCAGTCCTTTCATTAAAACCATGCATCTTGGTCTGCCTGCACACATTAGTCTACCCCTACACCACATCGCCAAAGTGTAGTCTTGAAGTGGATCTTAGCGATTAAGGGGAGAATTGGTCCTCAGGGACTCAGTATTACAGTTCAGTAAACTAGGTTTGCCAAGTCTTGTTCAGTCAAGTAGTGGCCTAAATCTAGACTGTAAAACGAGTGTGTGATTTCTAATAAGGAATTTTACAGAAAT